ACAGACTTCCTTAATCGTCTATGAAAATGTGTCAGCTACCCCTGCGTCCTCGGACCAGGGAGCTGGGAGCTGCCTGTCCTGAAAGAGGTGAAGAGAAAGGAGAAATGTTGGCTTATGAGGGCCAGCCTTTCTGTATAGTTAACTTGTCACTTCCACAGCCATCTGCTTTCTCTTCACACCATCTATCATCTCCATAAAAATATAAATACATACATTTAAAATTCAGTTGTGAGGAGACCCCGCATCAGAGAAGAAGCAATAAAAACAAATCCTGTGGAAATACAGCCACAGACCCAGCTTCTTAGCACCCACATTCTGTCCCTGGAAAAAAAGTTATGTGACCCCTTATGCAGGTTTTATAGCAGCAGCTCTTGTGATAAACGCCCATAAATAGAAATGAAACCCAGAAGCAAGTTGGCGACTGGGACATTTCTGGGAGTGTATTAACCACCCGGGGAAGTATTGACCGGGAAGTCAGCAAGGAATGCCGTTGTAAAACTCAGCCAAGTCCCCAAGTTCTGTGCACACTGTCAACAGTCCACGAGGCCACCGAAAAAGAAAGCATTTTATTGGATGGTTCAGGTCCAGGTTGTCGGCGAGCACTGAATGGACCCCACAGGAAGCTGGAGATGCAGGAATGCCGATGCGAGCGGCACACACGAACCACAGACGGTAAGCCCAGCTCAGGGCAAACGAGGCTGGGGGGACTCTGCGCTTGCGTGTTTTTCTGCTCACCCGATTCCTATGCCAGGGACCTCGGGGCGTGGCAGTGTCGGCTGTGTGTCACTTCTCAACAAGTCATCTGTGTGTTCTGGAAAATGGCCCTGAGCCACAGAAGGAAAAGAATAAAAATACCCCACAGGTCAGCAAAGCCTGTGTCCCCTGGGCCAGGACACAGTTGTAGCCTAAAATACATCTCTCAGGGCCTCACCTGCCCTGGTTTTAAATGCCGTCACCATCGCCTGGTATTTGTGCCCACGAGCACAGCTGCAGGCATCTAGCTCTGTGAGAGACGTCAGGGACCTTAATCCCAAGCAGAGCAACAGCTCCATGCCCTCCCCCACGGCTCACGCACCTGAGAAGCTGGGTTCTTTGCCTCTCCTGGGCCTTCGTTTCACACTAGCAACGCACATTTTATTCTTACCAGCGTTCTGGGCAAGCTGACCTTTTGAAACCTTCCACTTTTCAATCTTACACCTTGAGCTTTGGTGCCCCCAGCACCCCGGGACTCATCTCTCAACTCTGTCTTCCTCTACAGCCACCCTGTGTCTTTGAGGGAGCGAAGTGGAAACAGAGCAGTGTGTGAGAGCCTGGGCCTCCCCCAGGAGCCCCCAGTTCCAGCTGGCCTTCTCTGCCGGCCCCTCCCTGCCACCAGGTCCTCTGTCCCTCATCCTAGGGGCCTTGATGACATCTGTCTAGCAGCTCACCTGGCCATTTCCAGCTTGGAGTGCGAAACCCCTGACATCTTGCATTAGGTCTCTGTCCTGCCTGGTGTTTGCTACATCTCCCAGTTTAGTGTCATCTGCAAATTTAATTACCATGCCATTGCCTCGCTGTTCTGGGCCGTTAATGAAGATGTTATGGCAGAACCCGGCAAACAATGTTTTCAAGGTCACAGGGAGAGGAGAGCTCACCTGCTAACGAACACCTCTGCTCATCGTGGGGAAAGAGGCATCGAGTGCCGCTGTGCGGTCCGAGTCATTCCCTCTGAGTTTTGTGAACTCCCTTTCCCAGACGTGGGTTGGGTTTTATGCTCCCTCTGCTGTGCGTGCATGGCAGTTCCCATTTAAAGAATGGAGACTGTCAGAGTATGCCTTGCTTATGTTTGTATTCAGTTTGTAGCAGGAGAAATAGCCACTAATGAGCATGTGCAGGGGAGATGCGTGCATGGTGGAGAGGCAGCCCTGACCAGGCTTGCCGTCGTTGCCAGCTCTCCGTGTCAGACGCACCAGCCGTGACTGTGGGAACACACGCAGAGGACCAGGGCACCTGGCAGAGAGGGGAGAAAAGACGTGTCCCTGCTGAGACGGTTCCAAAAGGGCTGACCCACAAGGTCTGCAGCCGAGAGGGGCGCGAGGAGAGGTCCCTGCGTCCCTGCTACCACTGCCTGCGACCCCAAGGCGCACCATGAGCCCTGGAAGGTGGAGTCCCCGCCACAGTGCCAGGAGGAGCCCACTGTGAATGTTGACTTGCCTGCCTTCCACACCAAACTGCCGACGTCACACCGCAGTCCTGCCAAGGGCCGATCAGAAGGGCCGAGTCACAGGAAAGATCCAGGACAATGTCATTCATGCCCAGAAAAGTGACCCCCACTGTTCTCTACTTGTAGCACTTCCCTTCTCCCGGCTCTCGCGGCAGGCCTGCCACCTGACCCCCTCTCAGACCGACTGTCCTGGAGGCATCTCCAGACCAGAGCCCAGACTGGCCCGGCTAGGGCCAGGCACCCGTCTCAGAGTGCTGGTGGGAGGGCGGCAGGGAACGTCCTTGCAGTTCCCCTGGTGCGTGGATGGTCTGCCCACCGTCTGCAGTCCTCCTGGGTCCAGTCTGGACTCCCCAAGCCTACAAACACGCAAGAATACCAGTGTTTGTCCCGCTGGTCAGCGCAGACTCATTGTGCTCCGATACCTGCGGGGGGACGGCTCGGGGGAAGGGGGCAGGTTTGTGGAGTGTGTGCCAGGCCGTGCTGAGGGCCCTCTCCGGCCGTGCACTTCCACGTGCTCCCACAGCAAACACTGAGAGGCAAAAAAAAAAGCACAGTGGATCCTGAAGCCAGACTCTTGAGTTCCAATAATGACCCTGACATGTTAAAAGCTGTGTGATCTTACACCAGTCCTTTCACCTCAGTTTTCCCACTTGTAAAATGGGATCATAGCCATACCGACCTCATAGGATTGTTGAGGGATTTTGAAAAGTTGATAGGTGTCACGTCTGGCTGTCATTTATTACATCTTGAGCACCATGCATATTCCAGACACTGTCGGGGTCAGGAGCCAGCAAACTTTCTCTGTAAGGCCCAGACAACAACTGTTTTCAGCTTTGTGGGCCTCTACATCCCTGTTGCCGCTCCCCAGTCCCACGGCTGCTGCCCTGAAGCAGCCGTGGACCCACACAAATGACTGCGAATGTTCTAAAAAACCTTATTTATGGACACAGAAATCTGAATTTCACCTAAATTCAAGTCACTACATATTATTATTCTTTTGATTTTTTTTGAATTATTTAAAAATGTAAAAAGGACTCTCAGCCGTGCAGCTGTATGAAGACGGGCAGGACCGGGTGGTTGTGTCCTGACGCAGGAGTCCGAGCGCGGACGCAGCCTCCCCAGGCCCGGGAAGCCGGGGCTCCTTCACCGGCCTCCTGCTGCCTTCTCCCCACTAAGGTCTGTGACCTCATCTTAAAAGCCCTTCTTGAAATGGGTGGTATGTTCAGGCTCCAGTCAGGCCAAGGTTAAGAGATGGCAGCTCAGTTCCAGGCTCTGGCATTTCAGGCTCTGAGTCCCTTGAGATAGGCGCAGTCCAGCTCGCCGAAGGAGTTCCAGCCTGGCATGGGGAGTGGAATACAGAGACCACGTGGCCAGGAAGCCTGGATGAGCCAGGAATTCAGAGGTTATCTGGGTCGGGCTTGCAGCACTGCAGGTCTTTGTTCCTTTCCGAGGGGAAAAGCCTGAGCGAGACTGAAGGGCTGACAGGGGACAGGTTCCTGGACAACACGCGGTCCCCATTTGGGTGTTGGGGCAGCCTCTCTGGAAGGTGCTAGTGGCCAGCGAGGTGCACCTGGGGACGTGGCCTCTGCCTGCCCAGACCCTCGGGACCTCACACAGGTCTGTCGTTGCTGCCTCCCTTGCTTTCCCGGCCTCTCTCCTCCCTGCTGCGGCGTCTGCCCCAGCATGATGCTTCCGTCACAGCACCCTCTTCAAGGCACCATGGGGACCCCAGGTCCCCCCACCATCAAATTTAAATCCTCCCCTGGTTTCTGAGCACCCCCACATGCAGACCCCAGACTGGCCCTCTCCCAACCCACAGAGGGGACCTCTTGGGACACCCCACCCTGTGCCATCTTCCACACCTGTGGGTGACCCACTCCCTCCCTCTGCCACAGCTGGCCACATCCAGCCTTGACCCTCATATGAAGAGACTTGGTAGTGGGGTCACAGAGGAGTGGTTTAATCATGCCACAGTCTCCTTACCTGTAAAAAGGGGGGAAATAAGAGCACCCCTCATGAGGTTGCTGAGGTTTAATTAGATTACGCACATCAAGCATTCCCAGAAGCCCCAGGGGAAACAGCACAGCCAGCAGCAGAAACCCCGGCCGACTCCAGAACGCATCCACCCCTTCCTTCTTTGAGTCTGTAAATTTGCTGTTAGAATTACACAATTACCACAACACATTTCCTGGATGGGAGTCCTGTCTCTCCGTTTAGGCTACAGACATATGAACCTTCTGTCCCACACACCTTATGCATTTCCTGGGCTCCCACGGGGCCTCTGGTGCCCCACAGCCCTGGGTCTGGACTGTCTTTTCTTTTCATTAGTCGACTGAAACGCTGCCATGCACTACTGAGCCCCTTCTTTCAGGAGGGGCTTCGGGGGAAGACTGCAGGCGAGTTATCTTCCTAATACGGCGCTCTGACGGGCCAACAGAAAGTGTGATCACCAGAGCCGGCCTGGAGATGCTCAACAACATCATCTATTTAAGCAACAAAAAAGAAAGGGCTTTCGTTAAAATGACCCTCTGGGCAGCAGCTTGGCATCCGGAGTGAACAGGAGAGTGCCGTGCGGTGGGGGCCAGCCTCCACCAAACCCCAGCTGTGGCTTGAGGAAGAGCCTTTCCAGGAAAGCCCCACGGTCCACCGCATTGCAGGCCCTGCCGTTGTTTCTGTGAGCCCCAAGAATCCAGGCTCCCCACCCAGAGCCCCCAGAGGTGTGGCCAAATGTTAATGGGCTCCAGAGGGGAGCCCAGAGGTATATAAGGGCCAGTGGGGCCAGCCAGACACCAAGGGACAAGCAGAGAGACCCGCCAGGCCCACGCGGACCACGCTCACACTGTGAGTAGCCATGGAGGGAAGTGGGTGGGGGAGGTGGTGAGCACGGGCCCCACCAGGGCACAACGGCGGAGAGCCGACCAGCTCCTATGTCCCTTTGCCACCTTCAAATGCTCGGCTGGGTTTCAGACCGAGTGCCCCAGCTGATTTCCGGTAGCAGGCTAAAGGTGCACAGAGCAAGCAGAAGCAGGGCTGCCCTGAGGTGCGGAGGCTGGAGGGGGAGCAGGTGAGTGCAACTCCTGGCCACAGAGAGGCTGTGTGGGGTCAGTGGTACCACCGACTACCAGCCAGAAACCCAAGCCAAAAACTCAGCAGGAACACAGGACCCCACGTGGCATGAAGGCTTTGCTCTGGGAAGTTAAGGGAAAGGCTGCTCCCCCGGGGGCTAAGGGCTGGCACTGCTATGGAGGGGCAGGTAGCAGACAGGCGTCTCTGGGCCAGAGCTGAGCGTGTGAAGGTGGAGCCCTGCCCCAGTGACAGACTGAGGAGTCAGCACTCGACGCCCGGTGAGCAGCCGCCCCCACCCCCAGCTCTGTGCTTCCAGAACATGAATGAATGTAGGTGACATGGATTTTGCTTTTTTTGCTTCAAGTTTTTATTGACTCTTATGGAGTGAATTAAATGCCAACACCAGAAGGAAAAGGGATCTCCATGAAGGAATGGGACACCTTAAATGTGACACACCTGTGTCCTCTGGACGGGACAGGCACCCCGAGAATGCATAGCAGAAAGATAGGAACAGAGGGAAGGGCCATGATTCAGAGCTCCACACCCCGAGGTCCTCAGTCCTCTCAAGATCCTACCAGAGGGGCAGTCTTCGGTGGGCGGTGGTCCTTCCCACCTTCCTGGAATTTGCAGGCAGCTAGCATGGGAGGCTTTGGCTGTCTGAACACTGATGTTCTTGCTCATGGAGTTGCATCCAGAGGAAGGAAGAAAGTAGGACAGGGCAACAGGGTAGCAGGAAGGCACAGGGAGTGCTCTGCTGAGCATAGGTGGTTTTAGGTGCCTGAGGAGCCCGGTCCGGGCAGAGGCAGGACACCAGCCTCGGAAGATTCTGCCCAAAGGGAGAGAGTGTGGGGCCTGCGGAGAAGCCTGGAGGCCAGCTCAGGCAGGGCACTCCTATTAAACAGAATCCTTTGGGGGGCCCCATGGGCCCCCAGAAGTTTGTTATCTGAAACCCTATAATTGCCCCATGCCTTCTGCAGCAGAGGCTGCCCTGGTCTTCCCTCCTGGCGCTGGAGACCAGGCCCCTCGCCTCCTGTGCAGTCCGCCCAGCCCAGGGGCATGGGTGCCCCGGGGACATTCATCAGGCCTGCCCCTGCGACACCCTAGTCTGCCTCTGTGACCAAAGGTACATGCGGTGAGGGGCTGGGAAAAGCACCAGGCCTCAGAAGGCCAGGCTTCGAGCCCCCCACTGCCTTTGATGAGCCCCTCTACCTCCCCAGGTCTCCTTCCCTCCCCAGATCACACCTGCACCCAGACGGACGTGAGGATCGTGTGGGAGGGGGTAGGAATGGTACTCCTGGCACCAATGTAAGGGATCATCTGAGGCTAGCGCGCAGCAGACCACACCCTCCTCCCCACAGGACCCTCCTGACCCTGCCCAGAGCTCAGCAGGCTGACCCCTTCCCCAAGTCTCCATAGTCACCATGCCCACCTGCTTCCGGCCAGGCCTCCATAGCCCACCAGACACAGCCACCTCCCGAGATGCAGGAGGACCCTGCAGGGCAGTTTGCAGGAAGCAGGTGCCCCCCTGCCATTTCTGCATGGCAGCGAACAGGCAATTAGATGCACAGGAACTGGGAGGGGCTGGTTCCAGAGCCAGCACTGGCCCTGGAGTGCTGCGTGGGGACCCCACTCCCAGTGCTTGGACACTGCTCCCTCTGGCTCTGCCTCCACATGGCCGAGGGTCTTGGCCTGGTGCTTCCATGTAGAGTTGGGTCATCTGGGCCTAAGTGTGTCCCTTTCAATGCCCTAATTGGCTGAAGGAGCAGGGTGGGTTCCCCAGGTCTTGGGGCATAGTTCTGTTAGTAACTGAGAAGTTTGTTCTCGGAGACACAAGGCCCCTGACACTTCAGGAGCCTGGCTGACCTCAGCAGACCTCGCCTCTGACAAAGAGAAGGGCCCACAAGTAGAATGATTCTTCCTGGTGTGGGCAGGGGCCAGGCGCCTCTCCGGGTCAGCTCTCACGGCTCTGGGGCAGATGGGGGCTCTGAGCTTATCTAGTGAAGCCCAGACCAGGCGCATGTCCAGAGGAGCTAAGCAGCTCGCACAAGATCACACAGCCACAGGCAGGCAAAGCCCGAGCTGAGGGCCCGGCCTCTGTCCGGTGCAGCAGTCCACCACTGCCCCAGACCCCAGGACAGGAGCTCCTCTTTGTCCAGCCTCAGGATGGTGTCCTGCAAGACTGTGGCTGCCCTGCTGGTGGTTCATGTTGTTGCTCTGCTGGCCTCCCAGACAGAAGCCTTCGTTCCCATCTTCACCTACAGCGAGGTCCAGAGGATGCAGGTAAGAAATCTCCGTGCTCCCCTCCACAGCGCAGCCCAGCAGCTCACTGCCCTGCTCAGCACTGGAGACATGTTAGTTTTTCTAAGGCACGAGTGTCTCTTCAGTAAACCTATGTCTAGTCAGCTATGCCAGGGACACCGAGGACGGCATGAAGGACCTGGCCCCGGGAGAACCCCAGACGCCAGCTGTCTCCCTGCCCTCCTCTGCTCCTCCACCAGTGCCACTCAGAGGTGTCAGTGGGGTGACATCTGTTCCCACTCCTGCTCATCCTTCCAGGGAAATTTCCAATTGACAAGTCAATACACTGGGTGAGAGGCCAGACATACAAGGAAATCTAAGGCAGCTCAGGAGCCAAGACACAAACACGTGAAAGATTCACTAACAATAGAAGACAAAAGGGAGATGTCACAGGGCAGGGGATGATTAATTAGCCAACAAGTGATGCTATTGGTAGGTGCTGAGTTCAGAGGAGGGAGAAATTGCAGCGGGCTGGTGCCTGTTCGGAAACCTGCAGGGAAAAGCTGACACCCGGGCCTCGAGCCTCGAGAGCAGGAGGAGGACTGGGTGGGGCAACTTCCGGGGAGCAGTGGCAAAGACTCCTCCGTTTAGAGGCCAGGAGGAAACGGCAGACCTAGTGAACCGGCGGCAGAGCCTCAGGACAGCTGGACTGCTGGGCCTGCCTCCCTGTGACTCTCACTTTACATGCAGGGTTTCTGAGTGTCTGCTGACACGGGTCTCTCTTTCGCCCAAGGAGACGAAGAGACCGGACTTTCACAACCCACCGGTGGGAGACAGAGGCTCCCACAGGGACAAACACCGGAGTCAGTCCCTGGGAGGGCGTGTGGCCCCTGTGTCTATACCCTCTGCCCCAGACAGGCATCCCCTGCAGAGCAAGGCTGGACCCGGTCCGCCTTCCTCAGGGACAGACAGAGAAACTGACAGGGGACCCTGAACACACTGTCCTCCGCCCACTCCCTCTCCAGAAAAGACAGCCTACTGCTCTAGAACTGCCCCGTCTCAGGGCAGGCCCAGAACCGAACCCCAAGGGTGTCCTCAGGGGAACCCAGCACAGCACTGCATCTGGTCTGAGTGCTGCGAGGCCTGGCGAGCCCGGGGCTGGACGAGGGGTCAAACTCAGTGGAACAGAAACTAGCAAAAGGGCAACCAAAGGGTGCTTGGCATTAATCTGCTGTGTGGTTTTGCTCCCTGTAATTGCCAGGCTCTGGCATCTTTAGGAAGAAGCTGCAAACTCCTTCCTCCGTAATTCATCTCCCTGTCTTGCCCCTTAGAAATCACCTCCCTGGGACTCCAGTTCCTGGGCCACCCCGTGGTGCCCTCACAGGCTAGGCTGTCTTGCCACCCTTTTTTGTAGGCTCTCTGCTAAGAAAAACACATTTTCACACTTAATGTGCATGAAGGGCAGCCATTATTTTCAACATTTTAACTTAATTAACAGTAACAATCCGGGCGCAATGTTCAACTTCAAAGGAATGGGCCCCTCCCCATGCTGACCGGTTAGGGGCAGCTCCAGGACCTTTCCCAGGCCGCTGGGTGTCCGAGACTCCTCGTGCAGGAGGCGCCTGGGGAGCAGGGGGTTTGTGGCCTGAGGGGAGCTCAGGCCTCTTGGCACCCTGGGCAGAACCAGACAAGGGCCCTCTGGGAGGAGGGCAGGTGTGATTTTACGCTCTGCCCCCAGGAAAAGGAGCGGACCAAAGGGCAAAAGAAATCTCTGAGTGAACAGCAGAGGTCTGAAGAGATGGGTGCTCTGGACCTCGCGGAGCCCACAGGGGAGAAAGAAGACCAAGTTATCAGGGTGAGCGGACAAGCGGACAATGCAGAGAAGCCTGGTGTGGGACCCCCTCCGCCCCCGCCGGCCAGCCTCCGGATGCGCTTGGGCGCGGTGCTGAGCCAGACATTCAGGCAATGAACTCCATCCTGGGGGGAGAGACAGACACCAGCTATGAGACACTAAACCATTTTAGGCACCAAATAAGGAGGTATTATAGAGCCTGGCCGGGCGAGATTCAGTGGGCACTGCTTTGGATGGGGAGGGGTCAGGGAAGCCCCTGGAGGAGGGGACATTGGATCTGAAGCCTGAACGATGAGAAGGAGCTCCTCCCTGTGAGGAGTGAGAGCAGGGACGTCCCAGCTGAAGCACAATGGTCCTGCTCAGGGAGCACCTGCTGGGTTTCAGGTCCTCGAGGCCAGAGTGCCCTGAGAGAGGGCAATGGGTCAGCAGAGTCTGGTGGACCTGCGACCACTGGGCAGCCTGAGGGAAGGCAGGGAACTAGTCAGGAGGCAGGCACAGTCCTTGGTCAGGAGAGAGGTGATCAGGACGAGGTTCCTCCGCCTAGACAGGAACCCGGGAGGCAGCCATGATATGCAGGCCCAGGGCGCAGGGCCTTTCAGCAACACACTAGCATGCACAGAGCATCCAGACTGGAGAGAGCCTCGAGTGTGTCCAGCACATCTCCGTGACTCAGTCACGCATGCAGGCGATGAACACCCTGCTCTGTGTGTGGGCCGGTTCTCGGCCCTGGAGATAGAGTAGTGAATGAAACTGACAAACCCACTGCCCTCCTGGCACTCACACTGGTCCCCCACCCAGTGGGCGGCTGGAAACAGATGCCAGAAGGATAGGCAACATGCCACATGCAGGGTAACAAGCAAACCTTGTGGTATGGCAGATGGTGATACACGCAATGGAGGAAGGTAACGCAGGGAAAGCAGATGGGGTTGGTTGGGATTTTAAAAGGGTGATCAGAGCAGGCTTCGTGGTTAGAGGGTATCAGTGTGAAGACCCGGAGAGAATGAGGGAGAGGAGCAAAAGAGTGTTTGGGGGAAGAGCATTCCAGGCAGAGGGAGGAGCAGGGCCAAGGCCCTGGGGCCTCAGTGGGCGGGCACATTCAGGGAACTGCGGGAGGCAGAGCACCAGAAGAGAGGGAGTCCGGAGGGTGGGCTTTTCATTCTCTGGACTCGGCTTTCACTCTGCTGACTGGGAGCCTTTGTGGGCTTTGGGCAGAGGAGGAACATGATCTGGTTTGCATTTTCAAAGAGTCTTCTCGGCTTCTGTGTTGAGAACTGGCTGAAGGGGAAAGGCGGAATTAGGGAGACCACTGAAGAGGCTGCAACGGTATCCGAGGGACAGTGGTTCAGCCCAGGTGGTCATGGTGGGGGCAGAGCAAAGTGGTCAGATTCTGGAAATACTTTGGAGTTAGAAGCCCACAGGATCTGCTGAATATACATAGAATGCGAGAAAAGAGAAACTGACTTCAAGGATTTGGGCAGGAACTCCTGCGACGGGGAAGCCATGGCTGGCTGCAGGTTGACAAGAGGAAGATCAAGGGTCAGACTGGACCCGTGAACTGTGGGATGCCTGTCAGCATCTGGGGGGAGATGCCACCAGGCAGGTGGATATACACGAGTCAGCCCTTCAGGAGAGCTCAGGGCTGGAGACACACCATGAGAGTCCTCAGGTCAGAGGGGATTTCAGTCCAGGACAGAGTGAGCTCGTTAGGTGGGTGTGGGTGGATGGAGCAGGGAGAGGCCCCAGGGCTGAGTGCAAGGCACTTCCCTGCAGAGATGCCTGCGAGGGGACCAGACTGACGTCTAGAGAGAGCAAGGGCCTGGCCAAGGTCACACAGTGGTCAGGGTAGAACTGGACAGCCACCTGCACACTAGCCAGTGATCTTTCTGCCCCCCTGGGTTGCCACAGCATGCTGTCCCCAAGCAGGGAGGTCAGACCTGTGGCCCAGGAAGCGATCTTGGTGCAGTCGCTGCACCGGGCGGGGAGCTCCTTCCGCCCCTGAGGAGGAACTGGGAGTGAGTCATTCAGCTGGCAAAGGGGGAGCTGGCTGGAAACTGCCTTCTCACACGCAGCAGAGGCAGTTACTGCACCGACTGAGGTTTCCACGGTACACGTTACATCCAATGAAACATCTCCAGAGGCTGTTGGAGTGAGGCACCTCTTGTGCCCTATCTATCTCCCTAGATTATGCCATGCAGTCCAGGAAAGCCCTTACGGGTCATCCAGTCCAGCGCCCTCATTTTACAGTGAGGAAGGCGAGGCCCAGAGAAAGGTGTAACCACAGCAGGGGAATGGCAGAGGCCGGGCTGGGACCCAGAGGAGCACCTAAGGTTGCCCTTCAGGCACCTGGAGCACGTTTCTCAGCCCCACGGAGGCTGGTGGGAGGTGGGGAACAAGGTGGTTTGGCAGCAAGACCACTGAACTGGGAAGCTCTGGGGGACAGCGAGGTCAGTCTGCACCTCTGGCCCTGCCATGGAAATCTCTCTTGGTGGCGAGCCTCCAGACAGGTCCTCTAGGGCCTCACCTGTGTTCCCATAGTGCTAGAGCAAGTGTAGCTTGGTGGTCCTTGGCATTGATGGCATTGATCCTGGAGATGGGCCCCCTGGGTATACTGTCTTCTTCCTTGCTATTTAGCACCTATGTGGCCTAAAGCAAGCTATTCAACGTTGTACTCAGTTTCCTCATCTGCAAAATGGGGGCACTAACAGTCTCTACATCACAGGGTTATTGAGAAGCTTAATAATAATATACTAAGGCACTTAGGATGGCACCTGGCAAGTGGTGGTATACCCTTCAGGAGACAGGGGAGGGGAGTGTCCTGCCCACGTGAAAAGCCAGCGGGCTTCCCGACAACTCCACCCCTCCCGCCCCAGCTTCCCCACCAGAGGAGGTTTGTTAATCACCCTCCCAGAAGGTCTCAGTGGCTTCCACGACCCAGCCCCCTGGTTAGAACTGGGGGGGGGGAATTGAGGGTGGGGGAGATATGGAGGGGACGCCAGAATTCCAAGCTGGCCCTAGAAGCCCAGAGGATTGGGCAGGGTGGGGCCAGCAGAGTGGCATGGCTCCTGTAGGGCACCCAGAGGTTAATGGCCCTCTCCCTGCCTCTCCCTTCTTGTTAACTCTGCCTTATTTCACAGCTGACTGCTCCCATGGAAATTGGAATAAGGATGAACTCCAGGCAGCTGGAAAAGTACCGGGCTGCCGTGGAAGGGCTGCTGAGCAAGGTGCTGCTGTCTACCCAGGATGGTACAGCGGGAGGGTGGGTGGGCATCACTGCACAGGGCCAGCCTCCGCCCACCCTGAATTAGCATTCCAGCAGCGAGCAGTCTGGGGGGGGGTGTGTTTGGGGATGGTGATTTGTTTGTCTGCTTTGTACCTGAGAACATGAAGCTGCTTTCTCCTGCAAGTGTGTCCTGCCCTGCGGTCACTAAGCCTAATCATGGGGCAGGGCAGGCTCTGGTGGCTGCTGGGGCCCGAGGAGCCCAGCTTCCAGCCAGGGCCCTATGTCCAGGGCCGGCCTGGATGGCGCCAGCTCGGAGCCCAAACACCTTTCTGGCAGAGGGCTACAGCAAATGACAATGCTCCAACCCTCCCCTGCTCCAAATGTGTTCATTCCCTCCCCAAACACCACTGTGATTTCTCTGAAGGAAAAAGTGCAGTCTGCATTTTTTTTTGCATCATTCTGCACATCAAAGTCCTGAGCCCCCTTTGGCCTTGCCCAGTTCAAGGTCTAGGCTGACAAACAGCCACTTATTACTTTTCACAGTCCCCAGGAGAGGAGAAAGGCAGGGAGGAAGTGTTGAAGGTGGAGAAAGGGGTTCAATGGCTTGCCCCAGGCTACGGAGAAAGCTAGAAGTAGAGCTTCCGGAGGTCTGGCAAAACACACCCCTGCTGGGTGTGCCTCTTCCCTGGGTGCCCCTCCCCTGGGTGCCCCTCATCCCTGGGTGCCCCTCATCCCTGGGACCTGCAGGCAGGTTTACAAGGTGGTTTCATAAGCAAGCCTGTTGACACTACTGAGCTGCAAATCTTTGCTTTTCTCCAATAGCCAAATGACAGCCCACTGCACTCCTGGGAGAAGGTGGTGGGTGGCAGAAACTGAGAGGCCCACCCCCAGGGAGGCCCCGGAAGGCTGCATGGCCTGGCAGTGGGACTGGAAGAAAATCACCTTCTCCCAAGCAAATCCCCCTCCAGCGAATAAAACGTGAAATATACAGAAATGACTCTTTTATTTAACATCTTAATTTCCAAAGGTCAAACTCAGATCATGCCATAATGGGAAAAATAAAGTTCAGAGGAAGTTTGGCCACAAATGGTGCATACATTAGCAAAACATGTGTCTTCTAAGTTCTAAGTTGGAAAATTAATTTAGGCCACAGAATTGGAAGATTTGCACTGGCCCTCCCGTGAGAGATGAGGAACAGGCCCAGAGAGATGGCGCTTTTGTCCACACTGAGTCTGTGGCTGAGCAGGGGCTGGAGTCAGGTCTCCATCCTCGTGCATTTCCCGTTCACCAGCAAGCTCCAGGCCTAATGGGCCAGAGATGTGAAGGCACGACCCCTTGCTGACTTCCTGCTGGCCTTCAAACTCAGTGAACCTTTGCAAAAGCACGGTGGTGATGCCCGCCTGGAGATGAGGGCATGGAGGCACCAGTAAAGGGCAAATTACTATTATTATTATCACCCTGTGACTACATGCTCCAGCATCTGCAGCACAGTCACACCACCAACCCACTTATTTCTGCCTTCTACACAAAACTGGATGGGGCATTCATTCTAATTGAATTTCACATTAATGAATGTTCATTTATTTATAAGCTAGGGCCATACGGGAACCTTAGGTTACCAGCAATTAGACGCAGTGCTCGCTCCATAGTTCCACCCACCCGCGCCAGTGCAGGGGCTCAGCCAGAGAGTAGTTACTGGAACAAGGAAGCCCCAGGCCTTGGAAAGGGCACTCCCCAGGGTGCTCTGAATGCTCCCAAGGAACACCCAGACCCTCCCTTGCCCCAGCTCAGTTTCCAGTGCGCTCCAGTGCACTACCGTGAAACCCAAGCACAGCTGCAGGGCCCTGGAAATGCTGCCAAGATGCCAGGCAACAGATGGAGCCAGGGTCGCAGCAGGACACGTGGGAGAGAAAGGAGGAAAAGACACGGGAACCTGTAAAGCCTGCAACTGGGAGGAACTGAATCCAAGACTCCTGGCACCTCCAAGCTCTGTGCCAGTCACTGAACTACCTGTAATGCGCTCCAAGAAGCAGGAAAACAAAATGCTCAGTCTCTTCCCATGTGGGAAGACACAGATTTCATGTTGTCGCTTGCTTGCCCATTGCTCAGACCTGCCCCTACAGTGAGACCACCTCCCCCATCACCAGTGGGGTGCCCGCATCTGGGGCAGGGGCCCCAGTGCCCTCTGAGGATTTTCTCTAGGATCCTGGGGCTGCAGAGCAGCCTTGGAATAGGCGCCAGGGAGGGAACTGAGACCCCTGGGAGATTCACCCCATGTACTCTGCATTTCTTTTCAATGGGAATTGGATCAGCAAGCACAGCCCCTGGAGTGAGAGGGCACTGCCTGTTCTGCAGAACGGCCCTGTTCAAAGCTCAGCACTGACGCCAGCTCGGTGGAGACCCTCCCGGGGCGGCCTCTGATATGCTTCTGGGTAACGAGCTGCAAGGGGACCCTGCCACCGCCAGCATCCGCGTGCACTGCAGCCAGGGCCCTATTTGGATGTGTCTGCTCCTTTCTTCTCTCCTTTTCCTCCTCCCACCACTGTTCTCACAATCGGCTCAAATAATTCTTTTCTTCCAACATGCTCCTCCAGTTTCTGGGACAGCAGGCTGGATTGCTTACAGGACCTGCACAGCCCTGGAAGAAATTAAAATTGGGGGAAGTTTGGGGAGGATCCTGTAAGCTGAGCCAAGAAAAAATGACCATGTTTTCACAGAAGTAAGGAGACACAGTCCTGGCAAAGGTGCTAGAATGACTGGACCAGGACTTAGCCTGGATCAGATGGGGAAGGGCCCGAGGAACCAGTCAACAAGGTTGACGGGCCCTTCCTCACATCTGACTGAGGTTTATCCAGCAAAATCTGCAAGACTCTCTGCAGATACCTGGCAACTGTGGACAGTTACAGATCTCCCTGTCTCCACGTGGAAGGCACCGCACACGTAACAGGCCCACAGGTAATTACAGCGCAACCTGAACTAGGTGCACAAGACAGAGATGATAAGCCATTTTCTCCGTAACCACATCGGTGTGATTTTATAATTACTGAGCTACATGAATTTGCAGTGAAATTGAATAGTTAAAAGCAAAGAGTAATTGCCTGGTATCTGTACTCTGTAATTTAGTGTAATCTAATCATGGACAATGTCCAAAAGAAACTATTTGAAAGCATTATATTTTCTTCACACACAATTCATTTCTGACATTGGGGGATATATTCCACGCCTCTTAAGGAACGCTTACCCACAGATATCAAAGTGTAAGAGAGGCCGAAAGAGTTAGAGTGTTGTCTCATTGTCACCAGAAAAGCAGGTGGCAAAACTGCCCATTAAACCCATTCCAGCATTTCTCAATGACACTCTTTGGCCCCTCATTGACCTAGAGAGATGGAGAGGGTCTTTCTCTTCCACACAGCACTGAGATGGGGCAACAAGATGCTGGGCAGTACTGGGCCATTCCAATCCAGATTGGAGCCCCACGTGGCACCCACGCCATCCCTTCTTTTCAACCACACTCTCCACTGCCCCCCTCCAGTGTGATGCCACCATGATGCGGTTTGAAGGAAGCCCAGAATAGCTGAGGGACACACAAGGCTGGCAATGAGGTAGATCAAGGACAAGTTCATGGTCCCTGAGCATCTCTAAGGACTTGATAAATGTGTGCAGGGCTTTGCAGGAGGAGGAGGAGGAGAGCAGAACCCGCTAAAGATTCACGGCTGTTATTATGGCAAGGCTCTGCTGAGACGGGAGGTTGGGAGGTCGGCAGGACGGCGCGGGGCGGCCCTCTGGGGATCCAGAGCTGCTCTTCCGAGCACCCCTTGCTGTCACCGAGTGTGTGGATGTGGTTACTAAGTAGGTGTAGACACTGGAGCTTGTTTTTCCTCTTCTGCCTTTAATAAGTCAGGAAGACTGACCGCAACATGAGCTACTCACCTTAAAAAAAATCACAACAAAGTGACAAGAAAGGAGGGCACGCAAGGCAGCTGTTGACTTTGCAATATTGCCCTTTTCTTTAAAATACAGACAGGCCCAGCTGAGGAGACACAGCGACATCACAGAAAGGCGGACTCAGAGAAGGCCCAGGAGGGCTCACGGGCAGCCCCCCATGGGGCAGGGGTGGCAAGGAAGCACTGAGGCCCTGCCCCGGAGTGGGGACGTGAGGCTCAGTGAAGGACATTTGAGGATGGTTGTGTGGAGGAAAGTGAACAGCAACAAGCTGACTTTGCTGAAGCAGGAAAAGTTGAAGGAGGACCCAGAGGGGCTGATAATCCAGGGAGTTCAGCAGGAAAAGGAAAGGCAGAGACCTGGGAGGAAGGACTGGCTTGTGAGGTTTTCACTGACTGCATTTTCCTACAAGAACCTCCATGGTGAGGTTTCTTCTCTCTGGGGCGGGAGGAAGCTATGGTAGGCTCGCCTGCCCACAGGGTGGCACGCCAGCATGCCGAAGGCCAGCTGGACCCAGCGATCGAGGCCTGGGACTGCTGGGAGCCACCATGGAGGCAGAAGGGTGGACCATGGTGGGTGGGAGGCACTGCCGCACACACGCTGGGTTCCAGGCCGGAGGGAAGGCACAAGGAGGGGAGGGGCGGGGTGTGTCAGCTGGCCCCGGGGCTGTGTGGCCAGGGCAGCAGCATCTCCAATCACAAGGAAGCCTGACAAACCCACAAAGCCCACACTGGGCGCCACCGCTGGGGTGGCTCTGGTTCAGTCTGTATTTTTAATCGCTGAGACCCATTGTGATGATATAGACAGGACTCTGCAAAATGCTGTGACTAACTTTGTTTAAGCATCGGTTTCAAGCCCTCTTAGAATACACAGGGCCAGTACTGATGCCGAAAGGCTCATTCTTTATATATTGAACGACACAGCTGCGAGCAGTTGCACAAATGTGACCAACTCATTTGTCATGCAAACAGCGCTTCAGAAAGGAATAAAATACTATTATGTGGTATACGCGTTAGGCAATCACTATATCAAATCATGGCATTCCGTGCAAACACAGACAGAGAAGAGGAAAACAGCACTTGGTGAAAGAAATCGCACCACATGGGAGCAGCTAAGTCAGGGGCATGGGGAGGCGAGGACGGAAGCCCAACCAAGCCAAGGCTGTAATTTTCCTAGCAACTGCGGTCAGCTTTGAATACCACTGTGGCAAAGCAAGTGGAAGGAATGCAAACCACAGGCAGAGGGACCTTGCCCACAGGTAGGACCAGGACGGGGACAGGAGGGGGAAAGGTAGGGGTGAGCGATGGGACTATAGGGGAAGAGGTAGAAATGAAATGGAACCCAGGAGGCCTGCCATGAATGTGTGGGAAAAGCAGCTGACGAGGGATGTGGAAGGAATACAAAGAGGGGGAAGGAAGACAAGCAATAGTAGCTCTATTTCCATTTGCCGCCGCCACTTGCCAGGCTTCCCTTGGGCTTTCTCACTAAGAGTAGTCAGGTAGTCAAACAGCACCTTGCAGGAGGTGTGCACAGCAATGCTGCTACAGATATGGGTTAAGTATAAACACTAAGGAGTACGTACCAGGCACTGTCCTAAGCACCTTACAGAAATAACATCTTCTCATCCTCCCGAAGCCAACAGGCTTACTAACCAACGGGCTAGCAGTGCTAACTGGAGGTGACCGCACATCTAAGAGCGGTGTGTCGATTCTAGACCCCGAACCCAAATCCATCCCCCATCCATCTCTCCGCGTGAGAATCCCACCACTCCAACACAGCATTCTTGGGAAGCCTGAACTGCCCACTGCAGCCCAAGGATATTTGTGTTCCTCTGCCCCCGCCAGGGTGCGATGCGGCTCCCCCCTCCAGCCCACGCTCGCCGCAGGCCTGTTTCTCTGGTTCAAGAAAACGGGACTGCGGCCACACCCTGAGGTCGGACAGGTCTCGGAGTGTGCGGGAGGATCCTTCTCTACGACCCAAACAAGACCTTTCCCTGAGTGAGCAAGGGATCAATATGGGCCCTCAAGCAGAGAGAGGCGAAGGATTCTGTCTCTCCACTTAGGCAATGGCTAGCCTTTCATTCTTAAACAATTCATCCATTAAATCAACATGACTTCAATTGAGAGCCTACCACGTGCCAGGGACTAAGCAAGGGTCTGAGGATTCAGACATAAACACCACTTGGTTTTACACGTAAGGAGAAGCAACTGCAAGTGAGGAGGGAAAAGAGAAAAGGAATTAAAACAAATCCCTAGGACCTCCCCAAGATGGCGGCCGTAAAGGCTGAGTATGACCTCCTCATCATGGCTGGCCCATCGGGTCAGGCTCTGACCCTCTCAACATGGCGCCCTGAATGACCTTCCTATCATGGCGCAGGGCTCCGCCCGCTCCGCCGCCGCCGCCGACAAGAGCAGTTCCGGGTACGGTGCGCACCGGGGGCGGTGTCCTGGCCATGGCCGGCCTGTCAGACCCGGAGCTGCGGCGGGAGCTGCAGGCCCTGGGCTTCCAGCCAGGACCCATCACCGATACCACCCGGGACATCTACCGCAAAAAGCTGCGCTGCCTGAAGGAGGAGGCCCGGACGCGGAACGAGGAGCGGTTGCGGGAGGAGGCCCGCCTGCGCGCCCGGCCTGCCGCGGCCTCCCTTCGGGCAGAGCCCTGGCCCTCCCCGCCAGCCTCCAGCTCTGCCTGCGTTACCGCTGGGGCCTACGGCGATCACGGCGCCTCCGCGGCTTCTTGGTCTAAGAGCCGCAACCTCGCCTACCCCGCCCGCCCTGTGCCGTTCAGGCGCCACGCCTCAGTACGGGGCAGCTCCGAGGAGGACGAGGACTCCCGGCCCCTCCACCGGGCCGCGCCGGGTCTCGGGACCCGTCGTTGGTGGGCCGCGTCCCAGACACCGGTGCGACTGCCCTCTGCCCTCCTCGGCCCCGATGCGCGTCCAGGCTTGCGGGCGACGCGAGCGGGCCCAGCGGGCGCCGCGCAGGCCCAGCCCGAGGTGGGGCGGTGGTTGGAGCGCTGCCTGTCCCGGCTCTTGCTCTGGGCCAGCCTGGGGCTGTTGTTCGTCTTCCTGGGCATCCTCTGGGTGAAGATGGGCAAGCCTTCGGCGCCGCAGGAGGCGGAGGACCACAGTACGTCCAGGGCCAGCGCAGGGGTGGGCCTGGGCACGCGTGTGTCTACCAGCACGCCCACCTGTCCTTTCTACACCAGGCTGCACAGTCCCGCGCTTGGTCAGGTGCTTCTTGTTGTCTTCCTACCTCCAGACGCTGACTTTCCATCCTCCGGCTGTGGGAGAGAAGGCCCGGTGGCGATTCCTGCATCTGCAATAATTGCTGTCTTCACTTTCTCCTGTTCTCATTTTCTGCCCTAGTTCTCCCTACTAATCTACCCCACAACCACCTGCTGGAAGCAATCACTTGTAGTTAACTTTTACCCCAGACTGTGGTTTTCCCTCTCTAGAAAAAGCTGCACCCCATCTCTAACAGACATGTCCATCCCCATTCCCTTTTAGTTATTTCTTCCCTTTTGATCTCTTGCTCAATCACACATTAGTGCCCATTTGAAGGCATCCAGGTTTCACTGCCCACGGATGGGATCTGGTTGGGGTCCCAGCTTTGCAGAGCCAAAAAGGCCATGTGCTCACTTCTTTGGACCATAGGACTCTCTTGTCAAAGGGAGATGATACTAGCCCTGCCTGTGAGACAAATGTGGAAGAATCTTTTAAAGGCTCTAAAACTGATATAAAGGGTGGCATTTATCATTGCTTGCAGCGTCCTCATGGAGTGTGTCGAGAGAGGGTCCTGTGATTAAAGGACACTCCCAGCTGTGCTTCAGCCCACACTTAGTGACATGGTTAGACATGCCAATAAGAGGTCCGCCCACAACAGTGTGTTCCCTGAATAGTTAAATTTCCTGAATTCGCCTCTCTGGTCATCCTGAGCTCTAGCGTAACAGGAAACAATATTGAGACCATGGCTTTATAAATTTACGTGTAAAGTGACACTCTAGTTCACCACAAAAGAATATTCTTTGCAAAGCAAGAATGTGATTAATCCTGTTCCCAGACTTGAGCCAAGGCTACATCTTCCCATGCCTGGCAGCAACAGCCACAATGCAGGGAAAAGCTGGAATACGTCCTAGCTGTTGCAGTGGATGGATGTTTGGGTGTATGGACAAGTCTGTGGGCATGGGGATCCCAGGCTCGTGCACACACTCAAATAGTCTTGACTATGAGAGCAGTTTACCCACCCGCTACAGACAAGCAGATCTGGGAGTGTCAGGGTGCTGTCATGTTCGTGGCGGAGATGCTCTAAGGCAGCAGCTCTTGGAGATATTCCGGGATTTACTTGGAGTTCCCCTCCCTGTTCAACGTGTCATTGTTTACGATTTATAAAACTCCTGTGTGTTGTTCGAGGCTAACTCCGTGAGTTAGGCAGGGGAGGCTTCATTGACCCTGTTTTACAGATGAGGAACAGCGGTCCAGAGTGGTCGAGCTGCCAGAGCCTGTGGCTCATCATTTTCCTCTGGGATTAGGACCCAGCACTCCTAACTCCTAATCCAGGGCTGGGAAACCCTTCCATTTTATTGTCTGTATTTTACAAGTGCCTCATTCAGATGACAGCTTTCTAATGCCCCCCTTTATGTTGATAATGTTTCACTTCTCCTGAATTTTGAGAGTAGTCCCTATTTGTACTCTTTCCTCAACCCACCTTTTAATTTCCTCTGTGTTTCTTTTCTTGGTCTCAGTGAAATTATTGCCAGTGGACTGTGAGAAAAAAACAGATGAGGTGAGTTTGAGTTTCTTTAGTTTTTATTCCTTGTGAGTATGTTTGCCTCCATCAGGAGGTGAACTTCCCCAGGAAAAGATTATATAATAGGATCCTTTCAGGAGTGCTTCGTGTAACACAGCAGAACCGCGGCTGTTCTGTGTTTGTGTCCGACCGCTGTGGCCGTGAAGGTGCTGGAAACAGAGAGTTGAGCTCCCCAGACCCAACCCTGGGCTTGTTACCGGTCAGTCAGTCAGTCGTAGTGCTGGGGACCTTTATCTTTTCTAAGTCCGTCTAGACCTAGGGGTCTGGGGGGGGAGACAGTAACTTGTGGTGGAAGGGCCTCTGTGCTCCCTGGCTTTGGGAGGAGGGGCTGGCAGTGTTAGAGCAACAAGAGGCCAAGTTCTCAATTCCACATTCTCTTCTCCGACAGTACTTTTGTGGCTCTGAAAATGCTGTTCTGATGTGAAACATGGTGGGGGAGGGGAGTATTTTAAACACTTCTGAAGTGGACTTAGCCGTCTTAGTCTATAGATTTGTTTTATGAAGCTTTAACATTCCCTATAAATAATATTCAGGGACAGTGCCCCGTCCACTTACAGAAGGAGTGTTAGTGAGGAGCTGGATGCTGGTGCAGGTGGTGGTGTGGGAAGGTGCGAGGCTGTTAATTTTCAGGTCACAAATCCTATCAGGAGGAGCCTTGCACTGCCGGAGGCGGGACTCAGTAGTCCTGTTGTTACATGTGGCATGCGGGGCCCCTCGGGCCCTCAGTTCACGTCCCTGCAGCTCAGGGCCTGGGAAGGAAGCCGCACCTGGTCGTCTCCACGCCCCACCCGGACTCTCTCACCCATGTTGGGGGGGAGGCATCCTGGTTCAGCACCCATTTTTATTTCTCTTTGGCTTCTGCTGTGCCAAATTTGGGGGTGTTTTATTACATTCATTTATTGTACTCACCCACCAAATACCTTTGCTTTCCGATTGTTTTGTAGAAACATATGCATAAGTTTCATCTTTCATTCATCATAAAAGCACAGCTGATGGTTAGAGAACGTAGCCCAGAAACACAGGTGGCAGCTACAGGGGAAGCTAGATCTTGAGGACTGAAGACCAGAAAGGGAAAAAAAATAACTTTCTATAAGACTTCTCTGGTGATAACCAGTTTTGTTTGTCTTTGAATTAGAAAACGGTTCCCTGGTTTCTGTGTCTTGGTTTTCGCACCTGTAAGTGCATCAGGCCCCCCACCTCCCTCCAAGGCAGACGTGTCGGGTGAGCCCAGACGGCACAGTAGGCCCTGGCAAAAGGTGTGCTCGGTGGTACTCGTATCGCCGGAGCAGGGAGAACCAGGGTCTGGGCCGTTGTCAAGGGCTCCGTTGAGCCGAGATTTTGTGAGGTGCCCATGGCCTTCATGGAGAGAGGACCCGGGAGATGGCAGGTTGGGAGGCACTTCTGGGCTTTGCCGAGGCTCTTGCTGAAAGTCTGTGATTTCTCGTGTGCTCTGGCTCCCCCGGGACCCAGCGGGGCGCTTCGTTTCTTTCCCTTCCCGGGCCACTTGGCACTTTGTGTTTTCGTGCTGCCTTTCTGCTGCTGGAAAGGAAAGCACAGGGCCAGGCGGGGGCAGGAGTGCTGTCTGAGTCGGCCGCCTGGCTGTCTGGGACCTCTGTGCTCTTTCCTGCGGGTGGCGTCGTCCCCACTTCGCCTGGGTGTTGGGGTTGGAACGGTGTTCATCACCACTGCCTTTTTTCTGCTTGTGACTGTAATAGCTGTTTAGTGCAGGAAATCTGAAAACTGACAAAGAACAATCGCCCATGATTCTGCCACCTAGAGATAATTACTGTTAATGTTTTGGGGGTACTTCCTTCCTGTCTCTGTCTGTATGTTTATAGAATTGGGTTCTCGATATATATTAAGTTATATTTAACAGTTATTATCAGCATTTTTCATACCTTGAACATTCTTTAAAATAGTTTGGGTACCTGACTCTACTAGAAGACACACGAGTTGTTTCTAAACATTTATGGTCATGGGTATAAATCTTGGTTACATCACTTTGCACCTTGTAAAGGTTTTCGGGTCCTTAGGCAACATCGGGGGACAAACCTTGTCCTCAGAGAGTGTTGGAAACCAGGTTCCCTCTGTAGTTGCAGCACCAGGCCCAGAACCAGGCCTCCCAGCTCCAGTCCCAGGCTTTGCCCGGTGACACTCCGGAGGAGGCCTGAAATGTGGGTGGTGGGCGTGGGGTCGACTGGCGTGGCTCCACCACTCGTGAGCTGTGGGGTGTTGGTGGCTTACCCAGTGTCTGAGCCTCAGTCTCCCCATCTGAGAAACTGGGGTACAGTGAGGGTTGTGGTGACGATTCAGTGCGCACTCACGTACACACCACTCAGCACAGCACCTGGCACTTCGTCCACACTCAAGGAAGAGCATCCTTTTTTTAATGTTGTAAATCCAGTGAGTCTGGCGAGATGGCCTCGGTTCTGTTACAGGTGCTGGAGGACTAGGTGTGCATAGATTCCTTTTCCTGTTTTCTCACACAGATGACTGTTCTCCCCCTACAATTTCAAGATTTCTAGAAATTGTACTTTTTTAGACAAATCCAGTGTAAAATTAAACATTTGCAGCGGATACTTCTCAAGGCAGACAGTCCATGGGCAGATTGTAGACACTCGAGTCTTCAAAAAGGGAGGAGTGGACCGGGTGGAGGCGGGGGGAGGGGGGGCCCAGTATGGAGAAAGACCAGCAGCCCCTGCGGTGCCTGTGCCTTCCCAGGTGCCCGTGCTTTCCCAGGACAGCTTCACTTCTCCCAGCCACCTGGCCTGTGCTCCACAGCCCCACCTAATGGCCCTTATTCCTGTGGGAACCATGGGGCAAGGGGCCAGGGAGCCTCTAGGATGGCAGACCTTTAGTTACTACATCTGCTTAGTTACTGTATCTGCTTTCACTCTGCTTCTGCTTTTACAAAGTTCCTTTTCAGTCAGTTAACCCAGTATTTATTGACCCTGCCATTGGGCCCCCCATTTTGCAGAAATGGGTTTTTTAATTTTATTTTATTGATTATGCTATTATAGTTGTCCCATTTTCCCCCTTCACTCCCCTCCACCCTGCTCACCTCTTCCCCCCACATTCCCCACTTTAGTTCATGTCCATGTGTCATACTTACAAGTTCTTTGGCTTCTACTTTTCCCGTACTATTCTTACCCTCCCCCTGTCTATTTTCTACCTACCATCTATGCTACTTATTCTCTGTACCTTTCCCCCCTCTCCTCCTCCCACTCCCCTGTTGCTAACCCTCCATGTGATCTCCATTTCTGTGGTTCTGTTCCTGTTCTAGTTGTTTGCTTAGTTTGTTTTTGGTTTTGTTTTAGGCGTGGTTGTTAATAATTGTGAGTTTGCTGTCATTTTAGTGTTCATATTTTTTATCTTCTTTTTCTTAGATAAATCCCTTTAACACTTCATTTAATAAGGGCTTGGTGATGATGAAGTCCTTTAACTTGACCTTATCTGAGAAACACTTTATCTGCTCTTCCATTCTGAATGAAAGCTTTGCTGGAAAGAGTCATCTTGGATGTAGTCCTTGCCGTTCATGACTTAGAATACTTCTTTCCAGCCTCTTCTTGCCTATAATGACTCTTTTGAAAAATCAGCTGACAGTCTGATGGGAACTCCTTTGTAGGTAACTGTCTCCTTTTCTCTTGCTGCTTCTAGGATTCTCTCCTTCATTTTTCCTTGGCTAATGTAATTATGATGTGCCTTGGTGTGTTCCTCCTTGGGTCCAACTTCTTTGGGACTCTCTGAGCTTCCTGGACTTCCTGGAAGTCTATTTCCTTTGCCAGATTGGGGAAGTTCTCCTTTATTATTTGTTCAAATAACTTTTCCACTTGTTGTTCTTCCTTTTCCTCTTCTGTCACCCCTATGATTCGGATGTTGGGATGTTTAAAGTTGTCCTGGAGGTTCCTAAACCTCTTTCCTCATTTTTTTGAATTCTTGTTTCTTCATTCTGTTCTGGTTGGATGTTTCTTTCTTCCTTCTGGTCCACTCCATTGATTTGAGTCCCAGTTTCCTTCCCATCACTATTGGTTCCCTGTACATTTTCCTTTATTTCACTTTTCATAGCCTTCACTTTTTCCTCTATTTTGTGACCATACTCAACCATTTCTGTGAGCATCCTAATTACCAGTGTTTTGAACTCTGCATCTGATAGATTGTCTATCTCTTTATCACTTAGTTGTATTTTTTCTGGAGCTTTCATCTGTTCTTTCATTTGGGCTATTTTTTTGTGTCTTGATTAGCCTGTTACATAGTGAGGGGTGGAGCCTTAGGTGTTCACGAGGGTGGGGTAACCCATATGGGTGTGTTGTGACGCTGTATGTGGGGCAGGGGTCCAAGAGGGAACAATGGCACTTGCTCCGCTCTCTGCCAGCTTTCAGTCACTTCCCTCACTTCCCACAAGCAAATTGGGCCCTTCCAGTGCTGATTCCTGGATGGGTGTGTTTGTGTACATTCTGGGACCCTATGGGTCTCCAACAAACTCTCTTGTGGGTCTGGGAGTTTCTCCTGGCACCTCAATCCCCACAGGTGTTTTCAATTGGTGTTTTGAGGCTTTATTTCCCTGCGCTGGAGGCCTGGGTTGTGAGGTCTGTCTTGCTCCCCAGTTGTTCCTCCCGGTTTATCTGCGCATGAATGTGGGACCACCAGCTCCACCAGCTGCCACTGTGCCCGCCCCCAACCTCCAGCCACCGTCTTGCAACGAGCCCTCACCGCACACCCATCTTCACCCCTCCTACTGGTCTGGATGAATGTTTCTTCTTTAACTCCTTGGTTATCGGACTTCGAGACAGTTTGATTTTCTGTCAGTTCTGGTTGTTTTTTGTTTTTAAATTGTTGTTGTCCTTTTGGTTGTGTGAGGAGGCACAGTGTGTCTACCTATGCCTCCATCTTGGCCAGAAGTCCCATTGCAGAAATAGTTTTGATTTTTTAAAAGCATGAGGCGTTCCTTGCCACTTAGTACTTGACAGTGTAGCTGACAAGACAAAGCCAGACAGACAGACTCCCGCCTTGCCCACCATCTTTGCTGACCGCTTATCCTGTGTCCTCTCAGTTCTGTCAGGCCAAGCAAAAGGCGGCCTTGCTGGAGCTGCTGCATGAACTCTACAACTTCCTGGCCATCCAAGCCGGTGAGTAGGTCTCGAGGCCCCAGATCCTCATGAGTGGATTGTGGGCGGCTGAGGCATTCTGTCGTTTTCTCCCCAGAAGACACACTCATACACCGAGTCTCCACTTCCCTGTTCCCCACTCAGACATTTGCTTAAGCCTTTCATTTGGGCAAAACACATTTGGTTCTCACATCCCGTTGAAGGGTCCCAGGGGTCCTGGAACATGCACAGGCCTCTCAGCAGTGGTGTGCCCTTCTCTGGGGCAGCCCCACCTCATGCTTGGGGGGTCTGTTACACTGGAGGGGGCCAGGCCCCAGGTCTCAGAGTCTGGGTTGTCCCACCTGGAGGACCTGCCGCACCGATGGTTGGCCAGGACGGGTGGAGAAGCCGGGGTGTGACAGGGCCCTGCGTGGTAGGCTGACCACATTCAGGCCTGGGCAGCCTGCCGAGGCCCTGGCATCACATCTGCTCCCAACCACGCCAGCTGGCTGCAGGACCTGATAGTCTCAGGGCCTCTGTCTCTCTGTCACTGAGTGATCTTGGGTCTGTCTTTTCCTTATAAAGTGAAAGTCAAGTGCTGTCCTCTAGCAGAGGGCATTCTCAGCACCCCAGGAAAGACCCTCTGAAAACTCCTTCCAGAAGACTCCCCAGCTATTATATTTGGTAAACCAGGTCCTTGAGGCCAGAGCATCACCTGCATTATTGTGTCTTCCTCACACCTGGCATCTAAGAAGACTCTCGAAATCCCTTGCTGATGACACAGGTGAATTCCCAGGGCGGTGCCTGTATTAAATACTCTGGGCACGAGAACCAGACGGAGCTGTGCAGCCTTATGGGATGTTGGGGAGGCGCCTCTTCCCTACAGACCAACACTTGCCTAAGGCCGTTGCTGAGAAGTCAAGGCTGGGTAAACTTCTACTAGGCCCTCAGTCCTCTGGGCCAAGCGTGTGGGCCTCAGCTCTGCCACCTCTTCCCTCCTGGCTGGTGGGAGACTGGAGGTGGTCAGGGGGGCATCTGTGAGCTCCTCAGAGGAGCGATAGGAGTTGGGGCTCACAGCATCACGGGTGTTGTGGGCATTTCCCTACAGCCCAGGTGCTCGGGATGTGAGTTCTGGCCGAAGAGGGTGCTCTGAACATTTGTAGCTTGATTGTAGTCCAAGCACCAGCAGCATCTGTACCACCTGGAGCTTTTTGGAAGTGCAGAATCCCAAACTACTGAATCAAAGTCTGCGTTTTAATAAGACCCCAGGGGATAAAGTTGAGAAGCTCTGCTCTTAGACTGTGACTCCTAGTAGTCGTTTCTCCTGCATCCACACCCTCCAGGTGTGGTTCTTACTTATGCCATCCAGGGGCCTGGTTCCACTGTCCTGTGACAGACGTGACAGGGGCAGCCCTGAGGACATGCATCTCACTAAGACACACTGCCAGGGAGTGTGGGCTGTCTGCTAAGCAATCCTCCCTCCCCCAACCTCCTGTTAGAGGTCAGCTATCAGCAGGGTGCAGTGCTGACCTTTGTAGGGTACACGATGGCCCAGCCCAGGGTCCTGCTGCAGGCACCACCTACCTCCCTGACCACTGGGAGATATAAGAGGCCATTGGATGAGAACTGAGAGGCCAGAAGTTTCCAGAGGCACAATGTCTTTTAGCTAGAATAATTAGGGAAGTTTCACGGGGGAGGCCCTGAAGTCCAGGTAGGGTTGGTTTTGTATATGTGGGAGGAAAGGTAAGGTCAGAGAGGCAGGAAATTACAAGGTCAGGGATGGAAACAGTTGGCTTCATGGGGGAAGGAGAAACAGGGAGTGGAGTTTGAAAGGGCCAGTTGGGGCTCACGAATGCCAGGCCACTGAGACTTAGTCCTGCAGCAGTGAGGGCCAGGGACGTGCCGAGAGCGAGGTGCTAGGAAGGCCGCATTTAAATGGAGCAGTGGCATTTAAGCAGAATTAATTTAAAGCTTTAAACTGTGAATGAGAAAGAGTAGAGGAAGAAACCAGTCAGGAGGCCATGGCCATGGCCATGGTCCAGGCAGGCCATCTGGGTGGGGGCAGGAGGATGGGAGAAGCCAGCTTGGTCTTGGGACCCAGAAAGTCAAGATCAACTTTGAAGTAGGAACAGTGGGCTTCAGTTCATTCTCAAGATTTTGAATGTTGTCTTCAGCCACTCCTCCCCAGCACAGACACACACAGAGTGGCCATCCGAAGCCCCCAGACTGCCAAGCAAAGGGCAGTCAGACCACATGTGAGGGTTAAGGGTCTTTACCTGCCCGGCCCTGCATTGTCCCTGCTCAAGGGGTCTATTGTTGAAGCAGCTCATGGTAGGCAAACCGCAGTGGGCAGTCAAAAGCGAAGGGCTGTGGCGGGCCCCCAAGTTCCTAGCAATCTGGCCAAACAAGGGGCCCCCACAGGCTGGGGGCTTTTTAGAGGAGGGGGCCTTTGGGCTGGACCTGAAAGAATGGCAGGTCTAGGGGGAGACTCCCAGCTCCATCCTGGGTGGGAGCTGGCCCCCCAGGGTACTTAGAAGGGAGCTTTGGATCACTGCTGAGGCCCCGCTGTCCCATGCACAGACTCCCCCTTCCTCCATGGGGCATTTTGAACATCCATCCAGGCCCCCTCAAAACAATGGGCCTGGCATTCAGCGTCACCTGCTCATACCATGTGTCAGAACCCTGCAATGCCTGTGGCCTCCCTGCCTTTCTTGTCCCAGGCTGTGTTTATTTATAGCGCCATTCCAGTACCTTCCAGAGCTATCTGTCTGATCCTTTCAGGGATCAATTGCAAACAGACCTTGGTATTGGGCAGCTTTTTAGTCGTTTAATGCAAATCACTGCACTGCTTTGCAGGTCAGGTTTTAATGATCCAGAATCGACCCAGGCTAAATGGCTTTTGATCCTGCTGCAGAGGAAGATGACCACGGATGCCGGAGCCCCAGGCCACATGCTCCTCTCAGAGTTAATGGCTTGATTCTTGCTGCATTTCTTAGTCTGTTTCAGAGTGATTTTTTTTCACCTCTTTTTTGCGTTTGAATGTGTGTTTTTCCCCTCCTAGGTAACTTTGAGTGTGGAAATCCAGAGAACCTAAAAAGTAAATGCATCCCCGTCACAGAAGCGCAGGAGTACATAGCGGTGAGTAGGCTGAGGGCTCACGCTCCTGGGAGGTCTTGGCACTTCGGTGCTGGTTTCCAGACTTTGTGTTTGTTTCTTCTCTCCTTTTCGCTCTGTGTTTGGTTTTGGAGGTTTTTGCTCTTTCACTTTTGTAAATTTAGTTGAGTGCTAGGCAGCCTTAAGTTAAGGCAGCAGTGGGGGACGACTGGGGCCAGGTTGAGCTGTGAGCTGGAGTAAACCTGCCACACCCTGCTGCGTGCACACGTGCGCCGCTCACCACTGACCAGCGGGGGGCCACAGCAGGCTGCCCTTCTAAAATGGTCCTGTCACTTGCTCCTTCTTCAATTTGCTTTTCTCCCCTTCTCAGCGGCTTTAATATACACCTGTTGCCTGCCCATTCATCCTCTCCCCTTATAAGTACTGTGTGGTTCGTTCAATTTTCTGCATGGCCTCAGGATGGTAGAATTATGGGTGTGTGGAGCTGGCAGGAACCTTGGTCACCTAGTCCAATTTTCATTCCACAGATGAAGAAACTGAGGCCCACAGAGGGGCAGGGACTTGCACAAGGCCAAACAGCGGGGACTGGTGGCCAGGCCCCTCAACCCCCACACTTTTTTTCATTTTACCCAAGGTGGGCTGCTACCTCACTGGCCTTCAGTCCTTGAGAAAACTCTACCCTTTTGGCTGCCGCAGACCCGTGTTGTTTCCCTGCATGTGCTTCCTCGTTGCTGCCTCCAGTTACAGCCTCTTCCTTGGCTCTCATCAGCCCCCAATTTCCTTCCTGCCACATGGCCGCGCATTGAGCAGAGCATGGCTTTGGGGCGTGCAGAGGACACAGGAGAGGGCTTCCTGAACCCGGCAGCAGAATAATATTGTTCTAGCTGCTCTGCCCAGATCCAGAACTAATCTTCTCCTGCCCACTTCCACAGAATGTGACTGGCAGCTCCTCCGCCAAGTTCGAAGCTGCCCTGGCCTGGATATTGAGCAGTAACAAGGACGTGGGCATCTGGTGAGTGTAATGGGGCATCCTGAGGGGCGCTTGAGGCTGCTCTCCTCACCCATTGGCCGACTCCCTGGCTCCAAAAGAGGCCTGGGGTCCAAGGGCAGAGGGCGGGTCTCCCAGCTGCGTGGCTGTGGGCTGGGCCCGGAGCTGGCCATGGGAGGAAGAAGACTTAGGAAGCAGGGCAAGGAGCATTTTCAAGATGAGACACAAAATGCAGGTATCAAGACGGCAGCCCAGTGCTCCAGCTAAACCCACGCCACGTGACTCAGTCCGTGCCATCTCAGTGCACCTGCTCCGCGTGGTTTTCTGGAGTAGGCATTCTTCTGCACATCCTTTCCTCAGGGGCTAGTTTCCATGTGTAGATGAAATGATTATGCATGTTGGTTTCACTCTATGGGAATTGCAGAAGGAAATACTGGATTTTATTCTGACTGGGCAATTTCACCTCGTTTCTCTGTGGTGAGCACCGTTAGCAGAGACAGTGAGCCCTTTTGACTCCCTGGAAGGCCCCATGGGGCGGGGGTGCGGGGCACTGGCTGGTGCTGGAAGCTGAAAGTTCCCTGCTGGGGGAGCATTTGCCCCATCACCCCGCTGCCTGGTGTCCGGGCTCGTTAGGGGCTCTGCTCAGGCTACAGCTCGATACTAAAACAGTCTCTGGGATTTTGTTCTTTTCCTCTCTAACCCACCCAGATTACTAATTCCATCAGCTGTGCATCCAGCGAAGCCTAGGGCAGCTCATCCTAAAAGTTGAGAGCTGGATGCATGGTACAATTAAAATTCATTGGCTAAAAAAAAATAATAAAGCTTCTCTGAGTGGCTGAACAGTTTTCCTGTGTTAGAAAAGGCGGAGGACTGTACGCAGCTGCTAACACGGGAGAACGGTGACACTCGCTTTTTTGTACTGGGCAGGGCAGCCTGGAGGGCTGCTGAGCCGGCTCTCGGCCAGGGTGAAAAGTGGGCTGTGAGAAACTGGGACACTCGAGGTACCAGCCAGTCCAGTGTGCCGTGGGGAGCAGGCGCTTGTCACCTAGCCGGAAGGTGTGGGTGTCAGCACAGTGTCCCGTGGGTCCTAACGCCTCCTCGCCAAGGGCCAGGCGAAGGCGCTGTGCTGGGGCCTGGCCACGGAGAGAGACCCTCTCGCCCTGTGCCTTCCCGCACCTCCCAATCTCTTCCCTTAAACAGCTTATGTGCCTCCTCGTGACTGAGGAGAAGCACTCTCTCCCAGACTCTGTCCTTTAGTTCTTACCACGTAGCGCAAAGCCAGTGGTTCGGTAAACATTTCCATTTCTCTATGCTGGGAGGTGGGAATCCAATTTATAGTTTAATCTTTCACACGCTGTGAGGGGCTGTCAAAGACCCAACAAGGGGGACATCACTTTAGCAGTAGGGGTCCAAGCATGCTGCTTCTTTAAAGCTTTATTCTTTCTAAGTAGCCAGCGAGGGAAATTTCTGGGAAGAGCGCAACTAGGATACCAAGTCTATTTTATAAGCAAGGAGAGGCCTTGAAGCCCCTCCTTCCAGCTCCTCCTCCTACTGAAAATGCGGCTTAGACTGCAGCTCTTCAGAGCTTTCAGACGTGTTTACAACCCCATGTCCTGTTCCAGTTTGAAAGGAGAAGACCCATCTGAATCAGTGACAACCGTGGACAAGGTGGTCTGCTTGGAATCGGCCCGCCCCCGCATGGGTGTGGGCTGCCGCCTGAGCCGCGCCCTGCTCACCGCAGTCACCCACGTGCTCATCTTCTTCTGGTGTAAGTCCTGCACACAGCGCCTCCCAGGAGCCCGGCTCATGACACTCCTGGGCACGTGTGATGGGTTACAGAAACCCGGCCCTCGAGTGCTTGTTTCTGTCTCGTGAGCCTGAGGTCTGTCTAATAAAACAGAGGGCATGAACAAGCCAGCTTCGGCCCTGGGTTGTCTAACTGTAGAGATCGGTGCCAGGAACATGAGGTTAACTAGAAAATGTCCTTGACTCAGGGAAGTGGACTGTCTGTGTCCCTGCGAGGGAGCCGGGCCTGGGCTGCAGGTGGGTGTCGTCCCTTCCAGGACCCCAAAATGCAGGCCACTGCGAGGGGGAGATGCGGCAGGAGCTTGGTCTAATTTTACTTCCCGAGCCATGTAAACGTCCCCTGGGAAGCTACAGACACCTGATAAAAGCAGGAAGAACCCAGCTCTGCTGAGCTGAAAAGCAGAGTTCAGGCCTTGTCTCCCAACAGCAGGGCTGCCTTTGAGCGGAGACTTTGGGGAGTCTCTGAGGGGAAAAGGTCGAGTCACAGAACCCACTGGCTCTGCTGAGATAGCCGAGGTACAAATCACAGGCGTCTGGGCGAGCACACAGCTCCCTCTCCCACGCCATCAGGCACAGACATCATTATCGGCGGCAGCATCTCGGAACACAAAGGGCCCGGTGGGTACACATGCATGAGACCCCGGGTGCCGATTCACAAAGGAGATGAAAGCCCCAGAATGGGCTTGGGAGGAGCCGAGCTCTGGACGGCTGCACAAGCCTCCGTGGTGGCAACTTGCAGGGAAGGAGATGATCACTTAATAGCCTGTCCTCTCTTTGCATTTCTGCGTCCTTTGCTTCCTGCCTGTCAGCCCTGGGCCCGACACATACAGGACTCAGAACACATTTGCAGCTCACCCATAGCCTCCAGCACAGTGACTGCCCATAGTGAGACCCAGTGCGCATCTGAACATCCGGAAGTGATGTGAGCCTTTATAGCGCTTTGTTCCAACACAGGCTTGGCCTTTCTGTGGGGACTCCTGATCTTCCTGAAATACCGGTGGCGCAAGCTTGAAGAGGAGGAGCAGGCCATGTATGAGATGGTGAAGAAGATTATAGGTGTGTGGCCCCTGGGAAAGGGCTGCTGGCCGCCAACAGAAGGTCCTTGCTCTAAACTGTGCCCTCTGTCCCGCAGATGTAGTCCAGGACCACTACGTGGACTGGGAGCAGGACATGGAGCGCTACCCGTACGTGGGCATTCTGCACGTGCGTGACACGCTCATCCCTCCGCAGAGCCGGTGAGTGCTAGGTCCGAAGCCTCCCAGTGCCTCCCCTCAGGTGGCCCCCAGCCTCACAGGTGGGGCACTGTCCACGCCCCCCACCGGGCCTCCAGCGCTCGGCTATGTGTGGCAGGAGGCACAGACAGGTACGGGGCTGGTCCCGCTCCAGCCCTGCCAGTGTCGATGCTGGTTGGGGTGCTTTGGGCAGCAGGTACCCAAACCACCCTCTTCCCCAAGGGGCTTGGGCAGGGAAGGACCTGGTGGGTTTCCACGAGTGGCGTGCGGAATCATGTGGGCTCTGGGCACAGACAGTCAGGTTTCGGGTTCCATTTCTCCAGTTCCCATGGTCCTGCCCTCCGTGGATATTGTCGGCCGGCTGAGTTCCTCACGGTCACAACCACTGCCTGAGGCTTCGCTGGTCCAAATTGGTTAGTTATCCTTAAATCCATCGCTGGCAAGGAGGAGGAGACTTCCTCAAAAAAATTTTTTAAGAATTTTTTCTATGGTTTGTTTTATTCTCATTTTCGGGAGGAAGGAAAGGGAGAGAAACATCTCTGGGAGAGAAATACCGATTGGCTGTCTCCTGCACATGCCCCATCCAGGGAGTGAGCCCACAACCCAGGCATGTGGCCTGGCCAGGAACCTAACCAGCAACCTTTTAGTTACGGATGACACTCCAACCCACTGAGCCACACTGGCCAGCTGCTTTTCAAACATTTTAAACTATGATCCACAGTCAGAAATGCCCACTACCTGAAACACGATGGTCCAGTTCCCACACACGTGCATGTACATGCCGTCAGCAACGAGTAGAACCAGCCTCCAGGGTGCTGCACGGGAAGGGATGGCAGGCGCGCCATGCTGGGCTCCAGGGCCACCTTCCACATGGGCTGCAGGTGCTGGATGGGCCACTGAAAAAACCAGGGGCGGGTAGAGTTGGGGGACCGAGTCCCAGGAGGCAGCTGCAGAGTCCCCCACACTGCCACTCACTTATCGTCCATCCACCACAGGTTTCCCTGTGGCCCCGGGCTGGCGGGGCACCACCATCTCCTGTCTGGGAGATGCTAAGACTCACACTGGCCGACGGCTCGCTGTGAGCAGGCCCTGCCCTGTGCCCTCCGCTGTGCATGCTCCCTCATTTGGCTCTCACCATGGCCTTGCGGGGGCAAGAACAGAGAGAACCCCACTTTACAGATGACGAAATGAGGCACAGAAAGGTTAAGAAACTTGGTCAGAGGCTCACAGCTGGTGGCGTTTCTGTGCTCCCCTCTCTGGGCTTTTTGGTCCCAACCCAAGAGGAACTGGGAGAGGACATTAAAGGGCCCTCTTAAAAAAAAATTTTTTTTACTTACTTATTCTTAGAGAAAGAGAGGGAGGGAAGCATCAGTGTGTGCTTGCCTCTCATGTGCCCTGCACCATGGACCTGGCCTGCAACCCAGTGATGTGCCCCAACTGGAAATCGAACTGGTAACCCTTTGGCTCACAGGCCAGCACACAACCCACTGAGCTACACCAGCAAGGCTAAAGGGCCCCTTTGAAATGTGAAGATGTTTAATAACTGTTACGACCACCTCACCCCCTGGGAAAGTGTGGGCAGAAAGCTTAGAACAGACTGCCCCCAGCATGAGGCAGCCACTGGGGCAGGTCTTGGGGCAGCAGCTGGTGCGCCCAGACTGGTGCACCCTGACTGCTGCGAGGAGCCAGCACGGGACCAAGGGTGATGACCTCTCTGGACTACTTTCCTCACTCACAGAACAGATAACATCACTCCCTTGCAGAGGCCTCTGGTGAAGAGAGGCTGGTATTCCCTCATTCACTCAGCAGCGTTTATTGGCGCCTGTTGCCTGCCGCACTGCCCCAGGTCCTGGGGAGACGGCGGGGAGTGGGCGAAGCCTGCCGGAGAATTGGTTCTGAGGAGGTAGGCACAGGGAAAGTGGCCTGAGAATGTGCACTGTTGGATAGTGACACGTCCTCAGGAGATGCGCAGGGGGTCAGGAGGCAGCCTCCTAGCCCTTGAGCACTCAGCAGGGCAGCCGTTATTGCTTGGACTTTAATTATATGCAACACCCATTCACTTAAATTGCAGTGGGAAGTGGCATTGCCCCTTGTCACAGCACAGAGACGCAGGCAGCCACCCCACAGGGTGAGAGTGACCGGAAGGCTCAGGCCCTGCCACTCTCAGCGTCTCCATTCCTCTCCAAGCCGCCCAGTCAGTTCAGCGAAACCCAGGTCTCACAGGTGTGTGAGCTGCTGCCAGCCCAGCACGGCGCACTTGGACGTGCCCCGTGGGGGAGGGTCTGCTCCTGAAAGCCGGGGACGTGGGAAGAGAGTGCAGTGAGGAAGCAGGGAGCTGAGGGGAGAAGCTGCTGGGCTGCCTGTTCATAACCTGTTAATGAGCAGCCTGGGAAGGACCACCCCCACACAGCGCAGACTGCTGCCCCCTGTCAGGGCCCAGTATGACAGGCTCAGTCCCCAGGCATGTGGCCTTGGCCAGACCAGCCGAACAGCTGTGGAGTTTGGTCGGTGGCAGGACCCACCCCCAGGGAAGGAAACCTCGACACCCCCCTTTGCCTCCTGACTCATGGGTCACCTCAGGAGCTCCCCACCCTTTGTCCTCCCCCAGGCTGAGCCTTCCTGCTCTTACTCACATGCACTCACTCCCCACGCAAGTGTTTGTGGGAAATCAGCAGCAGGGCTGACGAAAGGCACTGTAAACAGTAGATACCCAAGCACCCTACCTGCCTGCCCTGGTGTCTTCCCATCTGGTCCGAAGCAGGGAGAGGAAACGGGGCTCTCCCAGGGGATGTGGAGCCTCTGGCTACTGGCCTTGGCTGGCCAGCCGGCCGGGAAGCTCTACCTGGTGGCCCAGGTTCCTGACCTTCCCAGCTGGATGCTTACCTCCTCCCCATCCCCTGAAGTGCTAAGGAGTTTGTGGACTTAGCAGCCCAGCGGCCACCCTTTAATTAGCCCACATGAGGCATTAAGATGCAGGCGGAACTGGTTGTGGGCCGCCTGGCCAGGCTGCTGCAGTATCAGGCCCGGTGAGCACAGCGCCTTCCCACTCTGACACCCAGGGCCACTCCAGACACCTCTGGCCCCGTTCAGCTCCCTGTAACAGGATGCTTTTGGAAAAGAAAAAGTTGTGGAATCATTTGTCCAGGACCCCCAAAATTTCCCTCTGCAGGAGTCCTATTGGTACCTGATGGCTGCTCCTTCCATAGATAAATTCTGCACGGGACTCTGGAGCTTTGTCCCCTTTATACAAAGGGCGTCACCCACAGACCAGCTGGCCCTCCCTCTCTCTGCAGGAGGCGCATGAAGAGGGTCTGGGACCGGGCTGTGGAGTTCCTGGCCTCCAACGAATCCCGGATCCAGACGGAGTCCCACCGCGTAGCAGGAGAAGACATGCTGGTGTGGAGATGGACTAAGCCCTCTTCCTTCTCTGACTCTGAGCGATAAACTTCAACTGTAGCCCGTTCCCAGTCAGCCTGTCCCGGCCAGTCCCCTCAGGGGCTCAAGAAGGCCAGCAGACCTGCTGGTGCTGAATTCACACTTGCCTTGACTTTCACCTCCTCCTGACCTTGTTTCAAAGGTCTCTCTGTAAGACTCTTCAGAGATTAGCTTAGCAGGACAGTGCGAGCTTTCTTGGAGGCTGGAGGAGAGAGGCCAGGGGCAGGTGGGTAGTTTGTCCTCTGCTTTGGCCCCATCTTCTCTGTGCTGTTCTGCTGGTGGAGAAGTGGAGAAGGGTTTGTTTTTCACAAAAAGATAAAAGCAGCAGCTGTGAGATCCTGTGGAGCGAGTGTGAGGTTGGGTGTGGACACTGGGCAGGGAGGCGGGATGGGGCGGTGAGCTGGAGCAGCAGGGGTCAGGGAGCAGCTTATCCATGTGCCTTTGGGGGTTGTTACCTGGGAGCTCCAGGGTGAAGGGAGAAAGCCATCCTCCAGCTGGATGGGGCCTCTTATCCTGAAGGGGGAAGGTGCTAGAAGTTAGAACAAGTGCTACAGGAGAATTATCTAGAAACGGATGACCCTGGCACGCAGGCCCTCAGGTCAGGAGGTGTGAGCTGCTGGGTGGCTTCCTGGGAGGAACCTGGGGTAGTCACGGGGCCTGACAGCAGAGGGAGTGTTGGGGCTGCACCAGCCACCATCTCCGTGGCCACCCAAGGAAGCCTCCCAGGGTGGGCCCCGTCAGTGGTGCTTCTCACTGAAGACAAGGTTTTAGACCAAACCTTCCGCCAGGGCACTGCATCATGCCCACAGTGCCGATTCTGGGACTTCAGGAGCCTTGCACTTCCAGTGTGGGAAGAGCACCTTTGTTTACAGCAACCACAGCCAGCCAGGGGCTGGTTAACCAGAACCTTCAGCACACACTGATTTCTGTGCTTGCAGGAAGTGCAGTGGCCGCACTGCTGGCCACAAGAGAGCCGGGCTGCGCCACCTCAGACCCTCCCAGCCACCAGCTCAGCAGCCTCTGGTCAGGGGTGGTCCCCGGAAACTGGCTGGTGCAGGGCCTTATTAAGTGCAGGAGCCTCTCCAACTGAATCTCGTGCCCAGATGTTCACATCCGCAGCAGGCCAGCGAGGGGGCAAGCAGGGAGTTGCAACAGCTGCTTCTGAAAGGCATTAACCACCCCTCTCTGGCCTTACTGGCATTTTTTTCTTTTCTTAATAAAGCCCAGTCTTCCTCGTTTGAGCAGTGCTCTCATTTTCTCTGAGGCCTGGGTGACTGGCGGGGCGGAATCTGAGCGCTGGCGCTGAGGCAAAGAAACTGTCTCGTGATCAGACTTCATCCAGAATTAGGAACGCAACAGGCTTCACTATCCGGGTCGATAAACAATTTATGAAAAGTGGGTGTGCTGCTCGTCTGTGGTTCTCTCCCTGTGCCCCAAAGCAGTGTAAGAGGAAGGGCGATGTGCCGCATGGGCTGAGCAGGATCCCTGGGCCTTCCTGCCTCTGGACTCAGGGGTCCCTCGGCAAACCGCAGAACTTGGAAGGACCTGTTTTCACGTAACGGTGACAACCCCTGCAGGGCAAACTGACCAGCTGCCTGTTTGGTCCCAATGGGTGACAATGAGTGGGGTCGAGAGAGCTTCCCTTGGGCCCCATTTCCACCTCCCTTCAAGGCCCCAGGTGCTCAGACCAGCCCCAGGAGACAAGCAGTGTGAGGCTGGGCGGGGTTCCTTGGCAGCTAATGCAGGAGGCAGGAGGTTGATGCTGGCAGCAGAGGCGTCTCCTCGGGCGGCCCACTGCCGGGGGAATGGCAGTGCAGCCTGGGGACCACACCTGCAGGGCAGAGGTTTGCCTGGTGTGCTTGGAGGGCTGGCTGCGCCCTCTGGCACCAGCCCCACCCTGGGCACAGGAGGTGTGGGGTGAGAGCTGCAGGTGTCGGGGTGGCACCCTGACCTGGAGGGCCCTGCCCTCTCAGGAAGCAGGGGAAAGGGCAGCCTCTGAGCTTCCCAGCCACACCCACCCCACCTGTGGGTGGTGACTGGCCTGATCTTTGTCCCGTCCTCCCATCAGCTGGAAACTCCACGGATAGATCAATAATCAAGGAACCCAGAAACAACACAGAAGAAAATGAGCCCGTCTTCCCCTTTTCTGTTTTTCAGTGAAAGATTTTTCCCTGCACTGTGTTTTGTCTTGAGCTGCGGAGGGAGCTGATGCAGGGCTCTATTTCTGTGAGTTGTTAGGAGAGCAGGAATGAGATCAAAATAAACGAAATAACAAAAGCCACCACCCCACCCCGCGCCACCAGCCGGGCCCTTTATGGTCCACAGAGTGCTGGGCACAAAGGCCTCAGGTGTATCCTCAAAGGGCTCAGGCTCAGACCCAGCTCTGCAGCCATCTCAGCTTTGAAGGGCCATGGACAGTTCAGGGAGCTGGGTCTGCCCACACAGGGTCCTAGGGCATCTGGGTGGGAGCTTTGTTGAGAGATTTCAGTTCCTCCGCCTGATACCTCCCAAGCGCTTGCTGGACCACACACCTACCTGCATTTCCTCGGTGACAAACAGCGTCCAGGCTCCATGGGCACCAATATAGGAACTTGAAGGTGAGGGAAAAGGTGGTACCCACAAACCTCGGCCCTGGTGTCCACCCAGGAGCTCCAGGCCACCTTCCGAGTCTCAGCTCAGGAAAGTGGTAAACACAGCCATTTGTCACTGACTTACAGGAACCGCAGTAGCAGCTGTTCCCCTTAATAAATACGCCATTGACTTTGAGCCTCAAAAAATCCCTTTGTTGAGGCAGGGGTGTGGACTCAAGTCCATTATCCTGTCAGCCTCCCCCAGAGGGGAGGGGCAGGCACTGGGCGCCGTGAGGTGACCCAGGTTTCCCAAAGCAGCCCTCCCTGGGCAGCCAGGCCAGCTCTCCACTGGGTCCCCAGAGAAAGCTCTAGAGACAAGGAGAAAATCTGGCCAAAGGGTCCCACAGTGCACCAAGGAAAAGAGGGGTTGGGTGGGGACATCGCCACCGGGTGCTGCCTTTTCTGGAGAGGGGGGTGCTGCACTGGGCAGCATGGGGTTGGGAGCCTGCCCTTCACTGCCCGGGACCTCGAGCAGGTTGCTGCACCCCCCCAGCAGGGGAAGTTATTAAGAAAGAAATGAAAATATTAGCCAACATGTGATAGCATTATGACACATTCATAGTAAGCTGTAGCCCACTGAACCCTCACAACTACCCCATGCAGTGGGTGTGTTGTTATCCCATTTAGGGGGGAAACTGAGGCACAGGGAGGGCAGGTAGGTGGTAAAGCCAGGGTTGAACCCAGACAGCCAAGCTCCAGAGTCTGTGTTCTTGTCCCTGCTCTTTCCCTTCTCCAGAGAACAGAAGAGGGAGCCATGCTCAGAGCCTGCTGAGGCTTTGATCCAGAGGAAGAGGCTCTGGGAGTCTCCTCTCACCTGCCCTGCTGGTCTTCCCCAGCTCTGCTCAGCCCGCGCCTCACTGCCCTCGCTCTCACCAGGCCCACTCCTGCCTCTGAGCTTTTGCACTTGCTGTTCCACCCACTCTGCTGGTTTCCTTCTCCCCCCACCCCTCGTCTCCTTCAGACCACATGCCTGCACCCAACCCCACACAGCCTCCAAGGCCCAGCCCTTCTTTGTTTTTCTCCTAACCCCAGATGTGCTGCATATTTCACCTCCCTACTTGTACCTCTACCCGCAGGTCACCAGCCTGCTACCTGTCTCTCTGAAGGGTCCATCTCCCACTGCCCAGGGAAATTCTGGCCACAGAGGGAATCAGGCTGGACTGCCTGAAAAAGGGCAGGGCTCACAGGCAGAAAAGCACAGAGGGATTCAGCCTTCGCAGACTGAGATTTGTTTTTGCCGGGTTTCCTCACGTGGAACACTGGAGGGCCTGCCAGCCCGCAGCATTGTGTGACAGCAGGCCCCTCCCCTCTGCCAGGCACCGAACCAGACAAGCCGCAGGCATTGTGTAAGGCACTTTGTCTGCAATGTGACATCTCTGAGGCACAGGTGAGGTGAATCAGGGCTCCGAGCCGATTATGTAAGAAAGGGATAATGTTTTTTCCTGCCAACAGTGTAGGCCAGCCCATGGCTGAGGCCCCATGAAGTTGAGGGTGATCCTTTTGACCTCCCAGGGGTGTGGCGAGACTAGCAAACCAGGGGAGCACTGCACAGCTCTGGGTCAGCACTGGGCTGGCCGGCCAGGCGGATGAGCAAGAGGAGTGTGGAGCGGTGTCTCAGGGACGAGGAAGAGCTGTACCGGCTTGGAGAAGAAAGAGGAGAGAGGTGTGACTGGGGATTACGGTCCAATTTCTAAGCAGCTTCTGTTTAGTGAGGAGATGGGAAAGTACAGTAATTTTCTTCAATGAAAACAGGCAACAGAATTCCCTTTGCCTAGTTCCCCTTGCAATTAAGCCCTTCGCTGCAAATGAAGTGATTTGGTTTTCGCAGGGACTAATTTAAGCACACTGGAAAGGCCGCTGAACTTTCTGATTGCAAACACCAGTGCGTGCAAAACAGAAGCCCAGGCAGCAGCCAGGCTGGAGGGGTAGGCCCTGCTGTGAGGCAAGTCTCCCGTGGGTGAGCTAGACGAGTCCTGGGCTGGGAGTCCAGCTCTGCCCCCAAGTTCACGTGCCGGCTGTCCTCCGTGTGGCCAATTCCTCCTGCCCCCTCGAGCCTCCATCCCACATCCTGGTGTGGAGGTTGCACTGGACCCCGGGAGGCAGGTTCAGAAGCCTCTGACACCTTGGTGATGGCCATGAGTTAGGTGCCACATGTAGTCTGCCCCTCTGTCACCAAGAGGTGCTGTCTATTTCCTCTCCCTTGAGTCTGGACAGTGGAATTTAGCCAGAGGGATACCCGTGAGTTCTGGCCCAAGGTCTTAGAGCCTTCTCACTTCCACTCTCATCCTCTTGGGCTCAGAGCCACCATGGAAAGAGGAAGCAGCTGCACCGCTGGAGAGACCCTGCAGGGAGATGGATGCCCACCAGCCCCCAGCTGGCGCACGACAGGTAAGACTGAAGCCGCTGGTACCGGCCCCGTGCAAACAGATGAGCTGTCCCCGCCAAGACCTGCCCAAACAGCAGAAGCATGAGTAACAACACACGGTGGGGTGTTAAGCCATTTAGTCCATACTGTTATAGTTTTTTAAAGGTATATTTTATTGATTATGCTATTAGAGTTGTCCCATTTTTTTCTCCCCTTGATTCCCCGCATCCTGCACACGCCCTCCCAGCAGCATTCCCCCCTCTTAGTTCATGTCCATGGGTCCATAAGTTCTTTGGCTTCTCCACTTCCCATACTCTTCTTAACCTCCCCCTTACTATTTTGTACCTACCATTTATGCTTCTTATTCCCTGTACCTTTCCCCCTCTCCTCCTCCCTCTCCCCACTGATAACCCTCCATGTGATCTCCATTTCTGTGATTCTGTTCCTGTTCTAGTCATTTGCTTACTTTGTTTTTGTTTTGTTTCATTTTTTTAGGTTCAGTTGTTGATAGTTGTGAGTTTGTTGTCATTTTACTGTTCATAGTTTTGATCTTCTTTTTCTCAGGTAAGTCCTTTTAACATTTCATTTACTGAGGGCTTGGTGATGATGAACTCCTTTAACTTGACCTTGTCTGGGAAGCACTTTATCTGCCCTTCCATTCTAAATGATAGCTTTGCTGGATAAAGTAATCTTGGATGTATGTCCTTGCTTTTCATGACTTGGAATATTTCTTTTCAGTCCCTTGTTGTCTGCAAGGTTTCTTTTGAGAAATCAGCTGACAGTCTTAGGGGAACTCCTTTATAGGTAACTGTCTCCTTTCCTCTTACTGCTTTTAAGAGTTTCTCCTTATCTTTAAACTTGAGTAGTATAATTATGATGTGCCTTGGTGTGTTCCTCCTTGGGTCCAACTTCTTTGGGACTCTCTGAGCTCCCTGGACTTTCTGGAAGTCTATTTCCTTTGCCAGACTGGGGAAGTTCTCCTTCATTATTTTTTCAAATAAGTTTTCCATTTGTTGCTCTTCCTCTTCTCCTTCTTGCACCCCTATGATTCAGATGTTGGAATGTTTAAAGTTGTCCCAGAGATTCCTAAGCTTCTCATTTTTTCGAATTCATGTTTCTTCATTCTGTTTCTGATTGAATGTTCATTTCATACTTTTGATTCAAATTGCTGATTTGAGTCCTGGTTTTCTTCCCTTCACTGTTGGTTCCTTGTACATTTTCCTTTACTTCACTTTTCATAGCCTGCATTTCTTCCTCTATTTTGCAACAATATTCAACTATTTTTGTGAGCATCTTCATTACCAGTGTTTTGAACTCTGTATCTGATAGGTTGGCTGTCTTTTCATGGCTAAGTTCTATTTTTGGAGTTTTGATCTGTTCTTTCATTTGGGCCATAGTTTTTGTCTCCACACAGCTGTTTCATATTTAGGGGTGGAGTCTTGGGTATTCACCAGGGTGGGGAAACCCAAGTCGCTGGGGGTTGTGGTGCTGTATGTGGGGAAGGGGTCAGAGAGGGAACAATGCCACTTGCTTGGCTCTCAGCCAGCTTTCAGTTACTACCCCCACTTCCCACAAGCAAGTTGTGCCCTTCCAATGCTGATTCCTGGGTGGGAGGTTTTGTGTAGGTTCTAAGACCCTGTGGATCTCTCCAACGAACTCTCCTGTGAAGCTGGGAGTTTCTCCTCCGACACCCCCCCCCACAGATTTTTACAGCCAGAGGTTTTGAGGCTTTCTTTTCCCACGCTGGAACCCTGGGTTGCACAGTCTGTCTTGTTCCCCAGTTGTTCCTCCCAGTTTATCTGCATGCAAATGTGGGACCACTGGTCTTCCAGCCACCACCTTGCCGCACGTCCTCTCCAACCCGGCTGCTCATCTCCACCCCTCCTACTGGTCTGAATGAATATTTCTTTTTTAACTCCTTGGTTGTTAGATTTTCATACAGTGTGATTTTCTGTCACTTCTGGTTATTTTTAATTTTTAAATTTGTTGTCCTTCTTTTGGCTGTGTGAGGAAGCAAAGTGTATCTATCTATCCCTCCATCTAGGCTGGAGGTCCTGTTATTATAACTTTTTAATTTGAAATAGTTTACAACTCACAGAAGATGAGAAAACAGTAGAGATTTCTCATGTCCCCTTCATCTAGCTCCCCGCCAGTGGGTATTCCACATCATCGTGACATGTTGTCAAAACCAGGAAGTGGACCTGATGTAATATTATTAACTTAGGCAGAGACCTTATTTAGGTTTTACCATTCTACATGCACGTCATGGTGTGTGTGTCTGTGTGTGTGTAGTTCTATGAAATTTTATCCCACAAAGCCACCACGTTTCGGGGTGGCCCATTACTTGTGATAGATGACTGACGCAAGCGTGGGTGAGATCCCCAGGGTGCGTACTCCTCAGCTGGAAGTGACGGACACAGTGCAGACAACTTCAGCCCCAGGTGCCTGCACTGGGTCATATGAATCAAGAAGCAAGAGGCAGGGGCAAGTGGGCCCCAGAGCAGCCCCATCGGGCAGGGGAAGCTCCTGCACCTGGCTGCCCCGGGCTGAGGACATCCAAGGGAGGAGAGAGGAGGAGAGGGGGCCTCCACCCGCAGGCCAGTCGCCGGGGATAGAGCAGGTGGTCAGAACCGAACCCAGGTCTCCCTGTCCTGAAGGGAGGAGGGGGAGCACCTCTCAAAGGAGGGGTGGAGCACTGAGATGAAGAGGCGAGGAAGGCCTGGCACTGCAGGAAAAACAGGTGAGAGACAAGGGCCAAACCTGGGCACCCGCCCCAGGGGGGAAGTGGAAGAACATTCCACATGAGACCTGGAGACAGACAAGCATTCGAGTGGTGTGGTGGGAACTTGGTAGCCTGAGGGTCAGGGACAGCTGATATGTAGAGTAGTTATTGGGGCCATTTTCCAAAATTCCTAGTGCGAGAAAAGATTAGACTTCCCTACTCCTTTCAAATTAGGCATGACCACATGACTGACTGGCTTCAGCCAATGGAATGTGAATGGAAGTGGCAAGTGGCACTTAAGAGGCAGAAACGCTAGGAGCTGGTATGACGCCTGCCTCTTCCTCTGCCGCTGCCTCAGCCTGGGTCCCAGAGTGACGATGGCTGGGACCAGCACTCCCAGCTGACTCACAATGCAGTAGTATGAGTAAGAAATCCACGCATGCTGGTACAGGCCACCAGAAATCTGGGGGTGTTCGTTACTGGCATCAGCTGCCTGAAACAGGCAACACAGGAAACCACCTTCCCTGTGGCCAGACTACACCGCAGTGGGGCAGGGGCAGGAATACGCCTGGGCCCTCCACACTCCAGCACCTTCCTGGGGGCTGGGAATGGACTAGAAGGCCCTGGAAGTTCTGCCCGGGCCCTGGGATCTTTTCGTCCTGTTCAGGCTGTGTCCAGTGGGCTCTGTAGTGAGGACCTGGATCTTTCCCTGCCATGCGGCTACTGTGAAGACAAGCTCTCAGGTCGCTGGGAAAGAAGGACTGGAGAAACGGCAAGCCACAAGCACACGAGCCGGGAGTCCTCGCCCCACATCGCTGCACTGGGCCCGTCCCTGAGGCCGGGCCACACAGAGGAGGATGTGTGAGGCATGTTTGGAGTGGAGGGAGGCCGCACAGCTGTCCCGGAGAGCCCAGGCCTAGGCTAGCTGGCCCGCTGTGCCTCGGGCTTGGCGAAAGAGGCCTACAGGGCACAGCCAGGTCAGAAGCTGTTTAAACAGCAGCCAGTGGAGGTGAGGTGTGGATGTCCCTTTAGTGTCCCGCCCCTCACAGGGTCACATGTGCAAAACCAGTAGCTGCTGAGCCCCAGCCCCTCTGTGGCACAGAGTCCCAGGATCACGGTCAGGGTCCTGCAGGTGGCTGGACGAGGCTGACAAGCCTTGGGCTGAGGGAGGGGTGTGTGTGCGTGTGCTCCAGCAACCCAGTGTGGGGAGGGGGCTTCCTTTAAGACAAACACACTCCATGTACTTTATCAAATTTGCAGATGCCACACAGCTGTGGGGCACAATGGCAAATATGCCAGATGACAGAGCTGGAATCTAAACAGAAGTTGACAGGCTGGAGCGATGGGGTGGATCAAATGAAATGAAACTTAACAGTGACAATCGTGTTTATTTTGTTCTTATTTATCTGTGCCCTGCCTCCATGGCTGGAGAGATGGGGCAGGAGCAGCAGCTCACAGGAGGAAGGAAGTGAAATGCAGCACTTGAGGCCGTGACCCACATGCGCAAGCCCGGGGGTAGGGAGGGCTCCAGGGGCTGAGCTCCAGCAGGGGCTTGGGGGTCACGGGAAGATGGTCAGTACTATGAGCAGCAAGGGGGTGGGCCTGTGCTGTATCAGTAGAGGCACCCCACATAGGTTGAGGAGGACAGCTGGAGACCAGGGAGGCCAGCACTGAAGTCGGAAGCCCTTACAGCCAGGCTGTCCTTTCGGATGGGGAACTCCCAGGCACCGGAGCCCAGCCCCCTGCCTGGTCCCCCTGGGATGGCCAGGGTGCTCCCGGGCAGCCTCTCCCTCTAACCATGTCCCGGCAATGCCTTGGCTGGTGCGGCTTAGTTGACTGGAGTGTCGCCCGTGGACCGAAGGGTCGCAGGTTCAGTTCCTGCTCAGGGTGCGCATGAGAAGGTGACCAATTGATGTTTCTCTTTTACATTGATACTTCTCTCTTTCTCTAAAAGCAATGAAAAAAATCTCCTTGGGTGAGGATTAAAAAAAAACCTCTACCAGCAAGAGACAGGGACAGGTCTGGGTCTCCAAGTTCCCCTCAAAGTGGGCTCTGAATTTGAACCCCAGGTTCTGAGACTTCCTGCCTGTGTGACACACTCTCCCTTTGGACCCCAGGCTCCCCACCTGTGTAATGGTAACGACACAGACATCAGCCTCACAGGTGTTGAGAGGACTGAATGACATAATGCATATTGCCTGGTACATGGGCAGCATTGGATAACGAAGGAAACGTGTGACCCCTGAGGGTACGACTATGAATAAACGGATGGAAGTGACCGGCATTCAGACTTCAGCTAATTTCAAAGAACTTCTCTAAGAGGCAGAAGCATCTGTTCTTGGAGCAGGCTGCTGAGTGAGGTGGTGAGCCCCCTATCCCCAGATGCATTCAAGCACCAGGACCCTGTGGAGAGATGCCTGTGCAGGGAGGGGAGGGCTCAAGGGTATGTGAAGATGGCCAGCAGGGGTCAGCAGCACAGCGGGAGAAAGGGGAGGTTGCCGGCCAAACTGCCCACCAGCTCTGGAAACAGTAGTGGCTCTGGGCCTGGCAGCCTCGTTTCCGGGCAGAGAGGATTCCCAGCCACAGGTTCCAGCTCGGCTGAGGCACGTCCTGCAGGGCGAGGCCAGAGTCCTGACATCCCCAGGCTGGGCTTGGTGAGAGGAAAAGAGGGTTCTGAGGCTTCAAGCGAGGAACCCCAACACTGACCGCACCGTGGGCCTGATAGGGCTCTAGGCAGATGGGGGAGGCCAGTTGGCAGTGCAGCATCCCAGGAGACAAAGGTACAAGCCCTCAGGTGGCCAGAGGTGGCTGAGGGTGAGGAGACTGGATCTAGGAAGGGCTAGGCACCCAGCTATGTCCCCAGACTCAAATCGCAGCTGGCACATCCGAACAAAGAACTCCAAAGGTGCTTTTCCCTCTTCACCTTCCTGGACTGAAGATCGTGGAGCCTGCCATAGGGCTGCTCTGGGGGAGAAGGGGTGCGATGGGGCGGGGAGCACAGCACAGAGGGGAGAGTTTGACTTGTCCCCTGCCGCCTGCCCTGAGACCCAAAGCAGCCCCACCCTGGTTGGCTATTGGGCGCACCCACCTGGAGCTGAGGGCAGGTGAGGGTTCACTCCTCCACTCAGAGTAGCAGCACCAGACCAAGGTGGGGAAGCCAGGTCCAGGTAAGAGCTGATGTGTGTGTGTCACTCCTGTCAAACCAGACTCAGATGTGGCCCAGGTATCCTCTGCCCTGTCTTAACCCTCCCAGGAGTAGGTGCTGCTCACTCCTGGCACCAGAGTGCCCCCCACCTCCTTCGGGGAAGGGTGTACTCAGACAGGGCAGGGCAGGAGGGGAGGGGCAGCCTGCAGGTGGGAGCAGAGAGTGGACTGGGGCCCATCTTGGAGCTGAAGGAAGCTGACAACCCCACCCTTGCCCCAAGCAATGCTCTGGCAACTGATGAGGGGAGGGTGGCCCAGCCCACAGCATCTAGGAGGGAGCCTGGGCCTTCGGGGTGGCTCCTGGGACACAAGGAAGCATCCCTGACAAAACCAGACCAGAGCCAAACATACAGATGTCCCCTAGGAGGAAGAGGCCTGAAATTCCATCATTAAAGATTCATTCTTTTAGCTTAACACATACTTTCTAAAAATGCAAACCTATCAAAGCCTCACCCAGGAGTAGATTTGTGAAAGGAAAGGAGAGAGAGAGCACAGAGTGACCTGCTGAAGAAAGCGGGAGGAGTCTGAGTTGGGGGATGGGGAGGCTTCCCAGGATTGACTCTTCTGGCTACACAGCTCTGGCCAAGGGGCAGCTCTAAGGACCTGGGGGCATGGGGGAGGGGAAGGAGACCATTCCTGTGTGCAGGGAGCACTGGACTGGACTGATTCAGCACCCCCCACCCAAGGACAACATTCACAGATGCACATGCCACCACACACATGTAAACCTGTGCATACCTGTGCACACATGTATGAGAAACTACACAGGCAAACATGCAGCCACCACCACTCTCATCCTGCAGGGGCTGCACAGACATGGCATCCAGGAAACAGACGACTCTGGGCCCAGGTAACCCAGGGGAAGGCAGGGAGCTGCCTCCACCGCCCCTGACCCAGCACCTCTCCAAGCGGTGGCCCTGAGCTGCAACCACCATGAAACGTTCTCTGACTGAGAGTCTCTGCTTCCACTTGTGAATATTTATGAAGAGTCTGCAGGAGGCTGCAGAAGTGCCCTGCAACATCTAAGAGGCGGAGAGATTAACCCATTATTAAAGATGAGTTTCTCACAGTGACATCTGCCTCCAACCTCCCACAGTGCCCTCAGCCCGTCCCGCCTGCACAGTGCGCCTGCGCAGTTCTTTATCCGCGGGCCACAGCTGAGCAAGGCGCTCCTTGATGCACCCACCCACAGACTCAGGCCTCTGGTTTCTTCTTCCTTAATCGTGGTGAAATACCCTCCCCTTATTTTTAGGTAACTTTCATTTTTATAAAAATAACACATAGAAATAATTTTAAAAACCAAAGCGAATTTCATGGCTTGTGAAGAGCGAGCAGCTGTCCGCGCCCCACCCCCAGGCCTGCTTTCTTGCCGTGGCCTTTGCCGCTCACGTCCAGCGTCTGCATAACGTGCACATACTACACACTCGTGGTTTTCTAGTCTAGGTTTGACCTGTTGATTTGCTGTAGAAGGTTAGAATTTAACTGCCCATTAAGATTTAACTCCCACCGCCCGTTCCCCTCCTCCACCCTGCTGTGTACTTACATCACTACTGTTACTAAGTCGGCACCCCGTGTTCACATCACTGCCCCGGCATGTAAATGTTATTCCAGGTGAGTCATCCAGGGCTCCTGGGTTACATTTATTTCCCACAAAACTTTCTTTTTCTTGAAGTTAATCCACTTGCCTCTCGGGGTTCGCCTGTGTCCTGAGACTTCTGTGCACCACCGTCAGCCCGCCCCCAGACGCCGGGACCAGGCCGCACACCTCCTCCCGTGCCTGGCACAGCCCCTGCCAGCTGACCAGTCCTGGTGGTACTGGGTCACCCCTCCGACGCTGGAGTCCCTGCTTGCCATGTGCCTTGTCACTGTTTCCCATAGTTTACACCCTCATTTTGGGGGAGGTCACCCTTTCAGAGCTTTCTGACTGAAGCTGCCTGGCAATTAGATCTTTTGACACCTTTGCAGTGAGGCAGCCACTAAGATCCACTCCCCCTACTTCCCTGTGCTGGAGTGGCTGCCTCGCTGGGCTGTATTTCTCACCTCCCTGGACAGTTAAGAGTGGCGTGGGACAAGAGCCTGTCCTTGAAATATGTGTGAAAGTGACGGTTGTCCTATCCAGACTAGGCCTCTGGCACTCCCTCCTTCTGTCTGCGGGAAAATGGACTTATGAGCAGCCTTGGCCTGTAGACAGCGGCCTGTCCACTGACTGCCCAGTGCAGAAACAGAACAGTGCCAGCCTGGGGCAGGTGTGCCTACGCCCCCTCTCCCTCCCCCTGGCTCAGGGTCCCACACCTCTCCCTCTCCCAGAATCCCCGACTGCAGGCCCTCCCCCAGGCGGAGGCAGCTGGGCGTCAGGGGGCTACCACTGTGCGTCTCCAAAAACCGAGTGTCTTGCCTGCAGTGCCCTCCTCTCCCTCTGTCCTGTGGACTCGCACCTATGACCCAAGGGGATCGGACACAGTGTTCACTCCACCATGTGGGTTAACTGGAAGCCCGTCTCCGACTCATTTTTATAAATCACGTCAGACCCAGTCCAGGGCCTGGTACGTGGCAGGTGCCGTGTGCATAAATGGAGGAAGGAAAGACAAGGAGACACGATCCTCTCCCATCAGAGGGCTCACAGCCCAGGCGGGTGGAGGCTGCCGGTTGGATGGAAAAGAAAGCAAATATGCAGATACCTGCATCAGAACTCTGAATGAGGCAATGCAGACGGCAGCAGGGCAGCCAACACGCCAGGGCGAGCACAAGCAGGGAGGCGGACACGGGCAGGGGGCAGCAGGAGGCTGCACAGGCTGTCTGGGCCATGTGGGAACAGCGCCTGCCGGTGGAGTTCCAGTGCAAGGTGGAGACTGGAGCTGCACCTGCTGCCTCCACAGACCCCAGGGCCCCACCGCAGCCCGGGTGGGGCTGTGAGGTGGGCTGTGTCTCAGGGAGGCCAGGTGCACAGACAGGAAGGGGGTGTCCTCCACGTGAGAGGTGAGGGCCAATGCCAGTGTGGGGGTGCAGGTTCAGCCAGGCACGGGGAGGAGGCAGCAGTCAGAGGCTCCGGCAGCTGGCCAGAGCAGTGTGGTGAAAACCAGGACAGAGGTTAAGATGGGAGGCCTGCAGTGGCTTTCAGCTCCGACAGCTCCAGACACTAGTGGCCCCTGTGCTGGGGCAAAAGAGCCAGCAGGAGCCCAAGGCGCCCTGCACTGGGCTGGCAGGCTGGAGACCTGTGCGGAGCAGAGCAGGGTGCCTACCTTTAACTGGGTTTTCCTCTTGGCTTGGCCTCTTACTGGCTGTTCAGTCTTGGGCTGGCTACTTACAGTTCCTCAGGCTCAGTTTCCCCACCTACAAAATGGGGATAACTTGGCCACCTCTCTCCACCTCCACTATCTGCACCCCTGTTACCTGCAGCCTGACAACAATGAAACCTCCTCGCTGCCCTGCTTCTGCCCGCGACCCAGGGGCCGACTACACACCCTGAGCAGCTGGCGGCGCGGGACCCTGTGCCTGGCCTAATGCTCTGTCATTGCCGTCTTGAAATTTTGTTTTCCTTTGTTTAATCCTCACCCAAAAACATCTTTCACTGCTTTTTTTTAGGAGAGAGAGGAAGGAAGAGAGGAAAGGAAACAGGGAAACATCGATGTGAGAGAGAAACAGCAATTGGTTGCCTCCCATATGCGCCTGGGCCTGGGATCAGCCCGCAACCTGTCCACTACAAGACAACACTCCAACCTGCTGAGACTCACCGGCCAGGGCTCCGTCTTGAAATTCCTAACAATTTTTGAACAAGGATCTCACTATTTCATTTTGCACTGGGCTTTGCAAATTATGTAGCTGGTCCTGCCCCCAACTGTTGGTTCCCTACTTAGTCACAAAGCAATCTTGTTAAAACCAAAGTCAGACCACATCCCTTCTGGGATTAGGATGGCCTCCTATCCACCCAAAGTAGAAGTCAAATTTCTCTCTCTCTCCCTCTCTCTCTCTCATAAACACACTTCTGACCACATTTCCTACCACTCTCCCCTCTTCCCTCTGCCTGGCCTTCTCCTTCCTGCCCCGGGGCCTTTGCACCTGCCCTGCCTCTCCAGAGCACCCTCCTCCCCGGGGCCACACTCCAGCAATCTCACCTCCTCAAGTCTCTGCTCAGAAGACACCTTCTCAGTGAGGCCTTCCCTAACCTCCGTGTTTAAAATGGGAACTCCCCAGTTGTCCCTGCTGGGGTTTTTTCTACCCTCTACTTTAGGGGTGTCAAACTCATTTTCACGGGGGGCCACATCAGACTCATGGTTGCCTTCAAAGGGCCAAATGTAATTTTGGAACTGTGTAAAGGTAACTAATCCTTCACAGATAAGTGAGAGCCTAGTGCTGCCGCCTGGTAGAAACAAGGTGCCGGGCTGGATAAAACAAGGTGGAGGGCTGGATTCGGCCCCTGACCTTGTGTTTGCCACTGTGCTCTACTTGGTTTACTTATTTTACCTGTCTGTCCCCCAGGTAACACAAGGGAGTCTTGTCGTGTGTGTTCCCTGCTTAGTCCCCACCACCCAGATCTGTGCCTGGCACCAAGAAGCAGCTCAGTGAACTTGTGCGGAATGAACAACTGATCGAACCACAGCCTGTCAACCCCTCGTGAGCCTTGGTCGGGGTTACAGACCCAGCACACTCAGCGTGCAGTGGGTGCTCCAGAAAGAGGAGCCCCTCTTGCCTCTGTAGCTCCTCCCTACGGAGCACCCCGTGAGTGTGTCAGGGGGCATTCACATCCAGTGTGACAGCACAAAGGTGAGGCCCAGGGCCACAGGAAGCACTGTCAGATGAAGTACAGGAAGCTCAGGAAATGCCCGAGCTCACCTGCAGTTTGGGTCTGGACCCAGCCCCAGCCTCGCTCTGGCCCCTCGAGTCAGCCTTCCCGGCATTGCCCCGGGGCCACTGTGACTGCCCAGCCTGGGAAGATGAACTGGCTTCTCACATTCCAGGCCTAATTTTATCTGCCTCCTCAGAGGGACTGTAAAGGGCACCAGAGGAGCCAGGGCCAGAGCTCTGGAGACCGAAGTGGACAGGCCTGAAGGGCCTCCTCCCATTTCTGAACTTAGGTCTTGCCTGGAGGGCAGGCAGTGGTGCCAGTGAGGCTGAAACAGGACAGGAAGCGAGGACGCTTCCTTCACGTCTCACTGCTGCAGCCCCTGGCCAGCCCCACAGATGCTCCACCTTCCCCGGGCTTCTCAACCCAGCGTGAGGAGTTAGGGCCCTACCTCATTTTCTCTGTCTGTGAAACGGGAGGTAATAACAGCATCCACTCACAGGGTGACTGGAAGGTCACTGAGCTGATACAGTGACTAGAACAGCGCCTGGCACATGAAGGGCTTTTATGTGTCCCCTGTTCCAATCTTCGTGACCTAAGCCCCCTGCCTCTGTGGCCAGGCCCTGGGCACCCCCTGCACCCCAGGTTCCTCCTAGTGCCCTCACTGTCCAGTACAGCCCCCAAGGGGGTTCCCCAGGGGGGAACGACAGAGAACAAACTCCCTGACCACTAACCTCCTCAGGCCCTGCTGGCATGGGAAAGGCGGTCTGGGGACAGGGTGGGGCAGGCCAAAGACAGATGGCTGCTCCAGCAACCAATCACCCAGCTCAGCAGAAACCGGGGCCAGCGGTAATGGGCTGGCAGCCCCCAGCTGCAACCAACTTCATTTTCTGCCACAATTAAATGATCGTCTGCATTTGCTCACACTCACTTATTCAATTACCTTTTTGGCCCTGAAGGACTCTCAGAGAAGTAGGCATAAATAATAGGCGTCAGCGCCTCCAGGCTGTCATCCCCGCCCACCCCTCCCCAGGCCCTGCCCAGAGCTTCCTGTGAGCACAGGACCACTGCCTGTGTATCCGGTTCCCCACGGAACCCTCCCTGGCTCCCACCACCCGCGCCTGAAGGTCAGTCTCCAGCCTGAGAGTCAGCAGGTGTGGGCCCCTAGCTGGCTCTACCTGCCCTGCTGGGGGTGTCTGGGGAGCCACCCCTCTGCAGGCCTGTGGCTCCTCCTCTGTGGAACGACAGGAAAGTCTGCGTGAGCTATCAGGTGTTGCTCTTGCAAGAGGCCGTGGTCCTGGCTTCACGGTCAAAATGTGAGCATTCCTGAAAGGGAGGACAGATGAGTGTCCCCTCCCCACCTGCCTGCACACCCACCCCTTCTGCAGCCACCTGCGTTTCCAGAAATGCCATGTCCTCCTGTGCCTCCGTGCTGTCGAGATGCTGTTCCCTTCGTTCACTCCTCTGCCCGTGGACTCCTCTGCACCTTCAAGGCCCACCCTGGAAGCCACCTCCCTTGGGAAGCCCGAAGCCCAGCCCCCATGGCAGGCAGACTGACCTCTCCCTCTTTATGTTCCCACTGAGCCCTACATGTGCCTCTGTGGTACCTAAGTGTCCTGCATCGGGGGGACATCCCAGACTCAAATCCTGTGGGTCACTGTCGCCATAGCCATGTGAAGGCCTGAATCTGAGTTCAGGGTTGGCGAGGGTAGCAGCCACTGTGGCTCCCTCCTAGCCTGAGGCCCATCCCGTGAGGCCTTGCTACCCACTGACAGCTATCACAACAGCAGCCAACATTTCGAAGTCCTGTGTCAGACACTGTGCTAAATGGTTTTAACTTGCATTATGTCATTGAAATGTCACAATGACATAATGCAAGTCTGAGAAAATATAACTCTGAGAAAACATAACTCTGAGAAAATTATCCCCATCTTATAGATGAGGAAACTGAAACTCAGTGAGGTTAAGATGCTTGTCCAAAGTCACAGCACCAGGAAATGGCAGGGCTGGGCCTCAAACCAGGTGTGCCCACACCCAGGACCCACGCCCTCGCCAGCCTCCATCCCATGCAGCAGGAAGACCGGCAGTCCGGGACTTGGGTTCAAGTGCAGCTCCTCCACAGGAGCCGTGCCGAGCTGAGTAGGTCTTTTCCTCTCTTTGCAGCCTTGTTGGTCTCTCCTTTCCTTTAAAATGAAAAGATTGTAGCAGGCAGCCTCTGAGGGACCCTCTACTCCGACATTCTGGGATTTCTTTCTTTCTGGAAAGCACTGCTCCGACCAGGAGGACTGGCCAAGCGGTAAAAACTAGAGACAAGAGCAGTGGGTTGCTCCCCTGGGCATATGCTCTGGGGCAGGGGCACTCCCCATGCCTCGACCCTCATGCCAGAAAGACAGGTGGCAGCCCATTCCCTTGAGGAGGTCAGGGTAGCTGTGTCCTCTGGAGATTCACAGGCAGGGCAGGGCCTTCCTTTCATGGCCTTTATTGTCAGCCACAGGGGAGCCCTTGGAAATGTCACCCATGGATCACTGAAAGAGACACACACTGCAAGACGGATGGCCTGTGACTGGGGTTTCAGTCTGCACACTGACTCTTCCTTGGATTAGCAGCTGCAGGCACCTGCCCTCCTGAAAGCTGTGTTGGGGTGGTGCCCTCCCTGGGCTTTAGCCAGAGGTGAGCTGGGGGATGGGGCTCAGAACTCAGCACTGCTGGGAGAACCAGCCCGTGCCAAGTCTCCTCCCTATGTTCATTTCACATATGGGAACCAGCCAACACCCCCCCCCAACACGCATCCCTCGCCCCTGGGCTTGGCTGGGGAAGGGAGGGGTGATCCCCGCTTTCCCCTGGCATGGATGTGTTCTTGCAGTGGCGTGTAACCTGGGGCGGGAGCACTGCCTGGTGAATGAGAGTGGTTGAGAGGGGGCCCAGGTTCTAATCCCAGCTCTGCCACTTACTAGATGTGTGACATGAGGCCTCTTGTGGCCTCTGTTTCTCAGCTATAATACGAGGGTAGTGCCCCAACCTCACATTAGAGTCAGGATCAAATCAGGGATTGTGTGTGTGTAAGAGTCCCTGCTGGATGGTGGCCGTGCTGGCTCCGAGTGCCTCCCTGGCCCCGCCCCCACCCAGTTCCACCAGCACCTGGCCAGAGTGCCGGGTGCCCCTGACTTCGCTCCCAGGGCCGGTTGATGACATCCTGCTGCTTCCTAGTCAAGGGAGCCCTGCGCATTTACAGAGGGCCTAACACCCGCCCCTGGGCACAGTCTCCTCAGGTTGTGGGGCAGGCTGAGGCTGAGGAATGGGGAGTGGCTTCCATAGTCTGGGGCCCCTCCTCCCCCAGGGGGAGCCCAACGGGAGCCCACTGGCTCTGGGGCAGAACCCTGGCTGGGATCCAGGCCAGAAGTTCCTAGGCGGGGTCAGGAACTGGAAGCCGGGTCAGGCTGGCACAGCCACGATTCTGGACAGCTGCCAGCTGCCAGGCTGAGAGCCTCCTCTGACTGCGAGGGGCTGGACGGCGACCTCCCGCAGCCTATGCTCCATCCTGGCTTTCTAGAGAGGGGGTGGCAGCCAGTGGAGGAGGTGGCTGACCACCAGATGGCCCAGGGCACTGCCAACCAGGGAGAGCCTCAGGGGGAACTGGGAAGGCAGGTGAGTAAGATCAGTGTGTCACCCATTTCTTGGACCTTGCTCTGGGAGTCAGTTTGGGGCACCCAGTGCTTGTGTGAGGTCCCTCAGTGCCCAAGTCCCTGGGCAGTACCCCATGCCCTGACACTCCTGTCCAGCTCAACAAACTCCCTGCATTAAGGCACTCACACAATTCAACGCACACTCAGACTTGGCACTTGTGCACACATGCACATTCACACACACGTGCACACTCACACACACTTGCATTCACATCCACTCACACTCACACTTGCATACATACTCATGCACACACCTACATGCACGCAGGCACACTTACACACATGTACGCTCAAACCACACTCACACATGAATGGACACAGCAGAATGAGAACAAGAAGCATCAGCAACAACAGAAAAGATAACAAGAGAATGTGAGAAAGAGAAGAGCAATCAGAGAAAAGCCAGGACCATAGAGGACATAATGACCAGGCAGGGGCAGAGAGAACAGCTAGGCGTCACTAGACGGTGCTTTCCCTTTGAGTCGTCCGAGCAGAGGAGTGGTGGACGGGCCCCTCTGCACACTGGTCTTGGAGGTGTTCACATGGCTAGAGAAAAGAAAGGGGAGGGCTGTATGCCCAGCTGGGGTGCAGCAAGAGGGGGCCCCGCCAGGGAAGGAAGGGCTTGTGCTGGAACCTGGGCGGTTTGGCAGCAGCAGGGCGGCCACGCTGTTTACACCAGGGAAAGGGGGTGATGACATGTCCTGGAACACGGAGGGTTGTTGTGGTCTCTGGCATGGAAAAACAGGGTTATGAGGGCAGTTGTGGGGGTAGGGGAGCAGCTAAGAAGGTTTCACAGGGTGGCCGAAGTCAGGCCAAGTCTTCTGTGCCAGGGGTCTGGAAGAGGGAAGGAAATCCAAGGACCCCAGCTATGGGCGGCTTCTGACTCCATACACCCTTGGTTGCCAAAGCCACAGCATGGAGATGATGGGAGGGGAAGCCAGAAGCCCAGAATGAGTCCACACATTCATTCATTCACCAAACAGGTACTGGGAGGCTGGCTTTGTGCTACATGCTGGGGATACACTGTGGAGCAAAATAAGCAAGTCACCATCCTTGAGGAAGCAAAACATGCAAGGAGCAAATAATGCAACTGTGTCTGGGGTAAATGCTTCTAAAGAAGGGTGCTGGGAGCAGACATGTCAGTAAAATCAAGGAGGACTTCTTGAAGGAGGTGATGCTTGAGCTGGCATCTGAAAGATGAAGAGGAATTAGCCAGGTGGAGGGGTGAGGACAAGGCATCCCAGGTAGAAGGGACAGTGAGCACAAAGGCCCAGTACAAGCTGTGGCTGGACCACAGAGGCAAGGAGACATCCAGTGAGATGGGGCTGAGGAGGTGGGCAGGGCTCAGCCCTGGGGAGGGCTTTGGATGATATTCTAAGGACAAGGAGTCACTGAAGAATATTAAGCAGGTAAGTGACGTGACCCAAATTATTTGAAAACACCACTCTGGGAAGAATGGAGGGTAGGAGCAGGGGTGTGAGGAGAAGGGAGGACACCGTGAGAAATCACCCACGGTGCAGGAGGTGGAGGCGGTGGGCCAGGGTGGTGGCCATGGGATGGAGAACATTTGGAGCATGAAATCCACAGGGTGGATATAGTGACGGATGAACTGCCAGGGAAGGCAGCAGTGAAGGGGCAGGTCCTGGAGGGTCAGTCAGGCTGAAGTGGGAGAGGTAAAGGGGAGACCCAGGGGGGAACTAGCCCACCCCTCATCCTCAAGTAGCTGGTGTGCTTATGAACCCCAAGCATTTTCTGCCTCCGAGTGGTGGTATCTAAGAGCTGGTCTGAAATGCTGCCCACAGAAGAGCCACGCTGGTCAGGGCTGATTTCCCGGTGGAGGGACAGGGGTCAGGCCCGGGTGGGCCTCGAGTGGTCACGAGGCAGAGGCGGGTCAAAGGCATGGCTGTGGAAAGAGGCTTCACAGCAGGCATCTTGCACACGAAGCTGGGTTTCGGAAAATGACCATGGAGGGAACTTGGCTGCAGCCGGGAAACAGAAATAAAGTGTCCTGTTTGCGTAAGGAGAAACATGAGATCCCAGCTCCGGGGCAGTGGGGCCTGTGTGTTTTATTTACTGCCGTGCATCACGGGTCACAGACTGGGGGCTCAGTACTGTTGATAAATAAATGGATGAATAAGAAGTCAGTATGGAATCTTGCTCCTCACAACCACCAAACAAAACCAGAAACCAGGTACTGGTATGTGGACTGATCCTCCCCGAACCCTGGTTCACCCAGGCTCAGTCCCTCACTGGGCACCCAGCTCAGGTGGACGACCCGGCCCCCCCGTACCCCTAAAGGCCTCACAGCTCAGCCCAGAGGTGGTTCTAGGGCTCCCAGGTCAGCAACTTTCCTAGCCAGGTGGGAAAGGGGAGGTAAGTGGGTGATGGCTGGGGGAAAGGAGGTCACACCTTCTTTTCCAGGGCCAGGTAACCGGAGCCCAGCACAGGCTGGGCAGTGTGAGGGGCCAAGCAGGCTGGAGGCTCCCAGGGCAGCCTGGCCTCTGCCTTCCTGGTGAAACTCGATCCTCTGCCCGGGGCTGGGGAGTGAGAGAGGAACCATGCATGGGATCTTCAACCCAGTTTAAACCAGACCTCCAGACACCAAGGAATCCCTGTCATGCCTGCAGACTCTGCCCTATCTGGGTGTGGGGAGGGGACAGGATGTCTGCCACAGGAAGGGAGCTGGGCTGGCAGGTGGGTGGACCTCAAATTTGCTGTGGCCACCCCAGGACACCTTGTACTTTGCCACTATGACAGGGCGGGGGGTGGGGGGGGGTGGTGTGCAGGGCATGCCAAGCAGACAGCATCAGAGCAGACCTCTGGGATGAGGGCCAGGAGACCTGTGTACTTGTCCTGCACTCAGAGCCCCGGCTCCCTGCTCCACTATGAACAGAGAGGGGGAGAGGCTGTCTGTGAAGTGAGCTCTCCATGGACACGTGGAAATGCCAAAAGGGGGACATGGAAATTGCAGTATGACTCGGTGCTGAAGCAACAGGTCTGGGGGACCCTGTTAGAACAAGCAGATGGCGAAGTGGACCCTGAAGAAATCAAGGACATGGGGGTGTAGCCCAGAGACAGAGGCTGGACCAGAACAGGAGGCAAAAAGAGGCTGAGCCTCTGGGGGCCGATTGTCCCCACACAGAGAAGCCTAGGAAGGGACAACTGGGCCCCAAGCAAGCGGGGTGCCCAGTGCCAAGGGGAACTGCAGCCATAGGCCCAGGTGGCTTGAGTTTCCTAAAGGGCAGACTTCAGACCTTCCTAGTGTACATCCAGGCTCACTCAGACCTGAAGCCTGACCCTGGACAACCCCTGTCCTTTGCATCTATTCCATCTGTCCCTGTCCAGTGTCACCAGACCTAATCGAGGCTGACTCCTCAATATCTCCCTCCCACCCCACTGCCCTCTCTCCCCCTCAAGCCAGATTCACCTGGAGGTCAGGACCTGGGGCCTCACAGCCTGCCTGATCCACGTTACCCAATCTGCTCCCCTCCAAGCAGAGAGCTCTGAATGCAAACCTGAGTAGGCCTGGAGCTTCCTGGCAGAAAGAGCTGAGGAGGGTTCTGGGAGGCCCGCCTTCCCGCACCCCACCTCCCCTCCGCCCCCCGCCCTTGTCTGTCATCACTGCCCACTCCTTGCGGGCTCCAGCTGCTCTGAGTGCCTATGCCTCTCTGCCCCGCCCCCCCATCACTGCCTCTGGGCCTTTGGGGGCTCTTCCTTTACCTGGACCACTCTTCTCACCCTCCCCCACCCAAACCCAATGGGGGTGCGTTTCCTTCAGGATGCCTTCTCTGCTCCCCTCTGAGCAGGTGAGGAGACCCCCTGAGCCCAATGTTCTCCTGCCAACACACTGAAATTGTCCTTTGACTTGCTGAACACCCTCACCCCACCGCCCACAACTGCAGATCCCTGACAGCAGGCACTGGTCCCGCAGGTCCTTGGGTCAGCCCGTCTTCAAGCGGATTGTTGATTGGCTGACTGTCTTATTGCTCGACTTTCCCTCCCTCCGGCGGCCACAGCTTGGGGAAAACGGAGTGAGGTGGTGGAGAATGGGGTGGGGGCAGGGAGACTAGGGGAAGGGGAATATGAACTGCCCACAGCCTTACCCCGTGAACAAGGGATCAAAAAATAACCAGGTGCCTTTGGCAATGGCCCTTGGTTGCCAGGGCCTGACCTCTGTCCAGGCACAGTGCAGAACTCTTCCCTCCTGGTCTACTCCTCCTCTTCCTCCTCTTCCTCCCCCTCCCTACCCAGAGCAGCAAATACCAACAGACAGCTGGACAGGCCAGCCCCTGCCAGCCTGTCCCCAGGGTCAGGTGACCTCCCTTCCCCAGGCCACTATAGCCTGGCCCTCTGGGCAGCCCTCCACACAGTGCCACAGTGCACAGTGACTTCTCCACACCGGGACTCCGGAGAGGCCTTCGCCCAGCGCCTGAGGTCGGCAGACACTGAGAGAGGGTTACTTCCCCCTGGACCCTCCCGTCTACACACTCCCTGGGACCCACGAGGGAGGAGGCCCTGGTGAGTGCTGCCCCAGGGGACAGGGATGGCGGTGGGCTTGCTGAACCCTCAGTGGTGCCACGGAGCTGGAGGGGTGGGCCCCATCTCCATCCTGGGCTCGTTAAGGACCTGCCTGGGGGGGGGGGGTGTCTGTCTGTGTATGTATGAAGGGCAAGTCACAACAGTTCAGCAACATAGAAATTCTGTCATTTGCTTCTCTTCCCTGCAGCAGAGGAATTCCACCCCTCTGTTCCTCACAGCCCCTGAAGGAAGGCAGGATGCTGGGGGTGCTGGGCTGAGCTGGGATGACAGAGGAAGCTGTAGGGGCAGGTGCAGGCATCGGAGCTGATGCTTCATACCCCACACTGTCCCAGGAGAACTAGCTGTCCCAAGACAAGTGGGCCCCACCCCGAGCCCAGAAATGTCCTGTCCCGGCATGTCCTGTCCCAGCAGCCTCGCCTTCCACCCAGTGGGACCACAGGGCTAGGATGACATCAGCGCCTGTGAGCAGTGGACTGGGCACTGGGTGCAGGGTGCCCCATGGAGCGGGGTGCAGTGGGCCCTGGGGATCAGAGACGTGTTGCCACCAGGGCCCCCTGTCCCGGACAGTGGCAAAGTCTTTGGGTCCCCTCTCCCATGGGCTCTACTGGGCTCTCCATGCACCTGAGACCTGAACCTGAGTCTGCCACATTCCTCACAATCTCTGGGGACCTAAGCACATCCATGCCAAGCCCCTTCCCCAGAGATTTGGACCAGGGGGACAGGACCCAAGCATCTATAGCTCTTAAAAGCTATGAATTTATTTTTGATCTGATACTATGAAAAACTTTCAGCCTACAGGAAAAGGCAGAGGGACTGATATAAGCCTGCATCTGGGTTTAAGCAGTTGTTTGAGGTCTGCTATGCTCAGGCGTCCCTGCATTCCCCACCCCGGGCAGTTCTTACAGAGCCCTAGCTCTGTCATTCTACTGACAGAATTAACGACTCTCTGAGAACGTCTATATCCAGCCCATACTCACATTCCCCCAGTTGCCCTCTAAATGTTTTTAAGGCTTTGTTTAGACCAGGACCAGTCAAGGTGCATCTGGTCAGTATGCCTTCTGAGTCTCTTTCAATCTGGAAGGATCTCTGCCAGCCACCCCTACCTGATTTTCCCCACCACATTCACTTGGTGAATTGAGGGGCCAGTTGTCCCATAGGAGAGTAAGAACATGTCTGAGTCAGACAACTCTCAGTACAGATAGGGAAACTGAGGCCCAGAGAAGAAAGGGCTGGAACTCTAGGGCAGAACGAGGTCTCCTGGCCCCCCTCCCCCATTGAGCTCCCCCAGAGCCAGCTCCTCATCAGGGATCTGAGAAACTCCTGCAAAGGGCCTGTGGCCCCTGGGACCCTCCCGGTCTTCCTTCCCAGGGCACTCTGGGGGATGCAAGCCAGACTGAGCCCAGCTGGCGGCCAGCAGCTTGCCCCCACTTTCTCCCACTTTCTCCCACTCTGAGCAGGGCACAGGAACAGACCCTCCCCAGGCAGGAACCTGGGTGGTTGCTGCCTTGCTGACCGGCAGCCACAGGAGCATCAGCTTTACAGTGTGAGCGCTGATGCACAAGGGTGTTCAGGGCAGCAGCTGCAGCAAGAGGTGGGGAGGGCAGGGCGGCCCACACCAGCGCCACATTGGCAGCCCCTACCTCATGCTAGTTTCTCTTCCTCTTCCAGCCCTGGGCCCACCTGGCCCAGGAGGGACCTGTTGGGTGGAGGTGCTGAAGACCACAGTCTGCTCTGCTCACATGTGTCTCCAGCACCCTCAGCCCTCCCCATCCTCACCAGCCTCCCCGTCCCAGGTTTAGGGGTCCCTCCCCCGTGAATCTAGCCAGGCGCTACACTTCTCAGAATGTGCCTCATTCAGGGCAAGAAGCTTCCCAGCGAGACAACCTTTAGAAAAAGCAGAGGGTGGCAAGAAGGGAACGTGGGGTGATCAATCTTGATAATTTCTGAAACAAAATCAGTCATCTGCAAAGGCAGGGACCCTTCGCTCTCTGGGCCGAGGACAGGCCTGGCAAACCCATGGTGGCTCAGGAATGTGTATCCCCTGGGTGCCAGGCCAGGAGGTGCTTGCTGGCTGTAGGTTTTGGCCCCTCTGGGTGTCTGGGTGCATCTGCTGCTGCCCTCTGCCGGGAAAGGCTGGCTTGCTCACTCCCATTCTTCCAGAAGACCCTCCCTCTTTAGTTGGCCAGTTCTGCTCGGTGGCCTCAAGAACCATGACACCACACACACACACACTCGCACTTTCATTTACACACTCGCCCACATGCTTGCTCCATCTGACTATTTTGTTTTGACCCTGAAAGAACTGTTTCTTCTTGTAGTCATAAAGTTGCCATACTAACCAGGGGCCAGACCTTACATTCCTGGCTCATAAGTCTCTTCCACAAGGCAGGTAACTAGTCATATTCCTCGGAGAAAGGGGAAGGTGTGGGGCAGGGTGTCTGAGGTTGGGACATGTGTGGATCTGGGTTTGGCGATGTCTAAGATCCTGGCTGCAGCCTCAAGGGGAGTGCCTTGGAGGGGCTGGCGGGATGGTTACTGGTCTTGCCCAGGGTGCCCGAGGACCCAGGGCACTGTCCTGAGGTGGGGATACGTCAGGGCCTGGGAAGCTGGAACCCCTGCCAGCCTCTGCCCTCCTCTGAGCAGCCTTTCCAGCAGCTCGGCTTTCTGAGTCACCTCCACCCCATGCGTCTCCTGCCCTGACAGCACGCTCAGAACACTGCCGCTGCTGCTGAGGACATTTGGCTGTGGTCGAAGAGCTTCTAAACTAATAATCACTGTATTAAAATCACATTTGGTCCTCAGGCCGGAGGAACGTTGGGAGATTTTAAATGTTAAGAGAAAAGAACAGGGAAAAAAATCTTCCCTCAAAGGATAAAATCAGCCTCTAAATAAGCTGCTGCAACTGAGGAATATGAAGTATTACTCTGTGATTCTGGAGCTCAAGCCTTCCCGGGAAATGGACACTCCAAAGCCACGTATCTCAGCCACGGCTGGGAGGTAGTGTGTCCAGTCCCCCAGCATTCAGTATTGATCCCACCGGGCTGGGGGCCATGCAGACGCAGGACACACCTTGAGTCATTGGATTTTAACACGTGGTTTTTTTCCTCCGGAAAATAACCTTGTGTTTTCCCAGCCTGGATGGCCTCAGGTGATACACAACCCTCCACCACATGAGAAACACCAAAATCCTACCCATAATGACCTAAGTGGCTTTAAATGGTTTTCTGGTCCTTTCTTCTCTAACAGATTGAAACAATGCTCCCTCAGGCCTTGCAAAGACATAGAGGGGTACTTGTGCCAGGCCTGCGGCCCTGAGGGCCTGCCAACGGACGTTAGAGCTTCAGAAGCGAGAGGGCAGGCCATCTCCATGCTGCCCTTGAATCTGCAGTCTGCAGCCTGACATGTTTTGTATCGGGCCTCTTTTGATTGTCTCCTTCCCAGAATGCCCGCTCTCCCCAGACTTACTGGGAGGTGGCCCCAAAGGCTTCCACACCCCAGTGATCTCAGGTGACTCCCTCCTCCCTACAGTGAGCTGTAACCAGACAGTCACCTCCAATCAGTGTGGCCAGGTGCCCTCTCTGCCCCCTTCATGCCGAGGCCCCAGCCCAGTGTGGGGGCATGACCCTGGGCCAGGGCCACGCAGCATCCTGCCTCTGCCTCCCCATGCTGCCCTCCCTCTTGCCCATGGCTCCCTCACACACACTCCCCAAGCAGGCCCTCCCCAGGCCACGCTGCCACCCCTCCCCCCTCACATCCCCTGCCAGCCCCTCATACCACCACCAACTCAGTGACAGCACTATTTCTCACCTTTTCAACTAGAACCCATTTTTTGACACAATTTTTCCCTATGAGTCTCCCTGTGATACTCATTATATTTTTAGTATCTGTTGATTGAGAAAACAGACGATGATAAAAACTACTAGGAACACAAGTAATGCCTTTAAATGGATCTGTTTTCAGTAACCACCAAAGCGTCTGCAGACACTTGAGAAATGATTGTGTTCCGTGGGTGTTATGTTTGGAGTCTGCAGAGAATGCTGGTGGTGGTGTGGTCTGGGTAAGGTCTCCAGCAGCCTGTGAGGGCACCCTTCACCCAGGGCACTGTCACCCGCCTCCTGCCTAGCACCTGGTTGAGCTGCCACTGCAGCATGCTGCCCCTGGCTGTGGCACCCTCACGGCCTGGCTGAGGCCCAGGACCCTGGCCTGAGAGTCTGACATAGGTCTCAAGACCCAGAGGAAGATTGTGCTGTGGGACAGACCCAGCAGCAGCCTGAGAGAATCCTGGCTCCAGTGCTCGAGCTCTGTGCTCAAGCTCTGGACCTTGGGAAAGCTCTTCACTCTTCTCTGCCTGAAAAGGATTCTCTTGAAAAATGGAGGTGGGAACTAAGCCGTCCGCAGTGGATGCTCAACAGGAGTGGCCATTATTGTACAGATGTCTTTGTGCAATGAAATCTCTGAGTGTCTCACTCAAGTGAGGTTGCTTTCAACCTAAGGACCCCATACTGGGTATGTGGCTGTAAGCTGGTGACAGACCAGGCTGTGCTGCATAACAAACCACCCCCAAATCTCAGTGGCCAGGCATGACAGAGACTGAGTTCTCCATCATGCTACGTATCCAACATGCAGTCCCTCAGGGAACCACTGTGCTTTCGGGGTGACCACAGCCAGGGAAGGAGAAGGTAGGAACTGCTTGCTCTTAGGAGCTCCCACCGGAAGTGACCCATCACTCCCACACATACTAGGCCAGCCAGAGCAGATCGTGTGGCTGCACTCACCTTCCATGTGGAAGGGAAGCACAGTGGGGCCATGTTCCCGTGAGGGACACCAGAAACCAGGCATTTGTGAGCAGCCCTGACAATGGCCACAGTCAGCCACATTGTTCCCAGAGCTGACAGGCTTTGATAAGAGACAATCCACGGCTGATTTAGTCCCAGTTTAAACCTTGACAAGCTTGATTTGTGGTTTCGCCTGCCATCTTTCCTAAAATGGGAATGGCAAGTTTAAACGGAAACCAAAAAATGTTCTGCAGGTTCAATGGACTCAGGTCTAGCGTGTGGGTAGGGGTCGCGTGCACACAGGCCCTCAGGAAGGAAGGTGTGCCAGCCAGTCGTGCAGCCACGACACACTCACTCGCCTCAGCGTGACGGCGGCATCTGTCATTGTGCCTGGCACCCTTGGTGTTGCCGTGTGTCCCCCTCTGGCAGCCAACTACAACTGCAGGCCTGCTGCTCGTAGCCCTCCTTTCAGACCAGAGAGTGTCCTGTGACCCCGTGGCAGACTGGCTGTCACTCAGGCCTCGCAGGCTCTGCTGACACAGGCAGCCCAGGAACTCTTTTAACAGCCAGCTCAATGACCGGGCCCCCAGAGAAATCAGCCCTTGAATCTCCTGGAGTAAGGCCCAGAGTTACGTCACTCAGGACATGACCCAGTGACAGGCCAGGAGGACACCAACCTGGGGCCATCTGTCCATCTTTCGTGGGGGCGAGGGGCTTTAAGCTGAACTCTCTGGCTGGGGCATCTCGTCTCTTACTTCCCTCCCTCATCCTAACTCCTTCTTGTCCCTCCCGAAGGAACACTAGGCGGATAGTGGGCACCACCACATCTGGGCTGTGGGACTGTGAGAGGGGGCATGGGCTGGAGAGAGGGACATTTGTCTCCCTTCGAAGCAATAAAGAGAGCCCAGGGTATTCAGCAAGTGTGTCAGAGGGGGTGTGAGGTCCTACCTCAGGCAAGAACCTCACCTGCCTTCCCAGCACCCAAGCTGAGTCAGTCTTGAGGATCACCCACGCAGTGACGAACCTGGTGGGGGAGATGCATGGGAAGAGGCCTCCACAAAGGAATGCTGTGTCTTTTGTCTTCTGAGTATCATGACAAGCCTGAGGCAGTGGGTGGGAAACCAAGCTCAGGGTCCTTATTCAGTGTGTCCCAGGGGCCTTGGCAAGCTGGTGGGAACACCTGCAACAGAGCCGGGCTCCTGTCTCCTTGCCCAGTGCTGTTAAGAAATAGACACGGACCCAGAGGCCAAGGTCCATGCCAGTGACAGAAGTGCCTGCATGTGGCAAAAGGAAGGTCTGGGCTGAGAAAAGTCTGTGAAGTTGAATTACTTATGCAGGGCTTCTGAGGGAGGAACAGAAGAATGGAGCTCCCTAGCTTTGTCCCACAGAGTGGGAGACTGCACAGACAGAGACAGGAAATCTCAAGCTTCCTTGGGAACCCAAGGTCGGCATCGATGCCAACTCGAGGCCACAGAATGCCTCCCCGAGCAGCAGCAAAGCCCACCTGCCCAGCTCAGGCAGGTGCTCTGGTGCTGACATCCCTGCCCATCTGCCCTCCCTCCACCCCTTCCCAGCAAACTGTCAGAACCACAGCCACACAGCCCAGGAGCAGAGGGAGTCTGAGGAGATGTCACCTAATATAGCCCCTAAGATGACCCTTTAAGGAAAGAGCCTCAGTTTCTTGACCTGTCAAGCCCAGCTTTTTGAAAAGTTCAGGTGACTACGCAACAGACCTCCCATTGCTACCAACCCACCCAAGTCTAGAGGCGAGAGTTCATGTCTCATACTGTGGACTGTCTTGGAGGCCTGGGGCTGTCCTGGCTCAGTCTGTGCTCTCCAAGAAGGTTCAGCCAGGGCTCCTGAGAATGGGAATGAGTGTCTCTCAGGTCTGGTTGACACCTCCAGCCAGAAGCCCCAAGGTGGTCAATACCACACCCAGCTCTACATGGACTGACCCCTCCTGATGGTTTCTGAGGTGCAGAGCCCCAGAGCATGTGCTCACTATTGTTAGGGTCGGAGAGACCAGGGCTGGGGGACAAGAAAACCTGGGTCCTGTCCCAGCACAGCCAGTGACTTGTCCCAGCTTCCTTGGGGCTCAAATTTCTGACTCTCAAAGTAGATAAACAAGAGCCCTCAGGCTCCCCACAGTGTGGCAGGCAAGAGCATTCTGAGGCTAATGTTCGAATCCCTGCTCTCCCCACATTAGCTGGGTGCACACAGGCAAGTTACTTAACCTCTCTGTGCATCTTCCTCATCTGTAAAATGGACTGACAACACTATATCCTAGAGTAGGTGGGAAGCCTTACATCTATATAAAACACCTAGAACACTGCCTGGCACATGGCAAGCGCTACATGTGTTAGTATTTATTATTAATTCCTTCTTACGCTGCCACTGTGAGGTGACATCCATGTCCTCAGAGCTCCTTAGGGAGATGAAGGCGTGGGGAGAGGAAGGCAGTGGACTGCCCAGCGTGGGACACGTGCTGCTGCTGGGACTGCCTGGGTGCTCGGGGAGCAGGGCGTGCTGAGCTGAGCCAGCTCTGTGCCCAGCCCAGGGAGCTGGTGTGAGAGACAGGGCCCAGACTCCTTCTAGGAGTGGATATAAATGAAGTTTACATCATGGCTGTCCCTCTGGTTACCGGGAGAGTCTCTGCCTCCCTTTCCCCAGGGACAGGTCAGCTGGCAAACAATGGCATATAAGTGAACCCAGGGAGAGGAGCCATGTTGGGTCACCTTGATTTTTCTTTCTTCCTTCTGGCCTTCACCAAATTTGCAAGGAGGACTGGATTTGCCAAGCACTGGGAACATCAACTCATCCCTGGGCCAATTGCTGATTTCCCTCCCCATCTAGATGTCTCCCACCAGCTTCTTTTCTCAGCGCCCAGAACAGGCTCCCAGGAGGGCTCACCTCTGCACAGTCTTGGAGCAGAGCTGGGAAAGGCTGGGGCTGTGGTCTCAGGCACAGCCCTGCACCACTGGGCCTTGGCAACCCCACCCTCCCCAGCCAGGCTCCAGCCACACAGGCAGCTGGAGCCATAGCCTGCACCCCTCAAAGCAAATGCACAAACCAGGAGGAACACCCCTTCCCCTTCCTGAAGGGCAGAGCACTCTGTGGCCTGCAGAAGCAGGCAAAGTGGGAGAGGCTGCCCGGTGGAGAACGGATGAGTTGGACTGAGGATTTCAATGCCCCCTGGTGCTGGAGGTCTGGGCTGGTGGCAGGAGCCTCTCTGAGCCAGGATCCTGAACAAATTGACAGGCACTGCTGTGCCTGGGGCCAGACAACTATGTCCGCGGTCTGGACTGAAGGTCATACAGAGGGTTCATCATGCCTGGTGCTGCCCAGCCTGGTCACATCCTCCACCGGGAGTCCAGCAGAGGAGAGTATTAATAACTCGGCAGTGACAAGCACTGCTGTGAGAATGTCCTCTCAGACATGATATGGCCAGAAAAGCCTCTCTCAAAGTGTCTCTTCGGCACTCCCCTGACACAAAGTCAGGACATCTTTAGGCGCTGGGTTTCCAGCCCAGAGTCCTAGCATTTGCCTGACATCCAGCAAGCTTGCCCTTGGGAGGAAGAGTGACAGCAGGTGGTGGGGGATGAGGCCCAGAGACTGGGATCTCCTGGACCCCACCGGCCCCCAAGCAAGGCGTTTCAGGCCTCGCTTTCCTCATTTGCAAGGTGGTGGTGAGAAAGCCTGCCTTCCCCACAACCCAGGTGGGAAAATGTGACCCACCAGGGCAATAATGCCAGAAGTGATCACGATTAGTCACATTTATTGAGCACTCAGCTCTGGGCCCTGGGCTAACCTTTTCATAGGCTTTACCTCAATTCTGTCCTTAACTCCACAAGGCAGGCACCCTTATTGTCCCATTCCACAGATGGGAACGCTGAGGCCAAAGAGGTTCAGGGGCTCCCCAAGGTCACACAGCCGTGATAAGAATCAGTGGTGCACAGCTATGCTATACAGAAGGGAAGCACTCTTGCACCCCAACCCCTGCTAGCTGCTGAGCGACCCAACGGCAGAGACTGCTCTCTTCTTGGGCCTGGAATCAAGGTTCCCCAAGGCAGGCAGACAACATGACATGAGAATTTGGGACACAACCCCCCACCCTGGAAGCCTATATTTGTGTGTATTGTTTGATTTTTAAAGCAGTGTTTGAATATTTAAATGCAAAAGGTACAAAACTCTACTTAGAGAAGTCTTCCTTTCAGCCCTGCTCCCTAGAGGCAACCACTGTTAGTAGTTTCTTGTAACAGACACTGCAGCAGTGATCCATGCCTGTTTACTGTCTGATTTAGCTCCCTGAGGCTGGGGGCTGGGGACCATGGGTGCGTCTGAGCACTGCCGCCGCCACTGCCTCGCTCACATCATTTCCACCCTCCTCTGCTTTCCAGGGTCCCTGCTGAGAGCCCACAGCTGGGAAGAAAATTATGCTATAACAACAACAAACAACAAAGAGAAAGTTGAGGACCTCTGACAGCCCTGCCTCTGCCCTGGAGCTGCTACTTGTCTACCTCAGGCCATGGTTGTACAGAACAGTGTGGAAGGTGGGGACACCAGGATGGGTGTGCAACTGGAGCCCTTCCTGCACCAGGTTGGGGGACACCTGAGTGTGATGAAGTATGATGAGGACACAGTGTGCAAGCCCCTCGTGTCCCAGGAGCAGAGGTTCTATGAATCCCTGCCACTGGCCATGAAGCGGTTCACCCCACAGTACAAAGGTGAGTGTCCAGGGGGCAGGTGTGACCCAGGCCGCCACACGAGGCCAGGCTCATCTGCACGCATCCACTGCTTCCTTAAGCACTGTGGTATGTGTGGTGGTTGCCATGGAAACATGCCCCTCTCCTGCAGCCCAGCTGGCCTTCGCTGTCCTAGTTTCTCTGAACTCTTCATGTCCCCAGGTCTGGAGTATAATAGCATTTGGAGTCCTTCCAAATTAGCTCAAGCCACCCGGCTTCGAGGAATTAAGAATGGAATAAAATGGGGCATCCTGGCCTGTGCTTTAGGAGCACACGGCTGGGTCCTGTAGCCACGGCTGGTAACCACAGGACAAGTGGAGGTTTCTTTTACCTCATGCTGGAGACTTCAGTGGGTGGTAGGAGCCCCAGGCCTAGGACATGACACAGAAGAGCTGGGCCACAGCAGGTTTAGGAAACCAGAATTCCTGCTGTCTCACCCAGGGGCACAGCCAGAGGCATCGGCTGCCTTGCAGGGGGACCTGGGGAAATCTGGCATGAAGCAGTGTGCATCCTGATCTGAGCTCAAGGGGGTTCCGGGGGAAGAAGGCTGTGGGGAGGCCGCCTATTCTGGGCCTCCAGTCAGGGCCTCTGGGCTGTTCTGTCCACGCCCAGCCTTCTGTGGGTGTGGTCTGCAGGGCTCAGGGCATGGCTCAGGCACAAGCCTACAGTGGCATGGGTGTTCAAAGACCTCCTCTAAAGGATTTTAGATGTTGTGACTGCAAGGAAGACTTCTGTCTTCCTTGCCCAAGTATCTGTAGTGAAAGCAATGATAACACCTGAAGCAGTCAGTCAAAAACTCACTTGCATTGCAATGACTGACATAACTGGGAAGGCTGGAGCTTGTCTACATCAGCGTTTCTCAGTGTGATCTGAGACCGATCAACTTTACCAGACTCACTGGAGAGTGTGTGAGTGTGTGTGTTTGTGTGTACCTATATGCAGGTTCCCAGGCCCCATTCTAGACCTGGGAATCAGAATCCCTGGGTTTAGGGCTCAGGAATTGGTATTCAGCATGTTCCAAATTAAGACCCACTGGTATGGAGCCAAGGCCTGAACCCTAGGAGGCATTCTTCAGTCCTGGCCTGTTGGCCCCCCCGCCCCCCTCCGAGAGTCTGAGACAGGATGGATGAGCATCAGACACCAAGACAGGGGTGCACAGCTGGAATGCAACCTGGACAGGACTCCCCTGGGGCCCTCTGGGGCCCAGGCAGTACTGACCATGGCTTCTGGGTCACTGCTCATCTTGTCAGAGCACCCACTGGAATTAGTATCTGTCCTTTCAAAACTGATCTCAACCTGGCAAAGGGGTAGCAGGTCCTTGTGTGGAGTGGCCGCCTGCCTGTGGCATTTCATGCTTCCCTGACACAGCTTCCTCTGGAGCTGAGAGACTGCCAGGGCCGGCACAGGCAAAACAGGAGAGTGAGGGAGGCTGCTCAGTCCCCAGATCCGATCCTGCTCCTCCCCTACACCCTGTCTGCACGTGCCCATTCCTCCCAGGGCAGGACTGCACCACTCTCAGGCCCTCTCAGGCACAGGCTTACTGTCTAGACCCTTCCTCTGCCCTACTTCCCCCTTCAGGATGGGCCCATCCCCAGAACCAACCACCTCAGGGATCTGCTAAGATTAATTTGAACTGAGGCTCATAGCTACACACATCACTGGCCATGGGGGATGCTTCAGTCTCTACGTTGGACTTCACTCAGGAGGTGGTGTTTGCAAACTGCATCAGGGTACTGCAGATACCCCCAGGTGAGACCATGTGGTCCTGGTGAGGGTGAGGGTGAGGCAGAGTCCCTGGGCTCGGTTGACCTTCAAACATGAGGTTCCAATGACACAGAAACGCATCCACTCGCTAGCCACAGTGCAGGCCCACTAAGGACATACAAGTCTACAGAGACACTGGAATACCAGACACCAGGGCACGACACTCACTCTCAGATGCTTGGGGCAGGAAGCTGAGGTCAGGTTTTAGTGGGAAAGAGATGCTCGAAGGGCCCTCAGGCTGTGCAGCCACCTGGTCTCACATGGTAAGAAAAGTAACATCACCTAACCCTTAGAGCTCCCTCACTGCCCAAATGCCTGTAAGTAGTTTGCAGGTGCCACAGTCCTCTGAGATGGGGACTATTATTATCCCCGTTTCACAGGTAAGGAAACTGAGGCAGAGAGAGGTTACCTAACTTGTCAGGGCACATAGCCAGTGAGGGGCAGAGCTAGGATTCAAAGCTCCCAGCTCTGAGTCCCAAGTGTGGCTTTTGGCTCCACCAGCTACTCATACTGGAGATGGACTCCTCGGATGCCAGTGCCCAGGGGGTCATCAAGGCCAGTGCGGGAGGGCCACTGAGCTGGAGAACTCAGGTCAGGAACACTCCAGTGCCTACAAGGCTGACACAGGGGTCTCCCTTTTTCTCCGCAAGGGAACAGCTCCAGAGCTGTATCTGAAGTGGTCACTGCACGCCAGGGTGCACACTTCTCTCTCCCTGTCACTGCCCAGCACTGAGATGGCCTCAGGGGGTGCTGGGCAGTGATATCATTCCCAAGGGCAACCTCCCTGAGCCAGGAGTTCACCTGGACTCTCTGCTGGGCTGCTCAGGTATGGCAGCATCTTGGGCTGTACCCCTCTGCCTCCCAGTCTGCCTGCCTGTTGGCTTTGGGTGAGTAAGATATGCTCCTAGGTCTAATGAGTTAATGGAGGAGCCAGATGCATATTACAGACAGCAACAGATAAACACTCTCATGAGCTTAAAAATAAACACATAACAGAATATTCAGAGGCTAAGGAAGCTGCTCGGCCAAGCTAAAATTGCTGAGATGTTCTGGGTGTGTCAATCGTGGCAGTAAGTGCTCGTGTCTGCCTAGCTGGCACGGTGGCAGGTCAAGGTGCCTGGGAGGGCTGGCGAGCAGGCAGCCGGGGCTCCCACTCTATAGGCAGGGGCAGTGGGGTTCTGGGAACCCGTGAGCCTCTGAGGCCTAGTCCCCTTGGACACACACAGTGAGCTGGAGGCCAGGTAAGGACAATCCAAGTCCCTAGCAGTCTGGATTCCACTGGGCGGGGTGCTCGAGACTTTGCAAGGCCCTATATGTGCTGGATCCCAGGCTTCTGAAGGGCTGGGCTAGACCACAGAGGGGTGTTTGGGAGAGAGGGAAGGCAGATAAACAGAGACAGAGCCAGTCAGAGGTGTAGGAAGATGGAGCAAGAAAGCAGGGACATGGAGCCTGGTTGTGTAGCTCTGACATATGAGAAAAAGAAATGACTTTTGGATTTTATTGGTTTTGGGTTTTCTGTACCTCCACTCACCTCCAATTATTTAGACACTCAAAATGGAGGAGATCAGACAAGAGCTAGAGCCTGGAAAAGTGGGTGAAGATCACATTTCTTGCCTCTCAGACCCAGGCTCCCTGCAAGTGTGGTTTCTGGCATGGCCATCACCACAGCCTCAGGAGTGGGAAAGGCCTGGGGCCGTCAGACAGTAACTTGGACTTTACGAGATGCAGAAGGACCCAGAAAGCCAGGGGGTCCTGAGCAGCCCAAGGACAATCACAGAGGCCATTGAGGTCTCCCCTTCTCACACAGGGAAGGTGGGCCTGGAGCCCTGAGGTGGTTTCCAGGTCAGTGCCCCTCCCTAGAACAAGCACAGTGACCCTGCCCCCACCCCCCAGAAAACAGGGCTGGCAATATAAACCCCACGTCCGTGGGCTTCCTGGGCTCCCAGCTCCTGCACCGATGGCCCCCGCAGGATGGTGGGGTCACAGCTTCTGTGTTTGCTCCACAGAACAGAATGACCAAAACAAACACAACTGAGGACACAGCAAAAGTGTTCTCATACACACGTGGGTAAACAGAGTGTGACAACACACGGTCTCCCTATGAAGTCCTCAGCTCCATGTCACAACTTGTTCCTTCTTCCACATCTAGTTCTGGTGTGGCCTTTTTCAGAGTGCTACACCTGTGTGACCTGGGGCACGGTATTCATTCTCTCTGAACCCCAGTGCCCAGAGTCAGGCTGCTACAGCACAATGATAACAAGTGAAAAGCACACGGCGCTGGTGCACCAGTGGGCATGGAGGTCACGGAGGTGACGATCACTGTGCAGTCACCTCCCTGGCCTGCCCCCAACCCTGCTCTCATGAGCAGGCTGCTGCGATGGGCTTGCTTTGGGGATACACGCTGGTCTTCAGATAAACTGAAAATGTCAGGCCCAGGCACAGCATTGTAGACGTATCATTGTTACTTTACAGGGTGCAGGTCCCTGTCATGAGCTGAGGAAATGCAGAGTTCTAGGAGCTGGTGAAAACTGAATGTCACTCTCAGGCTACAAAATTAGGGCACTGGGAATCTGAGATGACAGGACTGGCCTGGGGAGACCGCTGAGCTAGGCACAGATGGCTCTGAACAGCAGCTTGCTGAATTACAGAGCGGGCCGAAAATGGGTGTCTGCACCGACCAGCCCCAGAGGGCCGGGCGGAATGCAGGCAGGAACTCAGCTGCCTGAGAGCTTATTCAGCAGAAATTACCACTTATGCTGAGAAGGTGACCAAGTGGCCAGGGAAGGAAATAAATATCTTGGAGGACAGAATGACATGCAACCCACCCTCTCAGTTGGGGGCCCAGCAGACAGGTTCAAATGAAGAGCTCTTTTTAAAGGACCTGTTAGCATAAGGGTTGAGGAAACAACTGGGGACTTGAGGCACCAGGGACCAGCAGCACTGAAAAGCTCCCACCCCCCAGGCCTGAAGGGCCAATGTGAGGGGATGGTGGAAGTGACAGGGCAAGAGGGAAGTCACAAACACTCGGAAACCTGGTTCTCGAAGAACATTTGTGAGCTGGTCTCCTGTGCCACTGCTAGGAGGATTGTTCCCTCTTCGCCAGGATTCTGGGGAGACAGGGTGCCCACTGGCTGCTCAGCCCAGAGAGGAAGACCTGGACTCTGCCTTCCTCATGCACCCTGAGTGAGGAATACAAAGGGAGCAGCCACAGAGCAGTGAACATACGTGCCAGGACTGATACCAGGTCTGGCCACCGTCCTGGAGGAGGAGCCCAAGTAGCACATGTTCATGGGGTGTCCTTGCACTCTTCCCTTTTACTGTGGAGAAGGAGGTCCTGGAAGTTGGGGAAATCTCACAAGTCTTTTTTTTGTCAAAGAGCCACATTCCGCCAACAATCTTCATGTGCTGTGTGTCTAACCAAAGCAGACAGCGAGCATCATTGTCAAAGCCAGAGCTGGGGAGGGTGGACGAAGGCGTGACGGGAGTCCTGAGCCCCTGCAGGCTGTCTGAGGAAGCTTCCTGGGAGAGGCTGGTCAGATAGACACAAATGGAGGGGAGAGCAAGCATGACAGTGGAGGCAGACAAGGGGAGGAATGCATGGGCCCTCACTTCCGTAACTGCTACTCTGGGAGGGGACCCCTCTTTGCAGACCAGTTCTGATGCCCCAAGCTTGACCCAGTTGGGGCAGCTGTGGTGTAACTGGGAAGGTGTGACTGTGCACAAAGGAACTGGAATGCAAGGACACAATGTACAGGCGGGCTTTGTTAAAGCATGAAGGGGCAGAGAAGTGCCATAAAGCAGAGGCTGTGCCAAGATCAGCCCAAGGCTATCTTCTGCAGGCTCCACAGCTCTGGGCTCATACTGGAACAGGTCGGGTTCAGGCTCAGCCAGGACAGTCCCCACAGCTTCCTTGAGAGAGGAGTTGGGGGAAAGGAAAGGTTGACCATTGCCATTAAACTATACTTCAGAAGGGTGTCACCCATTGCAACGTAGGTAAATTCTACCTGGTTTCTCCACCCCTTGCCCTCCCTCATGTGCTCCACAGGTACCATCACAGTTCACCTCCGGAAAGACAGCCTAGGCCATCTCAGCTTGGTTGCCAACCCACTGAAGGAGAACCAGGGGCCCTTAAACATCCCCTCAGGGTCAGCAGCGGTGGCGATGTGGCAGAAGCTCCAGCAGACCACGAGCAGCAGTGGCGGCGCAGGTCCCCTCTCCCAGTGGCAGCACACCGAGCTAGCACACTCGCTCAAGGAGAGGTGAGGGCCACTTGGCAGGATGACAGAAACTGGAGCTCATCCCTAGCAGGGACCAGCACTACTCCCACTGGGGCCAAGGCCAACGGCTCCCCGTGAAGGCCAGAGCGGGGAAAATGAGAAATTCAGATGAAGGTTCTGTCTAGAATAACTAATGTGAACAGAGAGAGGAATACATCTTCTTCATGCCGCTCCCAGAGGGAGGGATGCAAAGCCTTCATCTCAGATGCAGATGAACATGGCAGAGCCCTATATAGAGCAGGCATTCAGCGCATATTTGTTTATTAAATACCTGTTTCACTGAGACCATGAAGTCTTGGGGGGAAATGTGCAGAGCAGAAACCCCAGAGTAGTTGACATGAAGGAAAAGTGTGGCTAATGTCTCCCAGAAATCACCTTTCCTTAGCAGTCGAGAAGGGATGAGAAGTCAACACAACACTCAGTGGGGCTTGGAGGCGCAGGTGGTTCGGGGCACCTAGGTCCCTGGAGAGGTCTCCAAAAACTTCTGATAACATCAGCTCACCTTTCTCAGATGAGAAGGATCCCTGGGGATTTTTTAACATCTATGGGAAAACAAAAGGGAGCTAATACAATGAAAGTACCTCCCTTCCCCAAGGAGCACAGATCTAATTAAGTCTCTTGGCTCAGCATCAGGAAGTGGGTGCCCATTATCTCCACTTCACAGATGGGGAAGCTGAGACGCAGAGGACAGGAGAGAGGTACCAAGGACGCAACGATTCCCACCCCCTATGGCACTTTGGGGTCTCAAGGGTAATAGACTAACCCTCAACTTCCGATTCCCTGTGGGGTTGTTGCGCCCACAGTGTAGGGCCTCAATAGTGGGGTAATAATAATCCAGATCACTGACAAGTGACTTTAAACTACCTTAGTCCTCCGAGGGGGTGACATGTTCTAATGAGTTAATGTTACTGTAGAGTCCCTGCAGGAGGGCTACAGTGTGGCCAGACCTGGTGCTAGGGACTGATGGACAGGAAGGGCATTCTGAGGTTCTGCAGTGTCCTAGAGAGAAGCCAGGAACAGTCTGTGTCAGAGTTTAGCTCAGGAGAATGCAGTCAGTCACAGAAAAGGGCCCCTTGTCCCAGACCTGTGGACTGGCTGCCCTGACTGTCTTGTGCTTCCCTCACATGCAGCCCGGCCACTGGGCACCTGAGGTCTGAGTTCCACCTCAGCAGCCACGTATCCTCCTTGGTGGAAGATGCTAAAGAGAACCAGGCCGAGAAGAGGAGCTTTAACCCATGGGGTCTGCACTGCCATCAGGCCCACCTGACCCGCCTCTGCACCGAGTACCCAGAGAACAAGTGGCACCGTATCCTTGCCAGCTTCTCCACCACATAGTCCCAAAGGCAGGGGTGTACCTATTCGGGGCGGGGGCAAGGATGGGAGCGGGAGGGTCAAGTGAGGGGGGAGTGAAGGAGAGTTGGAGGCAGGAGCCCTCAAACTTGGGACATAGAAGAAATCAGTTCTTCAGAGATTATCTCAGAGATTATGGGAGAGCCAGACTGGGAATGAAACTGAACACACTGCCCCTAGGGGGCCACTGCTGTCTCTCTACCACAAGGGCTGGGCCTCTGTGGGAGGATAGCAATACTGAGTGCCACGCTTCTATCCCTCCAAATTCACCCCACAGGGGTCTTCCCACCGAGCTGATGGGGAGGGAGGGGTGTGGCTCCTCCCTTAGGGAAGTACCCACTGGTAGACCCCAGGGGAGGTAGTCCTCTTCCCCCTTAGGCTGTCATGTTCTCAGGGAGCAAATTCAGGCTTGAAATGTCCCTTCATCACCACTGGCTCCTTCCTGCAAAGGGCAGCTGTTCTCACAGTATTTACTAAGACACATCTGCAATCCTAATCCCTAAGAAGCTTTTGCAGGATAATTACTCCACTGAAATTAATATTCCTTCAACTCATCTCCAAAGCTAGCATCAACCCACTTTTCCCAAAAGGTATAGGCCCATTTAGTGACTAGAGGTTTTAGTCTTATGATTTTCTGCTATAAAATGTAAACTGAGCAAGGCCTGCCAGGGATTTCAGACCTGCATTTAAATTTCAACCTCATGGGGAATGGGTGGGGGTTGGGAGAGACTGAATGTGGGAGGTGGCTGATGGGTAGGGCAGGGGAGAGTAATGGGGGGGGGGGGAAATGGAGACAACTGTAATTAAAAAACAATTTAAAAATTTAAAAAATAATACATTTCAACCTCAGAGCAAAAAGGAAAAGCAGCTTGCATGCTCGTAAACTCCCTCTAAATAAAAGGACTTAATAAAGCAGCTGCAAAGCTACCACCTGGAATTCTTACTGGTGATGGTGGGCTTGTCTGGAATGCAAGAACAGCACTCAGGGCAGGGAATCTCCAGCCAGCTTCTGGGGGGTGCTGCCCGCCTCTGGTGAGGCTGCAGTCTGATGTCCTCAGACTCTTCCTTAACTTAGAGCGACCAGGGTTCCTCTTGTTGGAAAATGTCGTGTCACAGTACAAGCATCCCTGTGTCTTGGACCTGAAGATGGGGACTCGGCAGCACGGGGACGATGCATCTGAGGAGAAGGCGGCCCGCCAGATGACGAAGTGTGCACAGAGCACCTCAGCCTGCCTGGGTGTGCGTGTCTGCGGCATGCAGGTGGGTGGCAGAGGGCCCACCCTGCATCTCGGCACATCCACTGTGGGGCAGGATGCCTCCCATCCAGACACCACTGCCCCCTGCAGAGCTCCTTGCTTTGGGGGAGCATCAGAGGAGGCAGCCAGGTACCCCTCTTCCCCCAAGGAAATGCACATTCTGGTCTATGACATGCTGGGTCTTTTAAAGAGCACCTTTCAGGATAGTGGTGTCAAAATTCCACCATTTTTTCAATTGCTCTCAGGGTCTTTGGCAGTTGAAAGTTTCCACAGCAGCCACGTGACCTTCCCATGTTGAGAGAAGCATGCTGATGACAGCATGTGAGCAAGGGCTGGGCAAAGACCTCAGGAGAGCTTCTCTGTGCACTCTGACAACCCCCTTTCTCTGAGTGATAAAGATGAACTTCCTTCTCCAATGCTATAAGGCAGTCTGTCTCTGCATTATTAGCCATTCTCTCTTCTTACTCTATCTCTTCTGCTTCTTTCTACCTGTTCTGGTTAACAAAGTGGGAAGGTTATAACCTGCTAAGCCCAAGCAAATGAACAGTTAAATTTTTATTGCCTAGACTCCTTGCTTCATTTTTGCTGCTCTTATGTGGCTCATGGCAGAAGCTGCAGAGCAGGAGGAAATAAACTCTCTCTCATAGCCTAGCTACTCCAAGTAAAACCAGACACTGATTCGTTGGTAAATGTTATAGCTTTCCTTAATTGAAACTGCCACCCCTTGAAGCTGCAAGTTGAGTCTATAAATTTGTTGCACAGATGTCCCTTGAAAGGCTTGGAATGCAGTTCTCAAGAGAATGGTGTGTGATGATTTGTGGTGTAAATGGAATCTCTCTGGACCTCAAACCTTCTGAAATTGATCTGATTTATTTGGAAAGTGATGCCTGTCATGTATTTATGATGGTTAATTTAGTAGTTGATCTCCAACTCTCCAAAGGCAGCACCAAGTCTATCATATCTATCACTGGTTTTCTGTAAACATACCATGTAATCTGAAGGCAGGATAGGCCCAAGACACTGTCCTGGCCAGGTGCTGCAGCCCTTCCCAGGTGTGCCAGGCAGGGGCATGCTAAGTCATTCTCTAGCCATGCCAGATGCTGGCCTCAGATCAGCCACTGCAGCAGCCTGTGCCATCTGAATGAAACAGGGGTGGCGGCCACAATCCCCCGTCAGTATCTCTCTTCCATCTGCTCCCTCTGGTGGTCAAGACGTGACAGGAAAGGGGAGGGGAGAAGAGGTAGTACCAAGGAGAGGAGCCACTAAGCTCCAAAGAGCCCCTATGAACCACCCTCCTCTAGCCAGGCTCCCCTCAGCTGCATGGCTGCCCCCAAACCCTACCCACACTTGATCTAGCATATCCTTTATCTTCAAAAGATTCACCCCATTGTACCCCAAAGGCTGTTACTGTTTCCTTAGAATCTGCAGAGAAAGGACTTTATAAACTTTGTTGGGGAAAATTTAATCTAATTGGCTTTCTAAGTCCATTGGCTGTGATTTCAGATTCCTATTAAAGCTTTCCAGCTTGGGTTTTGCTAATATTTGGAGAGGCCAGAAGCCAGGATTTAAGTCATGGTTTGGAGGTTGACATTGGAAATTCACAAGAAAGGAGATCCAGTCCTTATCTGCATGGGGGGAGGGTCACCTCTGTAGGGTGAAGGTTCTTTGGACCTCGGACTCCTATTAGAGGCTCACACAGAAAGCATGTTAGATGCAAAACTGAATAGTGCACGGTTGGAAGCACATTGTCTGTTTGTTTCAGCCCTTCTTGTCCTGCATCCCTGCAACTGTCTATAAATATTATGTTAGCTTGTGACTCTGCAACTGCCCCAGGTTTTTGTTTGTAATTCTTTGCATTTTCTCTTTCCTCTCCTTAATGTAAGGTTTATCAAACAGATAAGAAGCACTTTCTCTGCAAAGACAAGTACTATGGGAGAAAACTCTCAGTCGAGGGGTTCAGACAAGCCCTCTATCAGTTCCTGCACGATGGCACCCGCCTTCGGACAGAGCTGCTGGGGCCCATCCAGCACCAGCTCCAGGCCCTCCTCTTGGTCATCAGGAGCCAGACTTCATACCGCTTCTACTCCAGCTCCCTCCTCATCATCTACGACGGGCAGGAGCCACTGGAAAGAGCCCCGAGTGGACTGCATCCTCAGGAGGCTCCTCAGACTGCGCACGGCAGCTCTCCCAGAGGTTTCCCCAAGGTTGACATCCGGATGATCGACTTTGCTCACACAACATACAAGGGCTCCCGGAATGAGCATACCACCTATGACGGACCAGATCCAGGCTATATTTTTGGTCTGGAAAACCTCATCCAGATCCTGCAGGATATCCAGGAGTGAGAATGAGACTTATTGGGCCCATCCAGATTTTTCTGCAGTACAAATCTTAAAAGGGACCCACTGATAGTGAGGGTAGTCTAGACACCCTTTAGATGTCTTTGTAATAACCACATCTATATCCAAAAGCCATCACTATACATGGCAAGCTATGTTAACAGCTGCTAAAGAAATCAGCTCTGGAGATAATTCACACACCTGGCATCTTGTGCTAATGCTGGCCACTGCAGACTGGACAGTCAGTGTGAAAGGACAGCACCTTGGAGCAGATTGCAGGGGTGCATGAGTCAGAGGCAGCATTACAGTGAGACCCTGCAGTGTTTGCATTTAAAAATGCTTTCTTGCTGTCATGCTGCAGTCCTTCCTAGCTGTAAGGCAAAAAACCTTACTTGAAAAGTTGAAGAGAACTGCCTGCTCCCAGGGCAGGGAAGATAGGGGTAATGAATGCCCCTTACCTCCCTAAGAGGCACTGCAGGGGGCGCAGGATGAAGTAGGACAGACCTATCATCTCACCAGCTTTGTACCCAGGTTCGGAGAGAGCAAGGACAATCCCAGACACAGCACTGGCAAACCAATACCCCAGGTTCTCAATTTTTGCCCGTGGAGAGAAAGGTCTCTTTACAGACTTCCATGTACCTGCTGAAGCAATGATTCTGCCAGAACCTGATCTCAAAAAGGCTCTGAATCTAACCATGAAATGCAATTTCCAGTGGAGGTGGAATGTACATGAGGAGGAGCCACTGATGTTAAACTATACTCTCAGTTTTCTATTTATTTATTGGGGGGCGGGGGGGGGCGGTCAGAAGTGAGCAAGGAGCCTGGAGGACTGAGGAAACCAGGTGCAATGTTTACAAGACCAGGAGACAAGAGTAAGTATGGAACAAAGAGCAAATGGTTCTAATTAATTCCTTGTTCTACAGTGCGGAAACCTATTACAATGCCCTTGAGTTAAGCACTGAGATACGTTACCCAATTAGGGAAATAAATTTGTTAATAAAATTGCTGAGGTCAACAGTGATTATTTGGTGTGCCTTATTACCCTTTCTGTTTATTTATTCTGCACATCATGCTGTACACTAGTTCCAATTGATGGGTGAGTAGAGAATACAGTAAGAACAGTGCACCAATTTCCTGCAATTCTTCAAGGAACCCAATGGGGAATGGTGGCAAATAAAATATTTGCATGTATCTACAAGGCAGGCACCAGGCCTGAGAAGTCAGTAGTCCTTTCATTTGAGCCTTATACAATTTCTGGATTCTCATGGCTAAACCATCAACTTTCCAAAATCCACACTATTGGAAAGAGTTACCTGGATAACAAAAAACTTTTGTTTAATTTTGCAATACATTATATGGATTTCAAAGCAAGTTAACTTCCCTAATAATGTTTGGCCAAGGTAACAACACAATTAATTTGCATGCTCTGTGCCCCTGGTGGGAGAGCTAAGTCAAAGCCTGCTGGGTGGCAAAAGGGAGTCAGTTGAAAAATAAGTATTTGCCAATAACAAAATGGAGCCCTAAATATTGCTTTTTCTGAGTGTGTTTGTTTGTTTCTTCTTCTTCTTCTTTTTACTTTTAGAGAAGGGGGAAGGGAGGGAGAAAGAGAGGAAGAGAAACATCAATGTGTAAGAGATTCGGTTGCCTCTCACATGCCCCCAACGGGGACCTGGCCCACAACCCAGGCATGTGCCTGGACTGGGAATCAAACTGGCAGCCTTTCAGTTTTCAGGCTGGTACTCAATCCACTGAGGCACAGCAGCCAGGGCCTGCGCCACTTTCTTGCTTGAGAACCTGGTCCCACATCAACCAAGTCCAAAGTTTCCTGGCTTAGCTTCTGATTCCTCCACCATTAGCAGCCCACCCAATTATTGCAAATAAGGGCAGAGGGGGAACAACAGAAAGATACAGAAAGAAGAGACAATTGGTGTGCATGTATTTGACCTCCAATCTGACTTTACTTAAAAATGACAAAAGGGATAAGAAATCCCAGATATCCCGCCATCAGCAAGTGTCCTTGTGCAGAACAGCTATTTCCTGCTGATCTCTTTGCTCAGCACTGTGGAAGATCCAGCTCTTGGGAGCTTGGATTGTAGTTGAAGAAGTGAGAATCACACACATGAACTGATAACAAGTACACAAGACAGTCCTCAGTGCACAGAGGATGGATCTGTGTGGTACAGATGAGAAACCCTAAAATTTAAAGTTGAAGGTGTTTGCTGAGAGCAGACTTGTCACAGAAACTGTTGGAGGAGGTTAGACTTCATCTGGACCCTGAAGGGTGACAGGGGTGGGGAAGGGGCTGGGGGATTGGTAGGGGTGGGGAGTGAAGGGACAGAAAAGTCTGGCCTATTTATGAGTCTATGGACAGACCAACCCATTCAGCATGGGGTTTTTGTGGTTGGGGGTAGTAGAAATGAAGAGTAGAAACATGGAGTGAACCCAATGGGTGGAGACACTTAAAAATCTAGCCAAGTAGCTCATTTGTTTATGATTTCATTAATCTGTTTTTCCTTTTCACCCATCCAACAAATATTTTCTGAGTGCCTGGTACATACAGCTAGGGCCTGTGTAGGAAACAAGGAAGTGCAAAGATCAAGATGTTTTGCTTACCCTGGCTGGCGTGGCTCAGTTGGTTGGGTGTCATCCTGCAAAATGAAAGGTCACTGATTCAATTCCCAGTCAGGGCACATGCCTAGGTTGTGGGTTCAGTCCACAAGAGGCAACCAATTAATTTCTTTTTCACACTGATGTTTCACCCCCTCTCCTTCTCCCTCCCTCCCCTCTGTCTAAAAATAAATAAATAAAATCTTTTTTTTTAAAGATGTTTTCCCTTAAGTACCTCATGACTTAATGTGAGAGTAAGGGCCCTCATATGAAAATAGTATCATGGGTGCTTCCCCAGGGTGTAGGGGCTGTTTGCTCAGCTATGCCGAGTGCTACCGGGAGGCTCACTGGCACATGGAGTGATCATATAGGTGGTTTTTGAGTGGTGCCTTGAAAGGGAGTCAAGTCTGAAAAGTGATAAAGAAAGGCAAATGGTCCAGGAAAAGGATTTATAAGCATGGAAGGGGAATCCAACATTCTGTTCAAGCATGTGGTCTGTGTTGGCCATAGAAGGTTGAGCTACAGAGCACCAAGAGACAGTAAGATGGCAATGGAGAAACCCCAGAACATGAGAACAGAAAGAACCTTAGAACCTTCCAGGTTTACAGCTCCCTCATGCCTGTAACACCATTAAGAGCCTTCTGGCTGGCCTTCCTTACTCAGACTAGAGAGGTCTCTTCTTTCTCAACTGAAAATCACATAGATATCAGGGTAGGCTAACTGTTATAACAAACAATCCCCAAATGTCATCAGCTTAACATTGCAATCCAATGTAGCTGGCAGAGAGCCTCTACTCTACACAGTCACAGGGATCCAAGCTCCTTCCTTTTCGTGACACCACCATCTTCAACCACAGGCCTAAAATTAGATGACAGCATGGAGAAGGCACACCCACATCCCATGGGCGAGAACTAGTCATATGACCTTACCTGGAAGCCAAGGGGCTAAGTTTATTTGTGTGCCTAGGAAGAAGTGGGTTTGATGAGAACCCAGCTTCTAGTATAACCTCTATATCCATAACCCTCACGTTAAAGTGATACCTAACTTAAGAAGGGAGAAATAGAGACGAAAAGAGCAAGTGGGGAGCATGAGGTGACAGCAGGGGCCTGGCAGTGCCAGAGCTGCAGGTTCTGATCTAGATCCTTCCTCCAGTCACGTCTTCATACATCGAGTGTGCCCAGAGTGCCGGTAGATCAACAGCACGTCCCCTACCTCAGTTTCCTTACCTGTCCCATAGGAACTGTAATTTGGTCCTTAAGACAGGTGATGTTGAAGAGCGGCCTACTCCTGATCTCCCCACTGCAGGGGGAGACAAGGGCAGGCTGCAGCCTGGGACGCAGTCACTCAGCCCCACCTCTATCCCTCTGGTGTCCCCTGTGCGATTGAAGAGGAGGCTAAAGAACAGAATGTTATTATAGCTTCTCCATACTGCAATGTCATCAGGAAGCCCTGGGCCTCTGTGCAGCACCCCGGCAGCCCCATCACTCTTCCCAGCTGCATGGAGCCTTAAATTTAGACCATGCTGGAAAGGGCAGGAAGCAGTCTAATAAAACAAATGGCAAGGCAAGACCACGCATCTGCAGCTCTTCAAAATGATCTAAATTTCTGACTTTTTATTTAAATCTGCATCCTATGTGGCCAAAAAACATAAAACACAAGATGAAGGAAAAACTAAAATGAAGGCACGGGTACCAAGAATTAGAGGAGAGGGAGGGACGGACAATACCAAATGGAGCACCAGCCAGGTAGGCTGACCTGCAGCCAGGCTGGATCCTTCTCATTATGCATTGCTCAGAACTTCTCCCTTCCATCACTAAACTGCCCTGAAATGGGACGTGAAGTTTGACATGCAAGAACAAAACCTAGAAGTCTACCCTACCCACTCCTGCTTGTCCCTCATCTTCACTACTTCAAAGATGAGTATCTTATAGGGACAGGGATGTGGGCGGGGGACAAATGGGTGAGGAGACCTGGCTTTATATTCTGATGTTCTCTTCCAATTCTTTTATTTAGAGACTACCATGGGCCAGAGTCTGTTGTCAAATAGTGGCTGGCACTGTGAGACAAAAGGGAACCAGGAGTGGTGGGGCTGCTACTTTAGCTGTGGGCCAGGGGCCACAGAGGCTTCCCTGGGGTGACATGACCAGAGAGCAGAGTGAAGGGAGGGAGGCAGATCCGTGAGTCAGATGACAAGGTGTGTCAACAGAGCTGAGGGGCTCTGGAGACATTAGGGTGCAGTACAGGACCCCCTGAGGCCTATCCTGACACACCTCAAACACTTGTGTGTCTTGAAAAAGAGCTCACCTCCAGCTAAGCTAGCAGTTACCTTTACAGGGGGCATCATATGACCGACAGCTATGACGCAAGTCCAGACCCACTTTTTATGGTAATGCATGGGTGTTGCAGCCAATCATTTCCTCTGGGTAAGTTAAAAGAAGAAAAATGAGGCAACCTTGCCCTACAATACTGTAAAGTATTTAATTCCTTTTTAATGTTTGCATTATTAACACCAGCATTTCAAAACAATATTTTTACTTTCAAGCAATTTAAATGTGCAATTCGGCATCTCAATTACTGGGGTCACTGTAACTGAAAAACTGAAGCCACTCTTCCTCCTTCCTCCTCCCCCTAACAGTGCCTCCTTTACATAAAGATTCTACAAAGAGTGATCTGCAAAGAGCTCCAGAAAGCCCAAATACCCATCCCAAATGGCTCAGGGGTGAGGCCCTGGTGGGGTTTTCAAGCAGCTGTGAGGGCTGCTGCAATCTTCATTTGGTGTAGAATGAGTGACAGCTGGCAGGTGGGTGGTAAGACGGTCATCAGCACCCTGGAGAATGGCACTGGCCAAGCCACATCCCAAGCAATGCCTATCAATGTGCCCAGAATGGCACTGGGTGACCCCCAAGCCAGTGAGCACAGACTCTGGCTCCAACCACCCAGAGGCACAGGGGCACAGGGAATAGGGAGGCTGGGTATAACAAGCCAGAGAGGACTGTAGAGCCTCTCAGGAAACTCCAACATGTACAGAAACACATCATGCACACAGTTCACAACCATAACACTTCAAGGCCAGAAGATGCATCAAACAGGCAAAAGCATGGACTCTGAAGCCAGTCAGCTGGGGTTCAAGTCCAGGCTCTACCACTTATGAGCAGGTAACCTTGGTAAATCCTTATCATCTCTGTGCCTCAGTTTCCATTTCTGTAAAATGGGGATAGTAGTGGTACTTATCTCAGAGAGCCACTGTGAGGACTAAATGAGTCAATGTGCATAAGGCATTTAGAATAGTGCCTGGCACACAGCAAATACTCAGTAAGTGTTAATTTATCACTATGATTCCATCTTAAGATGAAGAACTGAAGCTTGAAGCAATTAAACCCACCCACCCAACATTGGCTTCCCCTCTGCCTGAAAGCCACCCTTGCCCCTCAGGTGACTCTCATCTCTCTCAAACACAAGCCCCTCCAGGCCACCCAGACCCCACTCCCAGCCCAGTCGTGGTGGACCCAGTACCCCAACTTGATCTCTCTCTGGCACTTTTCACACCTGAAACTATTTTGTTCATTTAGTGTATGACTTTATACACAGACGACACTAGTATTATTGTTACTGTATGTTTGCTTGGTTGTTATCTGCCTCCCTGCACTTAAAGTTAAAACTCCCAGGACCAGGGCCCGCAGCAGTCTTGTCCACTGCAACTGAGGGCTGGCTTCCTGGGTATGTGACCTGTGTAGTCACATGCTACATTTGGTTTAATGTTCTGCTGTTACTGTCCTGAAATTCCTAATAATTTTTTAATGCAGAGCTTCACATTTTCATTTTGCATGGGCCCCCTTCCAATTATATAGTTTGGTCCTAGATGAATGAATGAATGAGCAAGCCCACATTCCAACCCAGGTCTGTCAGATTCCAAAGCCTCACTAGTGAACCATCAAAACAAAAACTTGCCTCCAGTGAGGGAAAGAGCATTGGGTAGGGGAGTCTGGACCAGGGACAACCCCAACCTGCCCCAGAAGATGCTGTGCTGGGGAAGGGAGAGCCTTCAAAGGAGATCTGGGTTCCCCCTGGCATCCAGTTTTTCTTCTCAACCTGTCATTGCACTTGTGCTCAAGTAGGGTGAAAACTATTTGCTGTTACTCTTCCTCTTGCTGAACACAGAAGGACCTCAGTTACTGCCTCCCAGGACAGCTGTCTTCCACTAGCCAAGTACTCTTCAAAGTCACAGCTGTGGCAGAATGACAAGTCCTCAGAGCACCCACCACATCCCTAGGTATCTGGAGCTTGACAGTAAATAGATAAAACCCTGGCCTTTTGGGCGTGGGGCAGCTATCAAAACTATCCCTCAAATACAATGAGGATGGAGCAGGGAGGTAATATTGGGTTGGAACATGGTGGGGATGCCCTCAAGCGCGTTTTCCACTCCCCATGAACGCTCATCTCAAGTGGGCACTCCCCACCCCAAATTCACTTACTTCAAGTGGACATTGAACACCCTGGGTCCCCAGAGGTTTTCATTCGATAGATCTTCACTCTTAACACCTCCAAAATAGCTCAAAGCTGGTCCGTATTAAAACTACCCATTGATCTTTACTCAAATTAGTCTCCACCCTCTTTCTCTCTGTCCCACTCCTGCACCAGTCCTGGCTCTTGAGGCTCAGAGTCCTTGCACTCCCATTTACCCAAATCCTAACCATTCTTCAAGGCCCAGCCAAATGTCATTGCCTTCAGATGCCACCCCTGATCTTTCTTCCCCGCTCCCCTGAACAGCTAGAAGTACTGTTTCTTTCTCCAAACTCCCTAGCATTCTCTAACACTTCAATATAAGCCATTGTTGCTTTTAACCTTGTGTTTTGGTTGTGTATTCACTTTCCTACTCAATGTAAGAGTCTCCTGGACAACCCTTGACAAAGTAGGTGGGGCAAGAAAAAAGAAGTTTGGAGGCAGTCAAATGTAGTCTGCACGGGACGGTCTGGGCTAAATGCAGGTCAGTGAAGATGCAGAGGGGGGCTGAGGCTTTCTTAAGGAAAATCTGGAAGGTGAGGGTATCTTTTGAAAAGAAAAATCAGGACACTCCACATGATGATGCAGATGGACATGTGTAAGTGAAGGATTGGTTAAAAAGAAAAGGAACTTCTGATCAAGACAGTGGCATAGGGAGATATGGCTCGCCTCTTCACACAACCACACCAAAATTACAACTGAAATATAGAACCACCATCACTCAGGAACATCAGAAATTGAGATGAATGGAACTCTGACAACTACAGAATTAAAAAAACTACAACAACCCAGAATGGTAGGAGGGGCACAGACATGCAACAGGCTTGTCCGTGACATGTGTGGTGAATAAAAATTCAGTGGGTTATCTTGGGAGTGAGGAATCCCAAACCCACACCTGCAGGCCCTGCAGTCCAGCATTCCAGTACCAGGAAGAACCAACTTCTGGCTGCAAAAATCAGTGGGGATTGAGTCAGTGGAAGCCCCAAGCAGTTCCTCTTAAAGAACCCACAGACTCACCTACTCAGACTCACTCCCTCTAAGCTCTAGCACCAAGGAGCAGCTTGAAGGCACCAGTGGCATACGGGGAGAAACTGAAGTGTCTGACATCAAAGTGAGCAGAGACCATTGTCCAGTTTCTAAATCTCCCACCACAGAGCCAGCAAGCTGGTGCCATGTCTGAGAATCCACCAACCTGGCTAACACTGTTGACCTGCCTTGGAGATTCCCAGAGACTCTACACCCTCAACTTACAGGCCCATTCAAGCTGGTTTTCCGTATGAATGGCTGGTCTTGGCTCATGCTTCACAACTTCCTAAGTCCTCTCAAACACAGAACTAGCAGCAGCCAGCCTAGATTCACAGCTTAGCTTGGCTTGGCCTGGGAATCTCCAAGCCCAGCATAAGTAGTACCCATCTCAGATTGCTTTATAACTCAGGCGGGGTGGCCCCGGGCAAAACACTGGTGGGGGCTGACCTTGGCTCGCACCACCTGGGAAATACCAGGGCCAGTGCACCCAGTGCACAGCTACAGATTATGTTGGAGCACCACCACGCTGCCCCTGCATGACTGATCCTCCACAAAGGGCAGAGGTTGGTAGTAAGTGGTTCCAGCCAATCCTTGCAGCTGACTGGCCTGGGTAAATTCCTACCATTGATCTGCCAACAGCAACCAAAGTTCAACTACAAGAGGAGGGTGTACTCAGCCGATACGAAGGGTGCACCTCAAGTACCCAGCCTGGGTGACAGGGGAGGTTGAGCCATTGGACCCTACAGAACAGCTACTACATCAGGCCATGCTGCCAAGACACAGAGTCATAGCAGCTCTATTCAATACACAGAAACAAACACAGGAAGGCTGCCAAAATGAGGAGACAAAGAAACATGGGCCAAATGAAAGAACAGATCAAAACTCCAGAAAAAGAACTGAACAAAATGGAAGTAAGCAATCTATCAGATGCAGAGCTCAAAACACTGGTTATCAGGGTGCTCAAGGATCTTAGTGAGGACCTCAACAGCATAAAAAAGACCCAGTCAGAAATGAAGGATACACTGATTGAGGTAAAGAACAATTTACAAGGAAACAACAGTTGAGTGGATGAAAGCAAGAATCAAGTCAATGATTTGGAACATAAAGAAGGAAAAAACAACCAATAAGAACAAGAAGAAAAGAGAATTCAAAAAAAAACGAGGATAGTGTAAGCAGCCTGTGGGACAACTTTAAGCATTCCAACATTTGCTTCATGGGGTGCCAGAAGGAGAAGAGAAAGAGCAAGAAATTGGAAATGTTTCAAAAAATAATGAAAGAAAATTTACCTAATTTGGTGAAAGATGTTGACCCATGGACATGAGCAGTGGTGGGGAGATTATCTGAGGGAGTGGTGGGTACTGGGTGGAAAGGAACAAAAGGGGAAAAATGAAGACAACTGTAATAGCATAATTAATAAAATATAATTTAAAAGTTTATACAATAATTATAAATAAATAAATATACAAATTAAGCAAACAAGAACAGAGACAGAATCATGGATACAGAGTGTTTTGATGGTTGCCGGATGGGAGGGTATGGGGGAATGGGTGAAGAGTTGAATGGGTAACCTTCCTAAGGTTACCTAAGAGGTAACTTCCCAATTAGGTAGTTACAGAATAGCAATGGGGATATGAAGTACAGCATACAAAACGAAACGGAGTAGCCAAAGAACTTACAAGCATGGCCCATGGACATTAACAATGGTGAGGGGATTGCCTCATGGAGTGGGGGGTGCTGGGTGGAGGGGGACAAAGAGGGAAAAAATCAGGACAACTATAATAGCATAATCAATGAAAATAATTAATAAAAATTAAAATTAAAAAATGTTTTTCCAAATATTTTTGCCCCAGTTAGGAAATCTGTGCCTCCCCAGGAAAAGTGGCTTGAGGAAGAGGCACTCAGAAAGGCTGGGGAGACAGTTGAAGAGCACTGAAGGAGGAACCGTAGCAGAGTACCCAGAGGTGGTGACATGTGCCCGGCTGTGGAGAGAGAGAATGAAGCACGGGATAGGGTGCGAACCACGTGTGCGCGCTACGTGATTAAGTTCAAATACATCTTCACCAAATATCAACCAGTATTTACATGCCAATGTATTCATGTATACAAATTACCATACACAGTTCTCCGGGAAGGGTTTTTTAGTCCAGAGCTTGTACAGTCATTGAAAAAGATAAGTAAGTAAAGCTGCCCCTGGGGTTTCCACGTCGGACTAGCCCTGGTTGCTTAACGGGTTCCAGGACAAACGCGGCTAAACCTGCTTCCCTCAGAGACAGGGCAGCAGCGCCCCTACTCGGGGAGCGATGAGGGCGCCCCGCAAAGTCGCGCATGCCCACTCCTCCCCCTCGCCCCTCCACAAGAAGCCTGGGCGCCTTACTGCGCAAGCGCCACAGGCCCAGCTGACTCCTCCCTCAAGGGCGGGCAGAAGCAGGGCTCAAAATGGCGGCCGGCCGCTACCGGCGTTTTCTTAAACTCTGTGAGGAATGGCCAGTGGACGACACCAAACGGGGCCGAGACTTGGGCGCTTACCTTCGGCAGCGGGTAGCACAGGCATTTCGGGAGGGAGAGAACACCCAGGTGACCGGGCTGTGGGGTCCGCCTTCGGCGGGGAGGCGGTTGGGAAAAGGGGGAAGGAAAAAAACGAGGCAAGGGCGGAGTCAACTAGTGAGCTAGTGGCGACGCTGCGCATGCGTGCTCCTTCCCTCCCTGCACGTGTGGTCCCTACTCTCCCCTGGGGAACCTCATGGAGCGATGACGCTCTGTTATATTCAGTGCTCTCATCTGGCTGTACATTGGGGTTATTGGAGAAGCTTTTTAAAAACATGGCTGTCTGGACCATTCCGCCTTATTAAATCAGAATATCTGGAAGTGGTGCCTCAGCCCTGGTTTTTTAAAAAGCTTTCCAAATGATTCAAGGTCCAACCAGGGTTGGTGGTCTACCACCACACAGTCATAGATAGTGACATTTCTAAGCTTACTTCTTCCCTGACACGATCCCATTACCTCCCGGTGTTGGGCACTGACTAAGCTGATCCCTAAGAACCTCTGCAGGACTCCCGCTATGCTTTTACGAGCCCCCTAGGCCCCTGTGAGTCCATGTAGCAGATTTGGGTCCTCACCCATAACTCTGTGTGTGAGTCCTAGACTTAATGTTCTTTTCCTCCTCAGGTTGGTTCAGTGCTGGGATTCATTCATTTGTACATGATGTATTTTTTTTGGCACCCATCATGTTCCAGGAACTGGGCTAGGTGCTGGGGAGACAGCAATGAATTAGACAGTTGAGGTTTTACCACATGAAGATTAAGTTCACATTTTAGTTCAGGACACAATAAGCAAGTAGACATACATAAGACTGTACAGGTAAGTACATTTGGCCCTTGAACAATTTGGGGGTTAGGGACACGGAAACTACCCCCAGCAGTCAAAAATCCATATATAGCTTTTGACTCCTCCCCTCAAAAAAACTAGTAGCTTACTGTTGCCTAGAAGCCTTACTAATAACATAATCAACATATTTTGTCTACATGTAGCATGGACATATGTAACATAGTTTTGCCTACATGTCATGTATTATATACTGTGATCTTGCAATAAAGTAAGCTAGATAAAAAGAAAAAGTCATGAGGAAGAGAAAATACATTTACAGTACTGTACGTGTTTATTGAAACATCTGTGTATAAGTGGACCATGCAGTTCAGACCTGTGGTGTTCAAGGGTCATCTGTACTATGATAGATGTAAAATAGAATAACATAATAAAGGGGTAATAGTAGTTACAATAGGTAAGTTACTGAGGAGGTGACACATAGATGAGACCTAAGGAAAGAATAGTCAACAGTGTACATTTGGTGGGAAAGGCATTCCAGGCCATGCAAAGGTCCTGAGGCAGGAAGCCAATTGGCATGTTAGAGGACAAAAAAAAAAAGCGATAGTGACTGGAGAGTAGTGCATGAAATGGAGTTTACTAAGAACTGAGGTCAGAAGAGAATAGAGGAGCCAGGCACAGGTGGGTCTTATAGGCATTGGTTGGGAGTTAGATTTTATTATAAGACCAGTGTAAAGCCATTGGGTGTTTTAGTCAGGATTGATGCAACCTGATTTACTTTTTAAAAACAATTACTCCAGTTGCATGTGGTGAATGGATTACAAGGGACAAGATTAAAAGGACTAGAAAAGGCCATCATGGTAGCTCAGGCAAGGAAAGGAGGTGGCTTGAATGGGGTTGGCAGCACAGATGGAGTGGGCTGCATTTGGGTTGTGATGGGGAGGGTGCATCACAGAACTTGCTGGTATGTTGGATGTGGGTAAAGAGAGAAGAACCAAGTCTAACACCTAGGGTTTTTTTGGCCTGAGCAACTAGGTGGAAGGTGGTGCCACCTACTGAGGTGGGAAACACTAGGTGAGGAATAGGTGGGATATGGAACAAACATCTTGAGTTTAGTGTTAGACATATTAAACTGGAGATGTTGATTGCACTTACTTCCAAGGGGAAATGTCAAGTAGGCAATGTGATACTTGAGCCTGGGGTGCAGGCAAGAGGTCAGAGATATGAAATGTGATACACGCACACACAGCCTGAAGAAATGACTTTTGCTCAATTTAGCCATAACCTGTCAAAGCAGGAACTTGGTTTTTTGCAATTTATCCCAATACAGAACCAAGCCAGCCCATCTGCTGGAGCAAGAACATGCCCAGTGGCATCACTGAATCTGATCACTGAGTGGGTGGTGGGCATGGGTGGAGTGTCTGGCTTAGAGCTTTGAGGGGCGGGGGCTACACTACACTGAGGGTCCTCTCACCCTCAGAGGTCTTCACCGGCCCAAAGCATAAAGATTTTTAAGGCAAGAATCATATCTCATCCCAACTCTGCAAACCTCTAAGGCTCTGCTTCCTACATAGTTTTGGTGAGAGCTTCCTGAGAATAGAGATGTTGCCATTTTACCCACCCCACATAAAAGACATTGGGTAAATGCCTGAATGAATAGACAAAAGATTGGTTGTGGTTCATGAGACACATTGGAGTGTAGTTGCATGTGTAGGGGAACTAGATGGAGGGAGTGAGAAGGGGATGTTTGTGTGTTCTGTGAAGTAGAATGGTGAGAAATGATATGACAGCTCACTGTGTAGGGAGTTGCAGGTACCACAGATGAGGGTCAGAACCTGGCCCTTACCACCAAGAAGCGGACAGTTGAGCAAACACATGACTTACTCTAATGAAATTCAAATGGTGAATCCAGCCAGCAGAGAGGCCAACATAGGCTAGTTCCTTGGGGAGTAAGAGTATGACATTCACCTACTTAACTGTTAAGTGTAAGACAAGCCAGAAAAGGAGGGTAGAGCTTTCTCTTTTGGAGTTGTCATCCTTAGTCATCACCTAGGGAGACAGTTCTGATCAGTAGAAGGCCACACAGGTTTGAGTCATGACCGCAGATGCAAGTCCTGACTCAGTCGATGGCTTAGTGGCCGGCTGCAGAGCAGCCAATACATGCGTCCCTGGTAGGGTGAACCAGGGCATCATGGTGGCAGCAGGCACATTACTCAGGACCACTGTCACAGTACACCATCCTGATATCCTTGAAAGGACCTTGAAAGGTGGTCTGGTAGACTCTGTTAAGCCAGCAGCAGGCATTAGACCCGGCTGGCTGATTAGTGTAGAGTTCCCCCTTGGTTATGCCAGTTGCCAGAAAGAAAGGACTGGAGGGGAGGCAGCTCTGCTCCACAGCCTTTTTGTTCCTCTAGAGGAGAGGGGCAAGCAGCCGCATGGCCTCCTACACATTGACAGTAACACTGAACACATGCACACTTTTGGTCGCATGATCTCATTTAATCCTTCATGCAGCTGAGTGAAGTAGCCATCACTGTTCCATTTTATAGGTGAGGAAACAAACTAACACAACTTACTTAGGGTCCTCTGGGGGTTAAGATAAGTAGAGACAAGCCCCACTCTGTCCTGCCCCATCTGGTGTGGCCTCCTTGGTACCTGACCTTTCCTTAGCTGCTAGTCCACCCGAGTTATTTCTTGTTAGAAGGGCCTCATGTTCCGTGAACTTGAAGCCACTCTTTTCCCCCCATTCCATGTCCAACCCTTTTTGACCATAGACAGTCTGGGCAAAGTATTAAACATCTCCTGTATTTACCCACCTACCTTTTTCTGGCCCAGCTACTGTCTTCCCTAGGGAGGATGGGAAGAAAGATGGTCCTCAGGTGGGACACAGGGCAAAAAGCTGGACTCACCAGGAACCAAGTTCATCATTCAGATGCAAAACCAGAGTCCAAACACCACTGCCTCCATTTATTCCACCTCAGGTTGCACTTTGGAGAGTCACGGTCCCCCCCAGACCCAACAAGAGGGAGGGGGTGGTGGGAAGCAGGAACGCCCCTGACACCTCTTACACCTGCTGTCCTGTTGTGCAGTGGTGTTTATGGGGTTTGCCCCATTTGCATACAGCTTCCTTAAGAGAACCTGTGTTCCCTGCAGCACCAAAAACTTAATACGAGAATCACAACATGGGGGAAGGTGGCAAAACAACTGTCATTGTTGACTTAAGAACAGGGAACTCAAGACCTTTCCGGCTGCACCTGTCCTGCTAGCCAGGCCTGGTGACCAGGTCCCCTCTGTGATGTCCTGTAACTGGCACTCAATTGCATGCTGCGCTGGGCCATGTCTGATTTTTTTATTTTGATCCTGTCTTGTCTCAGCAATTGCCAGCTTCTCCAGGGCTGAGGCTGGGTCTTTATATCCTCCCACAGCCTCCTAGCAGAGCACTGTACATAGTAGCTGCTCAAGAATACATTTTCTATTGAATTAAGGGAATTGATTTCCATAACAGAATGAATTCATTTCAGAAGTTCATTACCAAGTCATGAAAGCCTTTTTTCAGAGATCCTCCTGGACTGAATCCAGCTCTACCTTAATTAGCAAAGCAATTTGCGACACCCTTTCCCAAAAGTGCTATGGGTCCCTTTGTGTGTCTAGAATAGGGGCCACTGTACCAATTGCTGTCACCACCCAAAATTCAATTTTGAAAATCGGAGTCAGTGCCTGCGGCACCAACATAGATGTAGATGTATAAAAGTTTAATAAGGAAAAGAAATTTACTGATGGCTGAGCAGGCGAAATGCAAAGGAGCAAAAGTAGGGCCATAAAGGACACTTTGTCAGTTGAATATCTATTTTATTCACATTTAGAGAGCAGAGCTGAATTTTTCATAACGTCCCACTGCTGCATTTTTCAGACCCAGCATCACGGTTAGTCCTCAAATGTCTGTAATCTCATTAGGTGTGAATGCAAAATCAGGTAATTTAAAGCTTGTATATAAGAACATTTCTTTTTAAAAAAAAAACATTTCTTTAAGTGCATGGTACATTTCATCAGGAAAACTGTATATTTCAAAATTCAGGAGTGTTCATGCCAGTGTCTGTGAATAAAGTGCAGTAAACGACTATTTTTTAATTGCGGGGCTCTATTTGGGTGTTAACCGAGAGCGGCTGGGGCTGGGTCTCCTTAGGCAGCAGTGACTTTCTAGATGTCAGCGTGCGCAGCTCTCATCACCTCCACAGAACCACTTCCACAGCCTCGTAGAGGTGCCTTCTGACCTCAAATGGGAAGTTGGGTGACAAGGTCATTTTTTTGGTGATTGGTTATTTATGGATGTTTAGGTGTTCAGTTCCTTCGTTCCTTCTGGGATTGTTAATTGAGCTCTAGGCATTATGTGAATATGTAGCACTGTCTCTGTCACTGAAGGAATTTTAAGAGGTTGAGGAGGCCCAGAGGGTTACTGTTTGTTTGTTTTGTTTTGTTTTGTTTTTCACTCAAGTCCTCTGCTCTTTGCCCTTCTAGGAGAAATGCTCTGTAAGGGTGACCCGCCCTCTCTGCCCCTCCTTGCTCCCTTCTCACTGTCCTGCTCACACACTGAGGGTACTGTAGGAGGGGGCTGAGCAGCCCTCTGAGAAACTAATTCTCACCGTTAGAGAAATTAAGAAGCAGGAGGGGAAGTTGCATTGGCAAGATTTCTGAGGGCAAAGATCTGGTAGGAATGTGGGGTTGATGAGGAAGTTCTGTCTCAGTGATCCAGCAGCAGGACCCCTGGAGAGAGATGCTGGGAGGAAGGCAGGTCAGCCTTGTGATGCCTTTCCTAAGAGCATGGTCGGATGGGGTAGGAGGGGATGGTCCAGAAGAGCAGTGATCAGGTGAAAACAGGTGCCACTGACAGCTGCTCACTTGGCAGAGATCAGAGGTCAGTGTGTGAGCCCCACCGCACTGGCCCTGGAGTACTTGCTGACCACTGAGAGCTCTCACGGTGTGGGCTGCAGGTGTGGATAGATATGGAGCGAGCATCAGTGACTTTCCATCCCTTCCTCACTTTCATTTCCAGCCACACCCCAGCAGTCACAGAGGCAGCATTGATCCCCCAATCACGTCCTAACTGCTGTTCCCTGGGCGTGTGCTTGCACTGGTTTTGTGCCTGGAGAGCCCTGCTTTGTCCTAGTAACCCCCACTCATTCTCCGCTGGGACCCTATGACACGTCCTCCCGGCCCCTGGGCAGCGTCAGCGCCTCCGTGTGCCCGCAGCACCCTTCATTCCACCATCACCCAGATCATCCTGAACTGCTCTCTTTCCCCTTGCAGTTTGTGAGGTAGAGGCCTGTGCTTATACAACCATTTCCTACTAATAATAGTAACAAAACTGGTCCCTCACACTCATCAGTGTTCCTGGTCCCAAGTTCAGAGCACCCAGGCATTACCTCAGTTACCCTCACACTGCTCTCAGAAATAGGGGCTATTATTAACTTTTCTGTTAAAAGAAAGGTTAAGTTGGCCAGTAGCTTCAAAAATGTCAGTACTTGAAAGACAAAGGCCCCAGAATTGTTTGTACGTGACAGATAAATGCAACAGGGGACCCTGGGCCAAGAGGGGTTTTTTTGTCCTGTAAAGATTCTTACTGAGACAGAATTGGAGTATGGATGATGGACTAGATGAAAGTGTATCAATGTGAAATTTCCTGAAGTTGATCATTGAACTGTGCTTATGTAAGAGAATGTCCTTGTTCTTAGGAAACATGCTGAAATCTTATGGAGCAAAGGGGCCTTGTGTTTTACCTTATTATCAAATGCATCAGGAGAAAAATATGTATATGCACATATACCGAATGATAAAGCAAATGTGGCAAACTTTTTTGAGAGTTGGGGGCAGGAGGAAATTGAGGGATTTGCCCAACATTCCAGAGCTGGTTGGTGATGGCGCCAAGATTCAGACCCAGGCAGTCTGACACCACTGCTCTCCACAGCCATGGAGACCGCTCACTCTGGGGACCAGCACACTGTAGGTCCTCAGGGCATGTCTCTGAAATTTATAAGCAAACACATTTCTACAGGTATGTAGAAAGCAAACAACAGATGAAATGCACAATTATCTTTAAAACTTTGTGCTGGTGTTCTCTTTTTCCATTTTGTCTTGTACCTTCTGTTCCTCTATCTTCCACGGAAGCTCCTGGTTACACATGCCCTGCTGAAGACATAATGTTCACTCTGCTCTTCCCGAGTGGGCACTGCAGAATTCTGTCCCAGCTGGGCTTTCCCTGGAAATGCATCCCGCCTGGCAGGGACTCTGAACTCAGTCATAGTCTCACAGTTTTCCACCAGTTCTTTGTTTCCATCCCTTATCCCCAGTCTGCTCAGATAATGCCTTTGATTATTATTCAGCAAACCCTGGCTACCTCCTCAGCCCATAATCCCTTCTCTTCTGATGTGCTCCCAGGCTATTCTCCTGATGAGTGGCCCGAACCCAGGGATGGATCAAGTAGAACTAAATGAACTAAATGATCTTTTTGTTTGCTGTAAAGTGGGACCCTCACTTGACACATACAGAGAGACAGAAGCAGAGCTGCCTTGAAAATGCTTAACTGATTTATTTGTGCTCTGCCTTCTTCAAGAAAGGATTTATTGGGTTGACCAAAAAGTCTGTTTAGTTTTGTCTATAAAAGACACATTTTTCATTTTTACCAATAACTTTATTGATTTGGATATTTTGAGTATGGCTGTCTCCCATGTGGTATAACGTTGATTGTTCTCAGTTAATGTCTTAATTTAATTGCTGTCAACTTCAACTGGTCTACCTGACCATCCAGCAAGAAGTATCCAGCACGAAACTTCACAAACCACTTTTGACACATTCGATCGGTCACAGCACCTTCTCCATACAATGCACAAATATTTTTTTTCACATTTCAGTTTTTTTAACACTTCTTGAAATAATAAAGCATAATATGCTGAAAATGTATATTTTCTTCCATCTTCAGTATTAAAATGGCTACACAAAAATTCACCAGTTTGAGTAAATTTTTTTTAAATACATGCTGATATGACAGCTGTCACAATACAATCTAACAAAATTGTTTCAAATGAAGTTAAAGACAACTAAGTGCTACTAGAGCCATCTTACAAAAAAAAAAAAATGAACTCTTTAGCCAACCCAAATAAGTTGGAAAAATGCATCATTCAAATTCTGGGGGAAAAACATAAAAGAAAGTTTTGTTTTGGGGAATGTTCAGAATCTTGGCTGAATAATGTAAGGGACTACAGATAAATTATAGCAAGGGCAGAGGGAAGGGTTAGAGTTGAAACTAAAAGAGGTATGAAAGGTAAATAACCTCCTCTCATCTGTGTCTTCCCTGGAATTTCCAGCAGAGACACCAGTGTCTTGGGCACCCAGAATATGTCTCTACTTCCCCGTTTCTCTTTGCACAGCCTTAGTGTTTGGGGCCTTGTCCTTTTTAGCAGGACCTAACTGAACTCTTGGTTCTCCTCGACTCGTCTCATCCTAATGTACGTACTTCTTCATGTTCTTTCCTTGCAAGTTACAAGAGTTTTCCACTTACCACAGTTGAAGGCTCAGATGATTTTTTGACTTTCATAAAAGAATATTTAATACATTTCATAATACATTTCATATTATTTGAAAACTTAGCTCAAAAGCTCTTTTCTTTTCTTTTGCTCTAGCTCAGGTTCTTGCCCTTGGCCACATGCGCTGGTCTGAAGCATAGATAATATCCCTGCCTCCTCTGCCTTGTTCACGCCAGCCCCTCCACCAGGAAGGCTGACTCCCATGTGTCCTTCCGAACCCAGCTTAGTCTCACTTCGGCCATACACTGACCACGTGCACATGGGGACACCTCCTCCTTGGAGCCCATACCTCCCCTAGCATTCTTTATGTGAGGTGTGCCCTTCCGGGATTGCATTTTCACTGTGGCATCTCCCACTGCTGCCGGTGTGGTGCTTCACAAGTCACAGACGCGCTCAACAAATGTTTCTTTTCCAGTTGATTGATAAGACTTTTTCTGCAGGTCAGAGACTTGAGGTGGAGCCATTATTCCAAAAAGGTGATTTCTGTTGAATAATAGTGGGGAGTTAGGGGGCTTAGGCCAAGTTTGCTTCCTGTGGAGCAGAGAGGCGGATGCTGAGCACTCGCCCTGCTTCATGTGAACGCCTTGCCTTGTAGGAGGGTGCTTCCCGGGGGTGTGGTCTGGTGTGGGAGGCAGGGCTCGTTTGCTCACTGCCTGAGGGTTCTCTGTTTTTCAGATTGCAGAGCCTGAGGCCTGCGAGCAGATGTACCAGAGTTTAGCACGAATCCATTCAAACTATTACAAACACAAGGTGAGTGGGACACAGTCTTTTATATCCCCAGCCTTCTGACCGGAGAGGACCTATAAGAACAAGTGAAAATCTGATTATACAGTGTTTTGTAAAGACTTGTGGTTTTGCTCCTTTCAAATGTAACCAGTAATTTCAACCAAGCCAACAAAGGGACCTGGTGGAGGCATTTAGGTCATTTAAATAAAAGCTATTTATAATCTTGAACAAAAGCCATGCATTATATGTGCCAAATGTGTGCTTCTGGGTGTATCTGACAACAACTGCTGGATCCTAGATTTTCCCATCTAGTCTGGTGGAAGTGGCATATCCCCACACTCTGGTGACAAAGAAGGGGTGACTGGGGAAGACAGAACAAATTCCATGAAATGTAGTTTATCCTAGGCTTAAAAAGTGTGTTCAGTAATTACCCAAGCACACAGGGTGGGGCCAAAGTGGGTTCACAGTTGTGAGTACACAAAAGAGTTTATTCTTGCATGATTATTGATTATCGTATTATTTTCTATACGAACAACTGGAAACCTACTTTGGCCCCACCCTGTACATGGCCAAATGCCTATCCTACGTGGGAAAGGATTTCTTCTGAATCCACACAACTCAAATGTGGTTCAACAGCAGTGGTGGGGCATTGCCTAACAGCTGGCTAGAAATGAGAGTCGTGGACCCACCCGTCCTTCTGAGTCATAGCCTACCATTTCCCCAGAGGGATTCCTGTGCATGTTAAGTTGGGGCTGCTTGCCACATGTGATACCGGTTCTTGCGAGTCCATGTCTTTGACCTCCAGGTGGCGCTGCTCTTCTCCTTACCAGGCCTCTTGTCTCTGGACACTGGAGGCCCTGGCAATGTGGTTAGAGAGCCAGGCTTGTCCTGGTTGCAGGCTGTGCTGCAGAACTAACCCTCTCTCTCCTCCCTTCTCTTCCTGTCTGCCCCATGTGACCAGTACCCTCGCCCCAGAGACACCAGCTTCAGTGGCCTGTCATTGGAAGAGTACAAACTGATCCTCTCCACAGGTACTGAAGCACAGCTCTCCTTTCTCGTTGGTTTGCAAATGATTCTTTGAGAGGCCATAGGGAATTGTGTAATAAGACAGATATGTTTGATGCAAAGTCTTGTGGAATAGCCCAGAGGAAATTCTGAAGCTACAGGGCCTATACTGCCATAGAATATGGAGGTGGTCAAAGGCATTATTTGAAAAAAGAAAACCCATTTTTAGAGCTTTTAAATTCAAGGCTGGGCAGCAGGAAACAGGGGAATATGTATTTGCCAAATGGAAGTAGTTGAAATCAGACTGCAAGGAAAATAATTTTATTTTTATGATCCTAAGGGGGCTTTATAAATAGTGAGGGTTTTAATCAAAACAAAAAGCCATTCCATAAACATGTATGAGGATATCCACTGAGTTATCTGACCCAGGGGATGTGGTCTGTGGGTTAGAAGTGGGTTTAACTAGGTATGTTTGGGAGTCATTGATAAACTATGATTAAACCAGAAAGGAAATACCCTGCCTAGCCCATCCCCTCTTTACTTCCCATCTCCATTGTCACTGACGAAGGGAGCCTGGGTTGAAGTAGGCAGGTTCTGGAAAATTGCTATTTTTATTGCCAAGGATATCATATACAAAAATAGGCTAACCTTTTCTGAGAGGGCATGGCCCTGAAACTTCCGCCTTCTGGTGGTACTCTAGAAATTTCTCTTATTCCTCTGGCAGCCCTCAACAACCACAGTTTAGGGTTTTGGCCTTCCAGAAAACTCTTACCTGCTGAGCAGATGCAAACCTGGTGGTATCACCTGCTGTCGTGTCACCTCTGGTCCTGTTCTCATTACAGTACCTGGAAAACTGGGTGAAGATATTTTTGCCCAGCAGGATCACTTTATTGTCAACTTTTCAAAAATATATACACATATATAAATTTATTCCTATGTCCCTGGGCCCATGAAATTACCAGCATTGATGCAGTGTTATTGTGAGGACCCAAGAGTTTGAGCAAAGTTTAAACTTGAAATTAGAATGGAAATAAGTTCTGGAGGGACGTCTCTGAGTAGGGAGGGGCCGGGCCGCAGTGCAGGAGACGAGCTGTAGACCCCAATCCCCAGCCAGTGCCGCCACTTGTTCTGGCCTGGAGATGGGCTCCAGGAAACTTGCTGATGATTCGTCTTCACAGCAGCCTTATGTTTCTGTTGTGACTGTGCGGAATAAGCTTACCAAATGTTTCCTCTGACAAGCCAGGACAACACCTGGCAGTGTGTCTAGTGAGAGGATGAGGCCCAGGGAGTAGCCTTGGTCTGTGTTCCAGGTGTGACCATCCTGAGCTTGGGGTCACGGGAGGCTAAAAAGGCCTCGTGGCTTGTTAAGTGGTCAGGGGTCCGTCCCTCAGCATCCCGCTTTGTGCCCACAGTGGCATCTGGACTTGTGGGAAGTCCCAGGGTGGGACACTGGGCTTGTGGCTGAGGGAGAGAGTGTGCCTTAATTTAGTCAGGAGACCACTAACAGTCAAGTTAATAAATAGCAAGTCACCTTTTTGTTCAGAAAAGCTATTCCTTTTCTCTACAAGTTCTGTTAACATAAAAATCTAGGCTATGAAATTTAGACATTATGGGAAAATCTAAATTTAACATGCAGGTAAAATTAGATATAGAATTTTAGCCTTGGAGAGACTTTAGACAGGTGGTTCTTAACTGGGGGCATGTCCCAAGGAACACGTGGCAATGTCTGGACACATTTTCAGCTGGGAGTGGGGTTCGGGTTCTGCTACTGGCATTAGTGGGTAGAGGCTAAGATGTTGCCAAACATCCCACAGCCCAGCAACAAAGAATTACCTGGTCCACGTCAGTAGCACCACGACGGAGGAACCCAGCTTTGGGTCGTTCAGGGCTATGTGTGCACACATGCTTAGACAAGGGCCCCGTCGCCTTCACCAGCCCCTGCTGCCTTCATAGCTATGAAGATGGCCACCTTTTCTTGGGTGCAGGCCAGGTGCCAGGCAAGCTACCTCCATGATTTCCTTTACTCCTTACAACTTTTGAGGCAGGTATTTTTATCTCTACCTTGCCAATGAGGAACCTGAGGCTCAGTGGATAATTTGTTCCAGAGGACCCAGTCAGGGAATGATGGGTGGGGATAACGGCTCAGGTCCGTCCCCTTCCCTGGTGCGGGCTCAACTCCACAGCATGTGGTGGACCCACACCGCCCAGGTTCAAGTCCCAGCTCTGCCACTTCATAGCTGTGTGACCTGAACAACTTACTTAACTGTCCTTCTGCCTCAGTCTCTATGTCTGAAAAATGGAGACAGTAAGGTGTGTGTGGCATAGGCCATGTCTTGAGACAGAGCCCCTGGACCTGTGAGTTGCATAGTTGACAGCAGTGTGTTTCTTTGCCCACACGTGTGGGGCCCGGACATAGAAGGTGCAATGTGCTGGGTGCAGTCCTGGCGTGCAAGTGCTCAGTCCACACTGCCAGTTACATTTCCCTGCAGCCTATCTGATTTGCTTTTCGGAAGCTGGGTCCGCACTTCCCTTTTTCAGGGGTACACTGTGTAAAAGACAAAGCATGCTCATGTGAAGGCCTGTGGGGCCAACATGTGTAATCAAATTTTAGATTCAGTCACTTTTCTGTTTGGGCTTGCCCTTTTGCAGACACCCTGGGAGAATTCAAGGAAATGAATAAAGGCATATGGAAGAAACTACAGGAGAAGTTCGCCTCCAGGAGTCCTGAGGAGAAGCATAAGGCCTGGGCACAGGCTTTATCTCGCCCTCGAACCTAAGCATGGAGTCTTGTATGTTGCCATCATAAATAAAACTGCCCTGGTTCCCCTCGCTTCTTGGGGGTCTCATCTAGCCTCCACAGAGAGGACGCCCTATGGTTCCGGAGAAAGTTTCAGCCTAAGAGGGATGCCCTTGAACATCTGCCCTGCCCATGGTCAGGGTCAGGGTAGGGAGGTGTCTGGGAAAGAGGAAACGAGGGACCCCGTTAGGGCCTGAGAAGGGAAGGTGACGGGGCCTCTGGGCAAGGTGCTTCCCGTGCAGCCATAGGAGCCCCACCTGTCAATGGGGGTCTGGCTGGTTTCTGGCAAGGTTCTCGGGTTCCCTTCTGTTCTAGGAGCTTCTGGTAGATAGCCAAAAATAGCAGTAAACTTGGAAGAAGGCACCCTGTCACAAACAGCAGGAAGTGGTCAGCAGAGATGAGAATAGCCCGCTCGGCCCCCGTTTCCATGACTCAGAAAGATGGAGCGTGGTCCTCTGCCGCCGGCCTCGCAGAAAGCCCATGTTCCAAGCTGGTGTGAGGGACAGAGTGGAGCTTGAGGCCTTGGCCAGCGGGGTCTTGGGTTGTGGTGGCTTCAGCCCTCTGGGCGGGTTCTGTGGGAGGCCACAGGGCAGGGGCACCCTGGCAGGGACACACTCGTCAGTCACTTTATGGCTCATGGAACCTTAACTCTTACTAGCAGCCTTTGTGCCCAAGCTTTCTTCTGTTAGAAAGCAAGCCGAGAAGGGTTAGGGCAGGACCAGCACCCTTGTAGGGATGCGGAAGTGAGTTCTTCAGCACTTTGCACCTGGACTCCTCGGTGTGTTTTGGAATGCACACAATAAAATGCATAGGATTATGACCAAACCCAGTTATACTGCAATACAGTTCTAGTTCTGTCTGTCCAGGGACCCCTGCGAGGAATCACTGTGAGACATTGTCACTCACCATCTCCAGGCAGCCCAAGGTGAGGCCCGACCAGCAGGCCACATTAGACCCCACAGTCCTAGAGGTATAGGAAACAGCATCCCTTTCTATAGTTTTATTAATTTATTAAGGCAATTAACATATTAGTTCTCAGGCCAAAGATTTGTAAAACATTACACCAAAAGAAAAAAAACAAGCAGTCAAAAACCAGCCACTCGGTTGCACCCCAGCCCTGTCACTGGGGCCTGTGCCTCTCCCAGGAGCAAGGCTCGCCATCCTCAAGTCAGCAGTCCACCTGGGGCTGTGCCGAGGGCTGGCCCGGACACACAGTGAGGACTACACCGTCTGCAGCGGATCTGAGGCACAGAGGGAGCTGCGGGGGCAGGGCTGTGCACAGCCTGGGAATAAGTTAAGTAACAAAGCCCTAGAATCCCTAGCAACAGCATTACTGCACCTCCCCCAGAGGTGGCAGCAACCATTATGTAGTGCTTGGAATACAGAGGTGACCCCAGTCCTAATCACCCACAGAAGAAATACAAAGGAATGTCAGTTACTGCTTTAAAAAACAAAGCAACGGTCCTTTAAGAGGACTTACCTTTCTTTAAAACATTAAGGTAAACTGACTCCTGGTGAGTTTCTGAATCTTAAGGGCTCTAGGCAGGGCTGTCAGCTCTGTGGCTCCCCTCTCCATGCTGGTCAGAGCCCAGGTTGGCTTGTCTGGCAGGAGTAGGAGCCAGAGGCTGGGTGGGCACCTAGCCTTGAGAGCTGGTGGGCTGGCTGGGCCTCCCAGCCCAAGGGAAGGGGCAGTATTTCCAGTCACAGCTCTAGGTACAAGCAGCACCTGTCTGGGCCTCTGATGGGGCCTTCGTGGCTCTCCTCAGCGGCTCATGCAGTTCTGGACATCCACGAAGCCCAGGCGTTGCCTGCGTTTCCGCTGTTCCGTCATCTATGGTTAAACAGATGCCAACAGGTCAGGCCACCCAACGCCCTCTCCACAGGCACTGCCGAGGGGCCTGTGCCCACCCTCCCACTGTGGGCCCAGCTGCCTTTCAGCACAGGTGGCAGGCCAGGACCCTCAGGGTGCAGTGAGAATGTCAGCCCCAAACACTTGTCCTCTATTAGCATGCCACAAACCCCTGATGCGGTGCAGCTGGGAAACCACCCCACCTAAAAGGGGCTGCCTAACCTCACTGTCACTGCCAGATGGAGAGGAGGATGCGCCAAGGTTCTGCTTGGCTGTATCTTTCAGAGGCTCAAGGATGGGAGCTGGCCTCTCCTACTCTAGCTTTCCTCGGAGGGGAGTGTGGATATGAGACCTTTGAGACCCAAGAATGGGGGCCAGGGAGAAAGAGACGTGAAGGCCCCAGCACCTACTCCCTCCACCCCCATGGCAGGCTGGACTACGCCCTCTCGGTGACAGTTGGAGGCTGCCCAGTGGGACCCTGAGGGTGGTGTCTGGGTCAGGCTGGGCGTGTACCTGCTCCTTGAGCTCGTTGAGCTGAGCGGTGAGGTGGGACACCAGCTTCATGGTGGAATTAAGCTTGTCCTGAAGGATCCGGATCTCGTTCTGCTCCCCCTCCCCTTCGTTGCTCACCAGGGACATGGCCCTCATCCGGGGGAACCAGTCCAGGTTCTTGTTCTGAAAAAGATCACCAGTGGGGTGAGCAAGCTTGGGCCCAGCCGGAAAAGCCATGTTGAGAAGAGCAGTGCTGCCCTGCCCTCGACAAAGCAGTCCCCAGGGATGCGTCACGGGAAAGTCTGAACTGACCGGGTCCTCCCCAGGGCCAGAGCAAGCTGGCAGTGAACCCACTGCGGTGAAGGCCCAGCACGGTGACAGGATGACTTCCGTTAGGCTGCCTCGGTCTGTCACTGCTATCGGCACCATCTGTTCACTCTCACAACACCCCTAGGCGGGGGGCGCTCTGCACTGGACCCTGAACCCCCTTCCTTCCTTCCCTTCACTCCACCCCCTGACACGCATGCCCCACGCCCCAGGAAGATTCGAGTCAAACAGATGGCACGATCGGAGAGCAGGAGGCCTGCTGAGGATGCTGGATCCGACACAGGACTGAGAGGCAAAGCCATGGTCCCCAGGACGGAAGGGGTGGGAGGGGTACCAGGCAGCTTTCTGGTTCCTTGTGGCAAGCTGTGAATTCTCAGACCAACTGATAAACCTGTACTCAAAGATCAGTTCAAATTACAGACTTAAACGCAGGGAACTCTTTTCTTCCCACTAAATACGTCTTTGAGCCTGCAATGTATGTGCTGTGCAGCAACTTGAAGATGTGCCACATCAGTTACCCAAAAGCAATATATATATTCCCTCGGAGTGGTCCGCAGCGGTGGTGAGAGCAGAGTCTGCCCTGCTCCCACGCCACCACAGCATCATGCACCCACGTCCAGGGCCACCACACCCGTCCTCAGGCTGATGGGTTTGCCATGGCCTTTTCTTGACAACAGAGCCCAAGCAGCACCGTCTGTAGCACAGGCAGCTGGCCAGGCTCCAAGTCCCCAGGGGCTGGCTCCAGCAGCTGCTCTGCTATCCTCCTGGCCTTTCAACAAGTGTCCACTGCTGTCCCACATCACCCCCGGGCCTCCCTGGTCAGTGCAGCTGGCCGTAGCCACCCCTCCCAGGGCCCACACCTTGATCATCTGGGCCACGTAGCTCTCAGGCCCCGTATAGTCTGTCTTGTTTTTCACACGGACCAACACGATGAAGTACAAGTAGTTCCACATGTTGTGCTCGAACTTGATGTGCTCCTCAAATGACACCGTCTTGTTATCAAACTTGTCTCTCTCCAGACCTGAGGATGCAGAGAGTGAGGATGAAACCACCTGCCCCCAAGAATCCCTGTGGGCCGGCAGGGCCGCACACACCACCTCTGCAGTGGGCACATCTGTTCTCACGCTAGGTCTGACTGCACGAGTGCAGGCAGCAGCCCTCTCTAGGCCATTTAGGTCACTTCTGTTAGCCACTTAGTGTGGAGATTCTGCCCTGCCTCAGCTGTAGCCCACCAAAACGGCAGCTAAGGACTATGGGAGCAAACATCAGAGTTCCTTAAACCCAGAGAAACAGGACTTGTCCTATAGGTGACACCCATTCCTTAGCGTGAGGTGGATGGAGAGGGGACTAGCACTTCATACCAGGGATGGGAAAAGCCCTGGACTGAGACCAGAGGCTTGAGGCTGCTGACTGGGCTTTGGTGTCCTCTGCAATAGTGGGTTTAAAGAGATGGTTCGAGGACCTTTCCCACTCCCTCTATTACTCCAAGTTCAGGCAGGGTCCTATTGTCCCAATTCTGCATTGAGCAGCCATCAAGCCATCAGCCCCAGGGCAGCCCCAGTGGCCACCAGAACCCGGGGAAGGGCCAAACTGAAGCTGCCATCGGCCCAGATAATGTCCCAGGCCACAGGTACCCCAGCCTGCCGTGACCTCTGCAGAAAAGGAACAAGGCCTCACCACAGATGAAGCACGTGGTCTTGAGAATCTCCTCCTTCTTCTGCTTCTCACTGCGCAGGTCAGCAAATGTGTCAATGATCACCCCAAAGATAAGGTTCAGCACAATGATGATGACGATGAAGAAGAAGAGGAGGTCGTAGACCACTCGGGCTGGGAACAGAGACTCCTGCAGGGCAGGGCATAGAGGCTGAGCCCAGCAGTCCCCAGGTCACCTGGCAGGCAGGGCTAAAGTAGGGTCAGGGCTGTGATAGAGGGGCCCAGCCCACAGCAGAAGGAAGATGGCAAAAGTGGATTAAACAGCAGACTCCGAAAGGAGGCCAGCTGCGACAAAGACCTGGAGAAGGAGCTGAGCTGAGCTAGAGGCTAGGCCTGTGCCTGTCCCCAACTTCTGGTTAGGGGAAGGGCCCGAGTTGAACCCCTCAGCCCCACCCTCAGTACACCAGGCCTCACATGTTCTAGAAACCCTCTGTCTGACCAGGGAGAGGGCTTCCCACCCCTATGAGACTGGGGACAGTCTGCTGTTCTGGGAAGGCTGGACTGCCCAAGCCAAACCCTGAGGCCTCTCTATGAGGCCCCTGCTGTGGGCTGGGGCTCTGCCTCGCAGAGGAAGCCAGTGCAGCCCAGAGACACGCCCACCGGCGGACTCAGGCCTTCCCCAGTCTGGGCGAGGCTTGGTTACCAAGGTCTCC